AAATTAAGTTGAAACACTGTCAGGATTTCCTCCTTTGTTCAATGATAGCTGCCGCTTAAATCCAACTCAATCGTGAATGACGTTATTTATTCATTCACTTATTGTTTTCATTCTGTGCCTATTCATAGTCTTGATTATACTAGTTTGCCTCATAATTGATGACCATACAGATAGATATTGATAGAAAAGAGCAGAGCTGTGCAAGAAAGAACCTAACACCCACATGTTTCATGAACTAGTACGATATAGGCCTATTTCCGAAAGCATTGATGATGCTGAAAATCCAGTCCTAGTCCCAAAAATTCCCTAAAAGTCTCCGTTTGCTCATCATATATGTAGTCTAAACTACAATTTATACATGCACTTGCTATAATTTTTCCACAGCATTTCTACATTTATTTCTGTTCATATGCGCTTATTTTTTGCATAAGGCTTGGCCTACTAATTCATAAGCAGAGCAAACTCTACAATATCACATTGAAAATCCACATATTTTGGTATATAGAACCAAAACTCAAAAACAACATCTGCGCCAAAATTAGACTTTTCTTTAAAAAGAAACTTATGCATCTCTTTTAACCACGAATCATTATAAAGGCTACTGCCGAACAAAGGCGCAAAACCTAAAATCCCAAACGCCCTTATAAACACACAAAGCGCCAAAGGCGCAAGGTCTACGACAGTATAGAAGGTGCGCCGCGTTTGCCGAGCGTTCAACCAGTACTGCTTTTGCGCCTTCGTCCAGCATTAGCTTTCACACTTGCTGTGATCATCTATCTCTGGACAAGCGAAAAACAACAGCGAGCTCCTTTGATCTTTCCAACTACACAACAGGTACAAAAAATATTTTGGAAAAAAGGAAAGATATTGTTGGAACGGATCAAAAATAAGGGAAAGTATATAAAGAACTCAAAAATTAGTATATGCTTTTCTCTTCGCGAAATCCGCGTTACGCTTATAGTTTGGAATTCCTGCGTTTTCCAGAGTTTTTCAAAAAAAATTATTCTGATAGCAATGCGCGCGAGAGCAAAAAAAAGTGCATTTCAAGTGCGATCTAAGCTCCTGCTGTTCGTTGAAATATGGGGTCCCAAAAAAACTTAAACTTTTTTGGAAAGAGAAATGCGTTATGCTTGAAGAAATGCAACTCGCACTTTTTCCAAACGATAGAATTGAAGGCACTTGAGCAAATTTCCAACACGAACAAGCCCCAAGTACCTCAGCCCCATTTTCTTCTTTATCTCGACAGCCGCGATCACGAGACATAAAGGCGTTATACAAGGTGTTTGGGATGTACCTGGCCTAGAGTGCTTCAAATTCAAATTTTGACGCGCTTTCAATTTAATTGCGCTCATCAAACCCATCAGGTTGAAAAGAAAAGAATGTCGCTTTTTATTTTCTCGTCATGTCATCGCAACAAACAAACCCCAAAGACATGTGTCAGGTACCATCCGATAGAGCAAAGCAAGCTCTACAAAACAACGATGCTGCTTTTGCACCAAGTAATGTCCATGCGAAGTTAGAAAATGGAGTCTAAAAAGTTTAAAAATCAAAAAAAAGTAGTATTTCCGTCCAAAGAAATTCTAGGCCCCCTACCTAGCCCATGTCTTACATCCTACATCAAGTATTCATATGTGCGGTTCCTGTAATTCTTCATTTCCTAAACACTGAAAAATCGAAAATTTGCACACTTCTGCCAAAGTGATGCTGAGCTGTTCCCGCATAGGTGAAATACCACTTGGCTTGGAAAGTACATTCGTGGATTTCCAGCCTTCTACACGCGTTAGTTCTCTAGAAATATCGTATCTAAATCCAATAATTATTGCGAACTAGCTTTCATAGAAGGGTGGAAAACCGTTGTACTTACCAAATTAAGAAGTATAGAACCAAACAGGCGGGAACAGCCCAGCATCACTTTGGCAGAAGTGTGAAAATTTTCGATTTTTCAATGTTTAACCAAGGAAATACAGCAATCGCGCATATGAATGTGAGTCAGTAGGCATTTTTTGGACGGAGATGCGAATTTTTTTCTGATTTTTCGGTTGTTTGAAACTTTATAAATTCCGCCGTTTTGTGAAGCTTGCTTTGCTCTATCAAATGATGCCTAACACATTCTTTGGAGTTGGTCTTGTTGCGATGACAAGACGAGGAAATAAAAAGCGACATTCTTTTCTTTCCAACCTAATAGAAACCATTATTACAGTGCAACTCAGGTGGGTTTCTTTGATTTTTTATTGAGTTGAAACGCAATCAATATAACTTTCCATGCCTTTTCCCTGAAATGCTTGTTACAAAGAATATAATATTTCTCACAGAAAACTTTGTACATCATCTGAAAGTCCTTCTTTCTAGTTTCTTGTATACACCATTTTGGCAAAAATAAGTTCGTCTTGAAAGATATACCTTGAAGGACAAAGATCCAATTCTATTCCTCGTCAAAAAATCTATCCTCAATTTTTTTTACATTATCTTCAACTTCACACAGGGCTCGGCACGAGGTGGCTAGTTGAAAATGCAAAAAACGAAGTCCCCCTTGACTTCGCCACAAAAGTACGACATCCCCCTTGACACGCTAACAAACAAATCAAACATGGAAACAAAAAGAATGAAACAGAATACACGACAGACGATAAAGAGGCAATAAGAACTAAGTAATTGTTTGTATTCTCCGGGTTGGCGGCATGCTGTGTCCGCCGCGCGCCACTGGGAGCTTGGAGCAGCTTTGCCGCTGCCATCAAGATAGTTTGGAGGGCTATAACTAGGCGAGGAGGAGAGGGTTTGTGGAATACAAGAGCTGTTTTGTAAAGTATCAGATGTAGATTAATTTTATGTAAAAAATTTGAAAAAATTATGTGAAGAATAGAAATTATATGACTTTGTTTGTGCTAAGCCACCTCAGGTGGCTATCCAGGTGGCTTGAAAGCCACCTAACCCCGAAAAAAGTTTGCCATGCCCTTAGTTCACATAATTTTTTCATAATTTTTCATACATAGACCTAACTCCCCATTGCCCATCTACACACCTATTTTGGTGCTATTTCATCTTTACTTCGCTGTAAACAAACCCTTTGTTTATTTGCTGGCGGCATGCCGGCAGCGTGCCGGCAGCAGATCGAAAGACAGTGTTATGCTCTTCCGCAAAAACGATATCCCTTTTGCTTTTTCCCTCAAAACGATATCCAGCTTGCTTTGCAAGCCATCTGTGCCGAGCCCTGACTTCATAAGCGTTCAAAATTCTTAAAAACGACACAATGAGGGTGAGAGAGTAGTGCTACAAACACACATTGAAATAAGACTTCTAAATATTTGCGAATCAAAAAGGATTTCAAGGCAAACTTGCACGATGTCTGCTGTGATTTTGCAACATGGAAAAATCTTTGTTCGCTACTGGAGAACTCTTGTTATATGAAGAAAATGTAGACATAAAACATCATCGCCGGAAAATTGTTTCCATTTTCCGGCGTTGAAAAACTAAAACAAAGCAAAGAACGCATTTTTTCGCCTCTCCAAGGAAGCTGAAAACTGGTTACTCTCAATTTTCTGAAAATATCTTGAAACACTTGACTTGAGGCCACGAACTTTTCAAACACCCTGTACTTATTATATTTCTACTCCTCTCACTCTGCGTTGTAATCCAGCCCTACCAATTTTAGATGAACGATTTAGAAGCAATTTTTGCTAAGATTCCCAGCTCTAATTCTTTGTGCATTCTGGCAACTTAGCCGGCTTTGCCCTCGAAAATGCACGCCAACAATTACCTTTCATGCATACAGCAAAGCAGTGATGGTTTCTAAGGACGGCAACTAGTACGAGTGCATAGCAAAAATGTGTGACCCTTATTAGATGTGTATACCTTGTTAAAGAGCACGAAACGCTGATTCCAAATCTGTTTTCCTTGTTTGCGGAATGTTTGTGGACGAGAAGTTATGGGCGTTTATTAGAGCAAAAAATTAATGTAAATTTAGAGTAAAAGGAGCTGCTAAAATCTTCCTAGCCCTTAAATTAAGCAACCAAGTGTGATATATTTTATATCTGTATCTGAGAGTATTCATTGAAAAAGTTGCTTTGATAATTATAACTGCTCCATTTAGAAAAATATCACGACAGCTTTTGTTCCATTTGCACATGTAATATTTTGCTCCAATAAAACCTCGTAACTCCTCATCCATAAATGGAATCAGGGTCTTATGCTCTCTAACACGGTATACATCCCAATCAATAAGGCCACTTCGACTAAGCATGGTCCCCTTGTTAGCTTTTGAACCCTGCAGAACGTGTCAGTCCAGACATTTGAAAGACTTCAGTAAGGGTGGCTAATTACCGCTTACTATTTTGAAGTCCAAGGGTTTCGGAGAGCGCTTCTGTAATAAACCATAGAAACGCGTACCTGGCAAACTTTGGTGTTCCACATTTGAAGTCCTTCGCCCTAATTTTGCGGATCTTCTAACGACGAGCATAGCTGTTTGGAATCGACACTGTACGAGTTGATTCAAGTTGCAGATAAACCAGCATTTTTCTTTACCTGTTTGTACTTATTTTGCTGTGATAGAGAGAAATGACAAAAGCGCGGTGCTTGAAGGATGCTTGAAGAATCATGGACATAAACATCAGAGCTAGATATTGCAAAGATTGGATTTTTGAAGTATCACTGGTCAGTACACCAAATAAGCAGAGCAAGAATTTGTAAAAAAAATGTTTTTTATTCACCAAGAGCTGAACAAATGAAGAAAAAGATGTCAAAAACATAACCAGAATAAGGCGATTATCAACGATGTAGAACGATGCTGAATATTGCCTTTGCAAGTACGACTTCTAGATTCCCGTCGCCGCACTGAGCTCCCTTTTTCAAACCGGGTCTTTATGCCCCCAAGCAGCCATAAGTGGACAGAACATAATCTGCAACAACAATTTATAACACACCTTTAAAGTTCGATTACACTGACCTTATTTCGTTCCCATTCCTCTATCTTCGTTATATAAATTTTCAAAAAATCTCGCTTTCAGGGTCAATATGATTTTTCTGTACCTGTGTTTGGGTATTGTCTCCGCATCAGTACTTCAGTACGATCCACGGTAAGTGCAAGCAGCCTAACAATGAGAGATAAGTAAAGCTGGACGAGTATCTGATTGAAAAATTGAAAGCATAGAGGTTTGCAAAATCCCTATCCACAATTTTAGAACAGCTCTGCAATCGTTACTCTCTAAGCGCTTGACAATACCTTCGTAAGTTGTAGTCCCTCGCATGTCTTTCGGTTTTTATATAGCACTAAGAACCTGGATTGATGGATCACATATTTTTGTTCCGATACAGTGTTCCCTTTTGATGGACCAGTTACACTTTGTTCCCTAGTTCTTTTGTTTCTTGGTTCTCCCTAAGTCGTAGTAGACATAATCTTGCCCTATACCTATTTCAGATACTTCACCTCACATTATGACAAAAGGACGCTGGATTTTGATGATCCCAGGTTAGTTATGTTTGACTACTGACACTCTGAAACTGAATATTTCCCTAGATTGCTATCTGCAGCATTCGGCAAACGAAGTGGGGCTCCTTCTCAATTAACTGACCGCTTACTGTAAGTTTAGCATATTCGAAGACAGTACATACTGCCTCTTTTTGAGAGCAACAACTTATACCATTTTTCGCCGCTTCTCAAGTTTCGTGTGGATACACACAATACCGCTCACAGAATGCGCAAAATTTCCGTGAATGTCGCAGAATTCCGAAAATTCCGCGAAGCTTCGCGAAATTCCGGGAATTCCGCGACATTCCCGGAATTTCGCGAAATTCATGTAAATCACGCAAATTACGCAGAGCCATAACTTCTTTCCGAATGAGTGTATTCAAAATCCGAAAACAGCATTGTATTCAGCTCGTCAAGGCGAATCTTCCGATAAACGACATGTCCTTGAAATTCTGTTTCCAATTTTTTCAAAATTTTCTGCGCGCGTATATTCGCAAGGTCGCAACGCAGCGCACATCCTTCTATATAAAGCTGAATGTCTGTTTGTCTGTCTGTATGTCTGTCTGTATGTCTGTCTGTCTGTCTGTCTGTCTGTCTGTGTGTACGTATGTTCCGAATAGAAAATTCCATTTCTGAACCGATCCGGACCAAACTTGGCACACATACACTACGGGCCCCGGCGGGTGTCATAGGCTACTTTTCGTCATCGATCGATATCGATTTTATCGATTTTTATCGATTTTTTTGCTGAGTTCACCTACGGGGCTGGGAGTTGGCACAGGGGGGTAATCGAGCATGGGGATTCCGGATACAATATTGGTTTTCAGGATTATCGATTACTTTTATCGATTTTATCGATTTTTTTGCAAAGTTTGAGCTACGGGGCTGGGAGTTGGCACAGGGGGGTAATCGAGCATGGGGATTCCGAATACAATATTGGTTTTCAGGATTATCGATTACTTTTATCGATTTTATCGATTTTTTTGCAAAGTTTGAGCTACGGGGCTGGGAGTTCGCACAGGGGGGTAATCGAGCATGGGGATTCCGAATACAATATTGGTTTTCAGGATTATCGATTACTTTTATCGATTTTATCGATTTTTTGCAAAGTTTGAGCTAGGGGGCTGGGAGTTGGCACAGGGGGGTAAACGAGCATGCTGATCACCCCCAAGGGGGTTGATCAGCATGCTCGATTACACTCCTGTGCCAAATTCCAGCCCCCTAGCTCAAATTTTCAAAAAATCGATAAAATCGAAAAAGTAATGGACGATCCTGAAAACTAATATTGTGTTCGTAATCTGCATGCTCGATTACCCCCCTGTGCAAACTCCCAGCCCCGCAGGTCAAACTTTACAAAAAAAATCGATAAAATCGATAAAAGTAATGGACGATCCTGAAAACTAATATTGTGTTCGTAATCAGCATGCTCGATTACCCCCCTGTGCAAACTCCCAGCCCCGCAGGTCAAACTTTACAAAAAAAATCGATAAAATCGATAAAAGTAATGGACGATCCTGAAAACTAATGTTGTATTCGGAATCCCCATGCTCACTTCCCCCCCTGTGCCAACTCCTAGCCCTGTAGGTGAACTCTGCAAAAAAATCGATAAAAATCGGTAAAATCGACATCGATCGATAACGAAAAGTGGACTGTGACACTTGCCGGGGCCCGAAGTGTATGTGTGCCAAGTTTGGTCCGGATACGGCGGAGCCGGGTAAGCCAGCTAGTCAAACATAAAAGACTCTAATAGGCACTATCGGATTGTGCTGCTTCCGCAGATTACCGAGCGCTAAAAAGGAACCGGGAATCTTTTTCAGAAAGGATAGAAGACCCGGTGAATTCTAGAAAAATCGTACTGCCTCAAATTTTGCCCTCTGTAACCCTAAAATAGGAAGCTCTCCTGCTAAGCAGATGTGATTTTCGTAATCAGCAGGTCAGATAACCTCTATGAGCAAGTTTTCAAAGAAATTCGGGTGATTTGATTTTTTCTCGTTATACGCCCTGAAGCTCGCCGATGGGTTTTGGTCAAAATGTCGATGATCTTGGATTATAAGGAAACTTCGCTCAAAGAGGTTATCTGACCTGCTGATTACGAAAATCACATTTGCTTAGCAGGAGAGCTTCCCATTTTAGGGTTACAGTGGGCAAAATTTGAGACAGCACGATTTCTAGAATTTACCAGATCTATCTTTTCTGAAAAAGACTCCCCGGTTCCTTTTTGGCGGTCGGTAATCTGCGGAAACAGCACATTCCAATAGTGCTTATTGGAGTCTTTTATGTTTGATGTGCGCTGCGTTGCGACCTTGCGAATATTCGCGCGCAGGAAATTTTGAAAAAATTGGAAACAGAATTTCAAGGACATGTCGTTTATCGGAAGATTCGCCTTGACGAGCTGAACACAATGCTGCTTTCGGATTTCGAAAATGTTCATTTTGAAGGAAGTTACGGCTGGTAGAACTTGGACTAACTTGATTTTTCCAGAGTTTATCAGCTTTTCCATCTCTTTTGAAAGAGAGTCTTCGGCTGCTGTTTAACGCAGAATAATCTGCTGAAAGAGTACTATCGAAGGGTGCCCACGGCAGTCTCCTATGTGTGATGCTCGTTGCGTTACACCCATGCGAAGAGGAGTCCGCATGCAAATTCAAGATTATTGAGAACAGGATATTGGAGACACCCTCTATAGCAAAAGATTCGCCTTGACAAGCTGAATACAATGCTGTTTTCGGATTATGAATACACTCATTCGGAAAGAAGTTATGGCCCTGCGTAATTTGCGTGATTTACATGAATTTCGCGAAATTCCGGGAATTTCGCGAACCTTCGCGGAACTCCCAGAATTCTGCGACATTCACGGAAATTTTGCACATTCTGTGAGCGGTATTGTACGCTTGCTTTTCCCTATTCTATTCAAGCATTTTTGCTTCCGAGTTGAGGAACATTTTGGTGATCACTTTTTACGTTTACTATTTTTGGATTAGTATTAGTAAAAACGGCTCGACATTCCTGAATTTCACTTAAGTTCTCCGCACCTCAGAATCAGCGAAGGGATGGAAGATAGCGCCACTAGACACGTCATCCGGCAAAGAACACTTTGGGTTGATACTCACATCAACCAAGTAGCAATATTTTACTGACTCTACTGTAAATTGACACAAAATAGCGAAGATGTTTGGGTAAGGTTTGCAGCCGTTCGAATGCGCATAATCTGGGGCCGCGAACGCGTTTTCATTTCCCATAAGGCCTAAGGCATACCTATTGCGATCTCGCGAAATCGCTATATCCACGCGATTTGGCGACTTGCCAGATGTCTATAGATTAACCACGCGTGGGTCTCAGATGCATGGATGCGTAGATTCTATAAGTCGTAAAAATACACCAAGTCTGGCTTAAGCAAAGTGCATTTATCAGTCACGAAGAGTCGTTGCAGTGCCAGATCGCGCAGCGACTAAAATCGCGTGAGGTATGCCTTAAGGGCCGAGCATACTTTACGCGACTTCATCGTCGCTTCCTGATCGTCGCGATTTACTGCAAGTAGCGACGAAATCGCGGCGACTAAATCGCTAGTTAATTGTTCATGGGCATACTCCTGCGCGACTTGATTTTTCCATTTGTATTTTCATTTTGTAGTCCAGTATAAATTCCAACCTCAGGATCACATTAAAATTTTATTGTATTTCAGTATCGGCCTCACTATTTCCGATTTCGCTCAAACTTGGTTCAAGGGGGTTCTTTGACCCACTGATGCCAAATATTATGATTATTGTGCTTCGTAAGGGGACAAAACCATGGATTTGGCTGGAATTCCGTCTAGAGAAGTTATCAACATGCTGATCATAAAAATCACGCTCATATAGAATTTTGAACATACATTCGGAGTTGCGGTGAGTATATGGTAGGTGTCAAAGTCTTAGACTTGCCTGAATATTTGCGCAGTGAAGTTATTTGATGTTCTCATCACGAATATTGTGTTCAGTTCGCTTGAAGAAGTCTTTACCAAGCTTTTTTGTATCTAGTGACCCAAGAAAAAATGCTAATTGTTGTTGTGGTTGGCAATGACTGCAAAAAAAATGCAAAATTCCTGAGTAATCATCATGATAATCACGTTCAGCGCGCCAAGGAACCTCCTCTCCCAAAAACAAATTTAGAGCGAATCCACGATTTTGACGCTCTACGGTATACCCACAGTAGCCCCAGAAAATGGCGCTACCGCGCAAAGTAACCATGTTGTTCGGCATCAGCAGGTCGAATAACCCCCCTTGACCGAGTCTGAGCGAGACTCACGGCTTTGAAATTTTGGGTTACGGATAGCGCCAAAACGGGTACTAGAGGATCAATTTACGGAGAAGCAACGCACTCTGGCAAAATAGAACTATTTTTGAAATAGTAAGCAAGAAAACAGCCCAAAAAGCTAAGAAACGAGCATCAAAACGTTTAGAAAAGAAGTCCAATTTCAGCGATAAGGTCGCGTCGCTCGTTTGAAGTCAGCGACGCGATATCGCTGAGATTCGGGCAAATCGCGACGATTTCAGTGAATGAAGTATGCACGGATAAAAAACGGTCAGCGATTAGTCGCGCCGAATAACTATCACAACCGAATGGCAAAATGATCAGCATGCAATGAACTCGTAACAGTTGTCTTGCCGGGAGAATCGCGAGGCGATGAAATCGCGTAATGTATGCCCGGCCCTTTAGGCCTAAGGCGTATAGAGCAGATTGTTCACGGCGATGAACAGTCGCGTCATTTTATATGATCAAGTGTGTCATTGTATAAGCTGTACCAACTAGCATCGGTCTCGAGCTGGTAGGCCTTGCGAAGGCGCACTGTCGAATGCGACGTGCTTTAGCGCGTAGCAGAGTTAGCACGCACCGCACTGGCCCGTCGCAATTTGCCGCATGCACACGTCGCATAACCCATGCTGGTTGGTACGGCCTATACAAACTGTCGACTTTTGGTCCCCCTGGATTCTTGCAGCACTTCAGGTAAGATAGGCGCCAGACTAGCCGATCGTCCTTGGTCAGCAGCAGGGCCCAGCACAAGTCGGTTTTTAGGGTCTCTGAAAACGAAGTCTCCCCTGACTTTCGGAAGTTTTACGAAGTCCCCTTTGACCTACCTGCTTAGGAGAAGATGAAAACAAGAAAGAACTAGTCTGAAAGAAAAGACGGTAGATAAGAGTGAAAATCCAAATCGGAGCTGAATACTACGCATGCACAAGATTTTGGCATTAGAGCGCGATATTTAACAAAGCGAGACGAAATGAAGGCAAGAAACAAAGGAAGGGCAATGATATGAAAATGTCTTTATGCTCAGGGATAGATTTTTGACCGGAGAATCCGTCCATGCTAAAAAGATCCGAAATTTATGTGAATTGACGAAAATATATGCTCCAGACGATCACAGATCGTCTGGTGGCCGTCTGGAGACGATCTAATTTTGGGAAAGGTATTACTCCACATAAGTTTTCAAATCTACATAATCCTTTCGCAAGTAATTTTCTAAACATACAGTTCAATTTTGGTGTCATATGCTTCTGTGTGCGCTGTGCACAAGCAATTTATTTATTTAAGCCTTGGTTTCAAATCGCGCGCAGTTTTCGCCACACGCGATAGGGCATGTCAATCGTGTGATAACCTGTTCGAAAAGCTTGTGTTCGACTAAATGGCGCTTATTCTTGGTGCTCGGTTCCGACTCGTTAAAAACGATATCTCCTTTGCTTTTTGCTTCAAAAACGAAGTCCAGCCTGCTTCCAGGCGATCTGTGCCGGGCCCTGGTCAGTAGGGCGCGACGCACTGTTATTTGTTGTCACGTTGGAGGAAAATCAAGTCGGCGTCCGCGATTTCGTTACAACAAACATCTTTTTAATGGTAAGGCCTTCTCATCATTCTCTCGTACTGCAAGGCTTTCTTACCATCTCTCCAAAACTACCGTCGTTGTGAACATCGCAGACGCAATTACGATTTCCGTCCAACGTGATGCCAAATGACATCAGCTTACTAGTTCCGCCGCGTCCTGCTGAAGCAGGCAATCGGCTAGTCTGGCGCCTACCGAAGTGTTTTCGAAGTGTTCTCTGTGTTTTCCCCTTTTAGGTGAGAATCACCTTACCCAATCATTCAAACGATAACAATCAGTCAGTCTCTTGAGTTTTTGCGGTTGCAAATTCAGGAAGGACGCCAGAGATGGATGGTGTGTGCAATGCACACATGGTCTTATGAATGATTCCACTCTAACTGCGCGCGCCGCGTTCGCGCCCGCTCAATTAGTTTTGCTTTTGTGCCTTCGTTACTTCAACTTGTTCCGATGAAGTGGGGAGCACATAATTTGTGAGCGCTGGAAAAGAAAAAGGCAAGAATTAGAGTGAGACTTTCAAGCTGAATGGATTGATGTTAGTGGAGCATGGGAAGTGACAAAAATCTTTAGACCGCCCTTAATATGCCATGTCCACTTCCTCCTTTCCCGCCCTCTCCTGTTCAGAGAAGGAGTAGAATCGAGGGTAGGGGAACGAAAGCCGCCAGCTTCGGTCGCCTGCGCGGACTGCTGATCCTGGAACAACATGCATGCAACAACGTTACGAAAGGACCAGTTGTTAGCCGCGAAAGGCGGCTCAAACTGGCGGCTTTCGTTCCCCTACCCCAAAATCGACCATACGGTCCAAAGCTTCTGCAGCAAAACTAAAAAAGATGAGCATCGCCGAGTTCATTGCCGTATGTGCCAAGACCGTCGGATCCGAAGCACGTGCGGATGCGGTTCTGTCATCCGCCGGCGCGTGAAGCGCGGAGTGGCATGGTGATACCACGTTTGCGCCTGCATAGTATACTTAGGGCTTTACCTTACAACAATTAAATTAACTGAAATCGAGTCACTGTTATTTGTTCGCACAAATGCTCTCTTTCCTCCCCAGTCTTAAAGCACGTCCTGCTTCTGACACTCTCTCAGTTCCAGTTAACACTGCAAGTTCTTGTGCAGTCAGTATCTTATGATACATGGTTTAATAAAAAAAATTGAAAAGAAAGCGAACGATATATTCCTGACGATGGAAAGCAGATTAGAATGAGGAGGGGTCAGATACCGCGTATGCTGCACCGCTCGGTCCCTTCCCGGTCTCATTTATGGACCATGTTATTCCAGAGTCGCGAAGCGTATTCCCTATCTCGCCGGAGATGGATCCGACGATTCGTATGTGAAGCGAGATCACATCGAAGTACTAGATCCGAGGTGTGCTTGTAATCTATAGATTTCAAATCCTCTTGTTTCTTTCATAGTTCTCCACTCTCATTTATATACACACTGATTCCATCATCAAAAAATGCAACAATTTCCAAGCATCTGCAACGCGGACGTATTGGCGTCTATCTCGTGAGCGCACTTTCGTTTCTTTTGAGATCTGCTGTCTCTCCCATGCACGAACTATCTTGGCCGGACACCACAGCGCTCAGTCTTTGCGTGTCATAAATCGTGTGAAATTACATGTATAGGGTATTCCAAAAATCGTGACGGTGACACGACTGCGCGCGACACGCACGCACTTTCACGACCGCATTTTCTTAATTTCTATCTCCACTCGAGTGGTTTTTCTGCTTACACATGCTAATATTCAGACACTGGTGAGTGAGCTAAGCGTTGAGGTGATGCCTTCTTGTATGAGCATTTTATGCTCCTGTGTGCACAAAACCGCAGTGCCAAACTCGTCGTCACGATTCTAAGAATAACCTCTACTTCAATCACATCTCGCGCCTCCCAAAAAGATTTGAAATAAGCCGATTCAAATTTTAGATTCTTCACAAACTCATTTGGAAAACGCTCAGAGTTCTACCTAGATGACCCAAGGTGAGCGGAAACGATTTCCCTTGACATAACCTTCAAAGCTTCCTCTTCATCCAGGTTTTCATCGATGTCTTTCGGAAGGCGACGATGAGTAAAATGAGGGGAAGCGATTTCAGATTCGATCTCCGTTGGCATGTGTATTTTCAATATGCTCGTACTGATGTAAGATCAGTTATCAAAGGATCATAGAATAAAATGTTATGATATTTATCCATTCATGACTCTGAAAATTATTTATCAATGGATCTCTGCAGCTAAACCACATTTCACTTGTAGACGCAAAACATTATAATACTATGGAAGTGGAAGAATGAATTCGAAAGCTGAACAGTGAACTTCTGCAAATCGCACGAGTCCCGACCAGTGGCTCATCTGTGACTTCACATTCATGCGCGAATGGAATCAATGTCATCACGTAAACACAAGAAACTAATGGAATAAATGAGAAAGAATTGCATATTACTGACTACGGCCAGCCAGAGTAAACGTTAATAAACACGGTCTACGTAAATCATTAAGGCGAAACTGTGCTGATGGTGTAAAAATACGGAGACTATGACCAGGGTTAGTAACCGTCACGTCCGTAAATAAAGCAAAAGGATATCGTTTTCACATACATCGTATATAAATAGAATACATTAATGCGTTAAACCCATGAAACTTCATAACTTTTGCCGGAATAGTGTAAAACCCATAAAAACGGCACATTTAGACTCAAACAGCGTATTTGGGACAGTATACGAAGAAACTCAATCTACTTTCACGGATGAGTATATCTTGTGCATGAAATAATACGTCGACAGGAAACCGATTGTACCTGTGAATAACACAAATAAGAAATAAGCTGTAAACTTTTCCACCTCTAGTACTGAGAATTCACTCACCAGTCATCAAAAAGAACATGAAGACGAAAATTGCCGTATAAGAAAAGTACAATATGGTCGACACCTTAACGGCAAAATCAACATAAAACGTACAGGCGATAATGAAGCGATGAGCCCAACGCAAAAAGAAAAGCTAGAAAAATATAAATTAGAAAGACTCACCATGCCTGTAATCGAAAGTTTACTAGTGAAAAAGCGCACACAATAGGCGAACAAGTACACCGCCGTGAATCCGCTTGTAAAGAACGAACGCCACCACCAGTGATAATCCTAAAGCATCATCAGATATACGCCTTACTGATTATACCCGTAATCCTTTTTTGATCACTTGGAGTGAACAAAAGCGAGAGTCTGAGAGAGTCTAAAACTACCTGACTGCGAAGCAGTACGCTGTTTCCTAAAAACTTTTGCATTGATATGAATCAAAAGAAGGCCAATCTGAGCTTCAGTAGCCAACGCAGAGCATGTGGAAAACGATTTCTAGCAAGTTCTTCCGATACCGTTTCTAGCAGTTTGTGCCAGTTCCAGATACAAGCAAAGGTGACGGAATGAAAAATGAAGCTTTTCCAAAATTACTCAGTGAAACGGATTTTTTTTTTTGAAGGAAAGCTAGAAGGTGGTAAACTAAAGTCCCGGCCAGACCTCGCTCACAAGCGCTCAAAAACACCCAAAAGCAAAAGCGCCCAAATTTCTTTAACCTCTCTTCACTTTCTCTATCTCTCCTCGTACGAAAAAGTGAAGAGGTTAGAAAAATTTGGACATTGAGTGCTTTTGACGAAGTCTGGCCGGGGCCTTAAGTGGATATGCTGTGGTCCCGAAGATCCACTTAGTGGAAAACTGCTGAATAAGCGGAAGGTGGAGCGGGCACTATGCACGGCAGTGTTGCTCGCCGAACTTTTGAAGAAGCTGACCAATATGATCATACCGTGGTGCTTCTTCAGAAAATAAGCAAAAAGAACAAAAGAAGTTGAAAACTGGCAAACTACAAACTATCATCCATTCTGAGGCTAGGATACCCGAGAACGGTTTCGCACAAACTGTTCAACAAGCTCGAACAGTCCACTCCCAGTAATCATATGGAACGCGTTGAAGCCCTTGTCTCAGAATGGATAATACCAGATTTGTCTGGTGAAATAAAGCTTTTGCGACGGCAGAAATGATGCAGCATAAAAAGGCCGAGGAACGCACATTATCACGATTTATCCCAATTCTGCAAGCAAGTAGTGTGAAAGGCCTAGTACCATCTTTGTCAAACTAGCCCAAACGTTCCCGTCTGTCCCGTAACTAATTTTCTAAGAAATCCCCGAACACATTTTCATGAGCATCTGCGCTTATGGAAATGTGCTTTTAGCGCGATCTGGCCTACATGTTCCTTGATTTCACCGCGTTATACAAACTGCCGTATTTTGAATAATTAACAAGAGAACGGCCAAATTTCGATGTGACCAATCCCAGCAAGCCGTATGCCGTCGAGCACTCTATGGAAGGCTGGTTACATATCCGCCTTCACTATCTGCGTATCGGTCTCCTACACGAAGTTATGGCCCTCGATCCACGCGGGGCTGCCGCGCACCATACATAAATACGTGTATACAGCCACGACCATGGTGGACACATAGCGCAGTGAAAAGACCCAGCACATGGAAGCTGTGGTCTCGCTGGTCGAGCTACGGCAGACGCTCTATGTGGCTGATCAGTTTTTGCAATGAAAATTTTGTTTCTCTCCACAATTTCCATGAAAAACGGTGAAAACCCCGATCTCGACAGAATTTACGCCACAGAAAATATAGGTAAGTGTACGGAACCATAGGACGACGCCTCGACTTTGGTTTGCAAGTGCGATTCCTTTTGCTTGCTACTCCTTACCCATCCCCAATATCTATATTCTGCGAGAAGTCCCTAACGCGATTAAAGAGATAATAACATTTGAAGACTCCGGAAACTCGTATTTTTTACCACAATCTCAATAAAGAATAAGGATGATCATGGTGAAAACAAAAATAAGAATGCTGATGAGTAGGATGTTCATGGAGGTCGAACATTTTTTCGCTTGTACATGACAAATCTGTGCTCCGCGTTTAAAAAAATTTCTCACTTATTCCTGGTACTCCACAGGATACCTTGACACACATCCACCTTCCACACTACCTCTCAACTCTGCTTTCCACCCGATCTCATAGGACTTTGTGACTTTCAGAACTGTGATGAAGAACTTTCTATACGATGTGCCTGCTGCGAATCTCTTCTATGCTTTCGGCATTTCGTTATTGGCTCACAGAGTTTATCCAAATTCACTTGTATTCTCAAAATTCAAAAAAGTACAGCTTTCGAAGCTTTAGATGCTGAACTACCTTTTTAACCACGATAGGGACTTCGCGCTAGCTAAATAGATATTGGGATGGGTTGCAAAAAAGTAGCAATCGAAAGTGCAAAAAAAACAAAGCTTCCTCCTATGAGTCTGCACCTTACTACTGCGCCATGAGTCCAGTTGCAGATGAGCGACAGGTACTGATGATTCGCGGCGTCCCCACGGTGGAATCGAGGACCATAATCATGTAGGAGACGATAAGCAGATACCAAAGGCAGATACGTAACCGCCTCCTACGGAGGTTCAACGGTTTGCGGCTTGCTGGGACTGGCCATTTCAATTTTTGCCCCTTGCAAGTGTACATGGGAGAACGCAGGCGTTGAAAGGACTTACCTCTGCACAAAGGTGGAAGTAAGCCAGAAGAATGGTCGCTTCCGAGCACGTAATGATTAGAATCAAGAAGACGACGAATAAAAATCCAAACATGTAATAAGTCTGATGTGCCCTGAAAAGCGAGCCTTACAAAGCGGCCTATTTTCGAGGAAAACAAGTACCAGATGCTATTGAGGATGAAGAAAAGTTGTATGAAGATACATCCGAAAGGCAAGATTCCGCCCATGAGCATTCCAGGAAGCGGCTTCGTGTACAGTGTTTGTTCAGGTACTTGGCGAGGAATTTGATTCGTGCGGACCGGCGCTTCGATTGCCTAAAAAAATTGCGACAGATTTTTTCTTCTTATTTGCGTATGTCCCAAGATAGGCCAAAGCATTTGACAAAAAATGCTCGGTCATCAAAAAGTCATCTTTCTATACAAATAAATATGTGCTACTAATACTTATAATCTGATGACCGACTGACTCAGGTGCAGAGCGATTCCAAACCTTTTTCTTGAATCCAAAGAATGCACCAATGAATGTCATGGGAGTAGATATGAATAGCCAAAGTGATAGCAAAGCAAGCAAAGTTCCGAATGGCACCGCAGCAGACGAGCCTTTTGCCCATAGCAAGAGATTGGTGAAGAAAAATACAGAGAATAGTATTCTATAAGGGCAATTTCAGATAAGTCAAAGATGTGATAAAGCGACTGACCCAGGAATCAAGAAGCTCGTTAGCACCACATTAGTCTTCCAGTGCACACCATGGAATGCTGGAAATAATTTGTACTGTAGTGATTTTTTTGGAAAGCTATCAAACTCACTCTTATACAAACGAGCTGCTACATAGCCTGCGACAATTCCGAAGAGGACATAAAAAATTAATGCAAATGTGATCAACGCTCCACGGTTCGCCGGTGACAGAAATCCGAGACAGGCAAACACTAAAATATAGTGATGCAATTTTTGACCGGATGCGTACAAAATATGAAGACGGATGAAGCATAACCCTGTCTTTGATATCAAGTAAAGTTATCGTAACGAGAGCAAATCGCAGCCTATTCATTTACTGCATGATAATTGCATACAAAACCCTGCGCCATTTTTACGAAGCGTGAAACATCTAATTATTGGCTCACTTATGCTATTCAATTTTATGAGTGATAGCTATTCCACATCATAACATGTTCGATCATCGTTAGCGCTTCAAACATCACGACTAACAAAATATAAACTACTAACACAATATAGCTGCGAAAATCGTTCAAAATAGTTGTAGCAAGATGCACAGTAAGCAGAATCTTGGAGTTCAAAACAGATGTGCTTACTCTCCTTAGTAAAGTTTGCTCAAAAACACCTACCAAGTGTAATGGATACCATAAGCAATGTCTGGCACCCTGCGCCGATAAAGACTGACAACATCATGGCATTTCGAGGAGGACGGAAAACATCGCCATGAACTAATTTCCATCCAAACTCTTCCTGGGCATCCTCCTTGAATATTATCATTGTCGGATGAAAAGTAGTAAAAAATTAGTTCAAGACTATTCTACCTCGTTATCGAGCTGATTGTATCTGGCGATGTCACGATGTAGAGTACGCATCAAAATCATCCCGACCTAAAGCGAAAGGTACAATGTTCTGTGAGCTCGTATAGGTAAACTGACCATCCCAGAAAGGAACAGCACTATCACGAGCGAGTTCATTATGGAGAACCATTGAATATTTGAATGTGGAATTGAATCGAGGATATAATCCCATCGCGATGACCACTTCACTTCGGTTTTCTCAAACAGATCATGAGTGAACAAATCAAAAATATTTTCGGAACCCAAAATGTTAACGTACCACCCAGTCAACTTTATAGGTGTAAACAATCTGTGTGGTAGTATCTGAAGCCTTGAGGGGGAATGGTGGAGCTGTTTCAGAGCAATCCAGTTTATCAGCACTTGGATGCTTGATCGATCGAGGCTTCACCAAAATGTGAATGATACGTCCACCGACCTGAAAAGTATCCGTTATTTGCAAGATTTCTGACTCTGCAGAATATAGAGCACTACCATCGTCATGAGGTTGACCGCTCATATTCGAGGTGTGAGGAAAAGGATACAAGAAAACGTTTCTAGTACCAAATGCAAAAAAAAGAAAACAAACCTGCTCTCCATCCAAAAAGTTCTGGTCGTGTGTCATGTCACGGTATTCGATTGTGATATCAACATGATTGAAAATATAATAGCTGTCCGGCTGGTTGAATCGTGGCTTAAATAAAAAAGGATAACCGTAACGAAAAAAGCAAAACTTGCAGTCATTTTAATGACAATTGTGCACAAAAATATACCGATTCTACGCCATTACAAATAGCAAAAGATAAGCAAATCAAAAAAGATGATTTAATCCAAAGATCTTACGTCGATAACACAAGCATCTCGGGGCTGTCCGTTTGCGTCCACGTAGCAGCCCATTGGAAAACCCGTCGTACAAACCTTCACATCCTGTTGGTTATTGAAGCAGAAGGTAACAGGCATGTTATCAATGATCCTGTGGTTATCGATAGAAACAAAAGAATACATAGATTGACCAAAACTTACCAGTGATGTTGATAGTTTAGCCTCATTCCACGCTGGAGTAGTCGCAGCTTCTCAATGCTTGATGCCACATTCGTGTAGGATTTGGAGCATACTTTGGAGCACGTTTGCGGTTGCAGGAATGAAATCTAAAACTAAGCGATTTGATTAAGCGAACATAAAGAAGTATATATATATATATATATATATATCGGACCTGGTATGGACTCGGCCTGATTCGCTCCCCGAAAAGTACCTGACCGAGGTTCTCGACAGGGGATTCTTCTTCAGAGCCAATACAGAAGTCAAAACTGAACGAGAAGGTCTAACGAAAAGCTAAAAATGTAACAAGGATTGGTTCTCACATATCAACCCACTCAAAAGAATTGGATGAACCATGTCCGGCACGAAATTGATCATACAGTGAATGTAATCAACAAGGATTTACCTGTCAACATGCATGACGTGGATCGAGCAAAACGCAAGGTTACAAAAAATACGCAAGTGATTTTTCCTACATTGATACTGCCACACTCTGATCTTCTTAGCCCGCTAAGAATACATGGGCATGTTTCTTTGAGTGAGGCTCTCAAAAGGATGTACGTTGGCAAATCAAAGCTCACACGACATCGTAAACAAAGCATCAGAAGCAACTGCACAGAGAAAATTCCAAAAAAAACCCTAACCTGTGATATTCATAGGGTATGACGGATTGATCGCTGTCTAGATGATTGACGTATAACGTTACATTACTCTTAAATATAGTCGTGATTGAATATCTAACTTCCCAATGACAAAAAATGACTTACCGGGCAAGTTGGTTTACTTTTTGGCGCTTCGCAGAAGTTTACAGGAGCCAAACCGGGAAGGTAAAAAGCCGAACATATCGATATTAATGCCAAGCTTGATAGCAAAATCCAAGGCATCTCAAAATCATACAAACATTAGCAGCACACAGAGAAGAACCACAAAACTAAAGGCGACTGCACTGGGAAAATAATAAACAAAAAGCTCAATACACTATCGACTACGGTGTAATCGAGCTGAAATTGAAAAAGAAAGGAAATGCACCATTTGTAAAACCGAAACAGCAAATTCCGGAGTTCAACGCGCAGAATATGAATTAATCGATGCCACGCCTACCACGATTGCCACGCATTATAGCAATAAATGGTCCTCCATGGAACAAGAAACTTGGTCTTGGGAGGACTACTTGTCTACTGTAATTGACATCAGGCTTTCGACCACGTTTTGTTATTGAGTGTAGCAAATCATTGCGTGCGCTTTGAATGGGGAGGAATCCCTGATGCTATGTGAACAAACATTGTTTATGTATGATATTTCATATTTCGCCTTGCCGTCGTGTTTTTCAAGCGAAAGGAAAACTTGTGTGGAAAGGATGTCATCTGTACAGCTTGGTAATGAATCAGATTCATTAGTCACAATTATTTGCAATAAGGGCAGAACAGAGAATTTGCTTTATGCGCTATAAGCGATACACATTGAGTCGCACAGAAATCAAAGGGCATCCGGTTTACTTACGCAACACATATCGAGTCATTTGTATCTTCATAGTATATGGCTCTTCGTGATCGCGAGGGTCAGCAGTTAGTTTGTGGCCATTGCACACGCAGGTTGCCACAAGGCCTCAAACCAAACGTTTCAGGTAAGTAGAAGCTAACATCTGATAACAGAAAAGCGTTTCAAAGGTAAAAAATGGGAGAACTTAATGCGCGTGCAATGGCCGCAACTCACCGACTCTCGCGTTCATGCAGAGTATTCTCTATACGCGCATTATAGTCATCCTCACCCCACTAGTCGGTCGGTGGTCGAATTTGAATTCGAACTGGAGCAGACCGGCCGCGGGAGAGCGCGACAGATCGCCCCTCAGCCAACCGCTTGCACATGAGCTTCTCTCTTATTTTCTTCGTGCTTCTTTGCTATCTTTCGTATTATTAAGTTTTTTTATCAGATTTTTAGATTTCGCACCGCTAACTTTTGTTTTGTGCACTTGTGCTCTTTTGTTTTACATTTTTTCCGTGTATACCGGAAAAAAAGGATGCGATTGGAGATTTTTGGATGAGAAATCTCTTTTGTCCGGTAAGTGACATATACACAAATGTAATTTGATGAAATGTGTCAAGTTTTTCGTTAGAATATGTACTCTAGACAATTTTTTTCGCGGTAAGGCTGAAATTATCTCAAAAGTTTGTTTCAAAGAGTTAGCGGTACGAAATCAGAAAGTCTGATCAAGAACATTGTCGCAATACGAGAGATAGCAAAGAAATACGAAGAAAATAAGAAAAAAGCTTGGCTGAGGGGCGGCGTCTGCCGCGCTCTGCTCTGCTCCAGTTCGAATTCAAATTCGACCACCGACCGACTAGTGGGGTGAGGACGACTATACCCACCATGCGCGCTACTTGACAAATTTGCAAGATTGAAGTCTACTTATTAACAGCGGTTTCTTGTTGTTTCCTTGCCTCTTTTGGGACTGGAAATGTATTAGTTTGTAGAACCCACTTTTACAGATTGTTACCCTGCAAAATGCCTTACTTGAAAGCTACCTGATGAAGATGCTGTCAGTTGCTAACGCGTTGGGTGCGTGATCACAAGTTACGAATGACTCGACATCACATATAGATGAGTAAGTCGACAATACCCTTTCGCAGCCATCGGTTGTTAAAGGCAGCGTCCGGGCAAATCTGGATCTATGGAGATTTGAGGAAAGTAATTTCAGGGCTCTAATTAAGGCAGGGCCCAAGCAGCAGCGCAAGCAACTAACGGCTCAGATATACGCCTCCAAACTGGGCCCGAGGATCGCACTATTGGACGACATGCACCAGGGTAGAGGACTATATATAGTCCTCTACCCTGGTCCCCGCACTTTTCATTAATGAGAGTTTTGCAAAGTCAAGGTACAGCACCGATAATACCCAACCATGATCAACATTCGGTTTAGAAGTTTTTGCAATTTTCTTTTTCAAAACAAGACCAAAGTCAGGTTTAGTCTCGTAATCGCTTTTTCGAATGATATATGTTTTGTGTAATATCAATAGTGATTTGATTTTCTGAACATTTTTTTCTGGAGACAAAAAATGTTTTTCTTATAAAAACCAACTTATTTACCTGAATGAAATGCCACATGCAGAAATACGTATATGAATCCGTATTGGTCCCCTAGATTCAGTTTCAACAATATGTTACGGTACAGCACTAATAATGACTTAAGTATTTCTAGATCTGATGAAATTATCACCGGTCAGGTCATTGATTCTGTCCTAATGCCAAAAAAACTTCATAATAGACTTCAAAAGCTCGGAATGATGTCAAACAATAGGAAAAACATCTTCTTTATTTTGAAAACAACCAAATATTTTTTCAAAACTTCATTCATAATTTTCAAGAACCAACCTGGATTTTGCCTTCAAAAAAGAAAATCTTGTAAACTTCAATCCGAAGTTTGATCTCGATTGGGCATTATCGGTGCTGAACCCTAACTTTGCAACGAACAAATCTCACCACCGAAAAGAGCAAACTCGAAGAGCCCAAGGTTGAAAGTTGGTCTTGTCTGGATCGCTACTAGATTTCGGTTTTGCAACTTCACTCCGGGTTTCAGCATCTGAAGCGAAGTGAATATGGGGCTTGCAATGCCTTGGTATCTCGAGGAGCCCGTAATTAGAGCGAACCGAATGTGCCTGCCAGGCACATTGCGCTTGAACAAACGTCTATGTCTATGATGCCGGCCACTAGCGCGCGCAAAATGCCGGCATTATTGAAGTGGCTACAGCTAATTTGGTCGCCCAATCCGGCACCGCAAGCACACTATATCGAGTGGAAATAGTAAAGGCTACTGTAGCCCATGTTAGGACGCCCAGTTTGATTTTGCCTCGTATTTTACAGATGCGAACTTCTCAAAACATATCTTGATTTCACTTGTAAAAAACATCATGGCTTGATGCGGTACCTTTTTTGATTCTGCATTCACCTTTTAGTTAACTTTCTGGTTATCAAAAACTCTTGGCCTCGTGCTGGAGGGGAAGATGGCTTGAACTGGAGCCCAGTGTCCCATGACGGAATTTTCGGACCGCTTGAACTTGGCCCTAGACTGCTTTAGAGTTTCGTGTTGGCTCTGTTGCTATTTTATTCACTAAGCTTTCCCAATATGAAGTAGGCATACCCAACACATTTCATAAATTGAGCTTTATTCCACTTTTTATTTCATTTGAACTTTATACATAATCTTTGTAAGTAGGTTTTTCCATTCATAGGTTATCACGTCGAGGTCACATTTTCGCTCCGTCCATTTACTTCTACGCGGAGCTGAACGCTTAGCGTCGACCACCACGATCGTTCGTTGCTGATCCAGATTTTATAGAGGCCATCCTGGAAAAAGAAGCGGTGTAGGAGAAGAGGAATATATAGTGATTGTTAAAGATTTACACCACCTCTACGATTTTGACGCTATCATCAAGCGGTGTTACTGTTGGTCCAGGCATCCAGGGAAATGTTGGCACTACCTGATCCATACTAGAAAGAGAAATAACTCGAAGAATTACACTTTCAAAATTAGTAGTTTGCAGGTGGGTAGCCAACTCACATAGCATAATCATTATCGTCGTCGTTTTGTGCATGGAAGAATCCAAAACCAAAATTTCTGTTTCCGACGGCCCACCATGCTATGACGTCACCTCGCTGCAGCTGCAGCGAGATTGTGTGGTACTTTCCAGCGTAAACATCTATTGCTTTGGCATTGTCGGGGACCTAAATTGTAAACTGTAAAGCGAGGAATACGTATGTTACAGATAGGGAGGATGGAGACGATATCTGTTAGGAAAGCCTCATTCGTTGAAAAAAGCAACACGAGGCCTGAATAAATTTGATGGGAACTTTTGGGAGCTGGAGATCTAGGCAGAAATCAAAAATGCGGCAGCTTTTTGGACCAGCAGAGAAGCGACAAAGTTTTTTAGGAAGCCAAATTGTGCTCGAAGTGTCCAACTTTTTTCAACGAAGGATCATTCTGTTGCAAGACTTTCTTGAGCACTTGCACATAAGTATACAGTCGAGCGGATTTGTCGGTGAACATAGTGTCCTTGCGGTGCCGACAAAATGCGGTAAGATTTGCGCGTGAAGAAGTGGATACTCCTGCAGTGCCGGCGATTTGCGCGCGCAGAATACCCGCATTACATGAGCTTATCTGTTCACGCGCAACTTTTGGCATCTCGGCACAGTAAGGACACTATATGAGAAATACCCTTTGCAAGTTATAAGCTAATCGGCATGATTTTTAGGCATGAAGTCACAATCAAAGCTTTCATGACCTTCCTAACCTCATGATTTTTACGGTTGCAAGCTTGAAACTGGTCTTTTAGAATTGATTGTGGTTGGCGCCAGCCCCTTCATTCGGAAAAGATAATTGTGGCTCTCCCTATCCCTTAACTTTCTCGGAAGAACCTTCTGGGACCGCCGTCAAGCCATTTTTCCAGTTCTTCTACCTTCAAGTCAGTTCAAATTACTACCTTACTTTTAAAAATCTATCCATAATGTGCGAGTTGTTGCGAATCGCCGAAACACCACAAATTCCTGCATGTACCCATGCATCGTTTGCACTACGAAACAACAATGGTTGCAGAATTTGTCCTTGTAGAGGATAAACTCATAAATCCTCTAGGCGCATGTATCTTGCATAAAAACTAGTTTATGAATGGATATTGAAATTGCAGTGTTATACATATTGTAGCAAAGAAGTCATTGGTACTACTTTTGACATCAGCTGATAAAGAACCATTGTAGTCCTGGCATTTTCCTGAATATTTATCTGGAAAAAGACACAATAAGCTGCCATTTCCTAAGCCTTTGTGCGCTCCAGATTTATTAGTGGGCACGAGTGCACTAAAGAAAGCACCCCGCCTTTCCACCCCTAGGGACTACATGGAATTCTAAGACTTTGTGAATTTTTTTTGTATTTTTTTTGGGAGCGTGGCTGCCAAAACTTGCTTTATACACTTATAAGCTTCAACACACGGTAAGCATCCGGGAATTTTTTTCTAAGTGAGACGTAGCGAATGCAAAGGAAACAAAGGAAAATTGTCATGCTCCGCCCCAGAACTTTTGGGGGTTGCTTGGTCTTGCGCATTGCATGCCTCTGCCGTAGGGGATGATTATATGTTGCCGGAAGTGGGAGGTCCCACCGGACATTTGCAACACATATTCCAATACATGCACAGGCTAAGTATCTGTTGCGGTGTCCTCGCGGAAGCTTCCCTGTTTCGACGACATAGGGATCCATCATACTTCGCCGAGAAAAGCCCAAAAGCGCTCAAAAAGCCCGAAAAAGCCCGAAAGCGCCAGAAAGAGTCGGAACTCTGGAACGAACTTTTAGTAGAATCCTGACATTATTTTGATGTGCAGACGACAGGAAATGAACCAAAAAGGTCGGCTGCGAAATCAACACACATTCCTTAGCGCCACAACGTGCGCAAGGAAGGAGGCGTTTCGGCTCTTTCTGGTGCTTTTGGGCTTTTTTCGGCGTTTTGGGCTTTTCTCGGCGAAGTATGACGGGTCGCTATAGTCCTCTACCCCATTCCTCTGTAGCCCTGCCATTCCCTGATGCCAGATGCAACAGATTATTTATGGTAGCAGGCCCTTGAATACGTTTTGAAATGCTCTTCCTCACGTTCTTTCATTAGCGGTAACGTCTTATCTATGGTAAAGCAAAATTAACCTTCAGTCCTTTGCTAGAGTAATACATATCTCTCGGGAAGGGTTGAGGTGTGTCAATGTGAGCTGGAAAGGTATGAGTATCGTCATTCCAAATAGAAGGAAGTGCATCGATGTTGGAGAACTGAAGTATCTCGTCCTTCCAACTAGACGATGACAAGATCCGAACCTGCAAGGAGGCTTATTTTGCTGTAGGAACATTAACATTTCAAAATGGCTTGTATCAATACTTTATTCTTGGTCCTTTCGGGTAGCAAAGGCCGAACAATAGTCCAGAAAGCTACAGCAAATGAAGGTAAATTGACTGGTACGAAGAACTAAAACTTTGAAATTTTGTATGTTTAATGTGAATGGAAAAGTTAATGAGATGTGAAATTGACCTTGATCATTTCCACATAATGATCAGACATAAACTCTGCCAATGAGCGCATAGACCCTGTTATCATATCGTACAATTTTTTATTATATTCAAGACCCGTAACATCCATTATATATAGAATCCAGGCTTGTTTACCTGAAAGCACAGTTGAAGATTCTTCAAAGGCTGTTTTGAAAAAAATTTCTAACCAGTTTCTTTCTCCAGTTCCATACATTTAGCCAACATATCCTCAAGATCATATATTCTTGCTCGCATCACTTCAGATATAGAAAAACATTCCATCATACCGCTATAATCAGTTTTTCCACACTGAAATAAGCACATTAGGTTCTAAATTTGAGAAATTTTCTGAGTACTCGGCTTACTCACCTGTTCTATGTTAACTATAACATTCTCAAGTGTTCCGGAGAGCTTGGTTATACCATAACGCCAGTGACTGTGTATGAAATGAGTTCTTTCCTTTTTGTGCAGGTTATCCAAATCCCAAGTTGATTTTCTGAGAAAATTAAAATTTAGATAGCAATACAAAACTCGGAGCAGGGCTCGGCACAGCTGGCACCAGGTCAAGCTGGATATCGTTTTTGGGACAAAAAGCAAAGGGGATATCGTTTTTGTGCTTGAAAAGATACAAAAATTGCGACGTTTTTTAGTCGACGTTTCGTTTTTTGAGATTTTTTTTAACGTTTAGAGTTTAGGGTCAAAGGGGAATTCGTACAAAATTTTCAAGAAAGGACTTCGTTTTAAAATTTTCCTGGTACCAGCTCGTGCCGAGCCCTGACTCGGAGGAATAGCTAGCAAATGCTTTGTGATTTTTGTCCCTGGAAATTAAAAAATTGTTTCATTTTTATATACCTTGCTTTTAAGTGATGCTGCAACTTTCTGGCAATCTCTGGTACGGTCAATTGTGCATGACCTTGTAGCCATCTGAGCAAATTGAAGTCCGTATCATAATACTCAGTGAGATCGTCTTTGACAAGTTTTCTTAATTCGGTTATCTTCTGCCTCTCATCTGGTGTAATACCGCTAGAGATTGTCATAGAATTCTGCAATTACACAATGATAAGCTTTCAGAGATTTTTTTCTGAAAGAAAAAAAGCGTAGTGATGAGAAAAACTTGAAGGCAAAGCAACGCGAGTGACAGTAAAAGTGATGTGCCCATTTCTGAGTGTGGATTTGTCAGTAGCGAAAAGCGAGAACCGGTTGGCGTATGAGTGAATTGACCCAATGAGTTTGGTCAACAATATGAATGGTCTGATTGGTGATCAACATGAAAAGCAAAGAAACTGGATAAGAAAAAAGCATTTTCCAAGCAGTCATTGCCATTTATTTCTAATTTTCTTAGAAGTGCTTGAAAATGGAACACAGTCATCGCATCAGGATCACAATGTCTTACTTCGTAAGGTCCGGAAAGAATTTAATTTACACGAAAACTGTGGAAATTAATTTCTTCCTTCGTCTGCCATCAAAATAATTATTCACCCCCCCCCCCCCCACGCTTTGAGAAAGTGCAACCCATGTATTAGACATTGAGGACATTTTGAGAGTTCAATTTGTGGACGAAGACCTTCGATGAGTCTTGGTACATTCGGAAAACCGGTAGCCGACAATAGTTCGACTAGCTACCTCTACAAAACTAGCCTTATCGATTGTAAAACAGGTGAGCTCAGCTGAAAATTTACCACAACAGAGTTGAAACGGAAAAAAGTCGAAAATCTACTTAATGTCGTGACTTTAGTAGTCTACAAAGGGATATGGTAAATATCAGTCGCTGGCGGTCGGTAGCTATCAGCGATAGCCTTGATGGATAAGGAGAAAGTGAACGCAGACACTGTCTGGGCTATAACGAGATGGAGAGGATCAGTCGAGCAGCTTGTTGAGACAGAACATTATCAAGATTAATAAAACTTTGTAATATGAACTACAACATAAAGCTTTTCCAAAGTGGAAAAAGCTAGGAAATCAGCAAACGTGAGAAAAAGCGCGAAAATTAACGAATTTTTGCAAGCTCTTCAAATTGAGGTGCTCGCAGGAAAGTTCGCACAAGAATGAATATAATCAGCTTGTCATAAAATGTTCAAGGTTTTCAAATTCAAGTTTTCCCACCCGTACATGGTCTGAATGACCAGGAAGTAAAAGTAAATAGTTTCTTGAGTATCCATTACTGAACGCTCTCGAGTTCAACACTTTAGAGAACATTCATTACTTTTTTGTTGCTGTCACACCCATCAAACTCGAGAGAAAACCGAGAAAACCACTCCTGAGCAAAAACATGGCAATGAAAATTTTCTTTCTTGAAATGACGTGGATCATGAGTTCGAGATAACCAATTTTTTTCATATTAGGTTTATAAGCATAAGGTTTTGAATGCGTAAGGTCTCTTAGTCCTCGATCTCAACAAGGCTATAGAAGATTGTAAAGAAAGAATGCGAAAGGTGCGCTGGCTCATTCCATGTTATATGGTCTAAGGTATGTGATGTGTGGTTGGGATATTCGGCAAGTTGTGACGGTCAGTGTTGGAAGTTGGACTGAAATTGAGAACTCTAAATCATAACAGCCTATCGTAACATCGTTGCATAGTCATCGCTGCGAAAAAAAAAGAGGAATTTTTTGACAAAAACCCTTGACGATGATTAACGTAACAAACTGTCGAATAAATTGCAACTGTGGGAGATTGCGGAATAAGTATTTGGTTAACGAGGATGGCTGAAGGAAAATGTGCTTAGAGTCAAAAAGCGATTTACAATTTCCTCTCGGATATTACTTTTCAATGGTAACCACCCAGTACTGTTAGGCTCTCTTCACATTGTCAACAAGCAGAAAAATGACGATTGATTAGAGAATGAAGGCTATAATTGAGAAAATAAAACTATTTGGAGGGGAAATTGAGGATAACAACGCAGCGGAAAACACTCGACCTCCCAGTGATGATTGGTTACTACAACCTGGTGACATTGAAAAGATCCAGTCTTGCTGGACTCAAAACAGGAAGGAGGGTAATGCATAAGAACATTGCTGGTTCTGAGACATTCGAAGACTGTGTCTGAGAGAGGAAAAATCAAAAACCGTGGCTCAGATGATGAAGAATCAAATATGAATCCCTCACGAACTTTACAGCTAGCCTCAAGAGAAGTACACGCTGTAGATCACAACAGTTTAGAAATCGCTCTTTTCGAAAAGATTTTGTAAAATGCAACTTTAGAAACTTGCACACAGAACAGTAAATGACCTCAACTGAACTATACTGACTGCCAAACGAAAGCAAGGCAAATCGGTCACACACCCTCTATAAAACCACAGCTGAAATTGTGTACTTTGAAGGAAACTACACTCTTGCCGCAATGAATTATTTCGCCCGGTTTGCGGTTCGTTTTCACCTTTTCTCTACACTTTTTATGACATATACATGTATGCCAGGAATGTACTTTGTAGTTTTCTCACTAACAAAACTTATTATTAGATTGTGATTAGAGTCGATTAAAGGAGAAAAATAGTATAGAAAAAACAGGATGGTCAAGTATGCAAAAACCGGCTTCGAAGATTAGCAATGGTACTTCACCTCTTCAACAGGTCAAAGCATTTCGTGGGAGTGCATTTTTTCAAAATTACTTGCTTTAGTAATTTGTGCATGGATTTAGGTAAAACCCCGATGATTTGGTAAGCTTTTAGCGAAAATACTCAATCATCTGCAATTGAATGATTTCCAACAAAGCAGGATTTTAAAAGAAGCACTAGATAATTTAGATGTTTCATCTTTATTGAATTCAACACTTGGAGCAGTAAAGCACAGCTCTCAATCTTCAAAATCCTTTTTTCCTAGCTTGACTCCTCTATCTGCAAATTTTTTATCCTTCAAAGAACCAAAATAACTTCAAGAAATGTTACATTGAGAAAACTCAAATGTCCAATACTGGATGTTCATATATAAAGGATGCGATAAAAAAAGTAGAAAAAAATAAGAACGAATTCTAAACCGGGTATGTATCTCTACTTCAGTGTTTATGACTTTTTTTTGTGAAAAAAATTGGTTCGGTCGATCCGATTTTTTCAGAATTGAATCACGAAATCACTTCTTATAGAAATTATTCCACAGTTTGAAGCTCTGAATTGATCATTAATTTTAGAGAAACTTTCGTGAATTTCGTTACCTAAGTTTGAAGATTTTCTCATTATTGGAGAGATAAAGAAAATAAGGAACTTGCTCCGAAGAACGCCCATCATAAAACTGTACATGAAGCACATACAATCCACCTCTATACTACTTAATTCCACAACAATGACCATGTTCCTCAAATAAATAGTTTGCACTATACGGCTTAGGATAGAAAAAACGAAGGAAAAGAGGGGATACAAAAAAATTTTCCCGATTCAAAGCCTGCCACTGTAAGTGAAAATTTTCAGACCTTTAAAATACATTCAAAACCTAAAGTATCAAGAAATGCATGAGGGTATTCGTCATGAAAATTATGAATATACAGAGACACCAAATCCTGCTTCGTTTGCTAAATTCAACATGATTTCGCTTGATGTAAAAAGTGGTTTTGGTAATCATTAAATTTTTTGCCTATTTCCAGGATACTTATGAATTCTTTTGAACAACTCCCTAACAAGCGAAGTAATCTTTTTGTAACTGCGTCACAAAATCTGCTCAGAAATTCCAATTCATGGATCGAATGATAAGTTGTATGAGCTGAACAAACTCTGCACATCAGCAAATAACGTTCGCAGTTTCTAATCCACGATGTCAGGTATCTTTACGAAGATAGAAAACTTAGTGGTTTTGAATATGAACTCGACGAGTACCACTGTTGTTAGTCAGCATTAGAGAACAAACTGACTTCGAAGTAAGAATGAAGGCTTGCGGCTATATAAAATGATCATCAAGCGACCAAAATTGACAAAATTTTCAGAGCATAACCATGTCAACAGGTAAACGAATATGAGAGGTTTGTGTCGTTTCCAATCCATGCAGGCCAATCCTATGGATTGAGGTCGTTCATATGGATTTGGTTTTTTGATCGGGGGTCAAATACCCTTTGCGACAAATCCCATTGTTGTTTTGGAATAGGGAGATATCAAGGTTGTAAAGTGTGTCGGATCTGGAGTAAGTTTATTTTCTATTTTTTGTTTTTTGATCAGGGTCAAATACTCACTGCGACAAATCCCACTGTTGTTTTGGAACAGGTAGATATCAAGGTTGTAGAGTGTATCGGATTTGAAGTATGTGTATTTTCCTACGGGTTAAGTCAAGTTTAAATGGTGCCGAAAAAATACAGTACCGCTCGTATTTTCTAAAAAAACGAAGCACAGTTACCCATTTCATGTGATATCATCCTAGCGTGGCCATATCTCGCTTTAGAGTGGACGAATTCGCTCGGCGCGGCACATCTTCGGATATAAAGAAGTGCTTGTTTGGACAGTGTGGGAGGTTAGATTCAACGAATCGTTTCGGATTTTTGCTTGCGGTAGGTTACCCAGTGATGGGTGAATAATCACACCGACTAAGCTACCGTAAGCAAAAATCTGATACCATTCGTGGTATCTGGCCTTTCACAGTGTCCAAGCGGGCACTTCTTTATATCAGAAAATGGGCAGCAATGAGCTGAGTCGAATGGTGCCCATGAATTAAGATTTTGTTCACTCTAAAGCGAGATATGGCCACGCTACGGTGATGCTACATGAATCGGGCGACTGTGCGTCGTTTTTTTGATAAAATACGAGCGGCATTGTATATATGCCTTGAAGATGTTTTTTTCCCGCTAGTTGTTTGAGCGTAGTCCAAGATCGTTACAGAACTTTATAGCACAGAATACAGACTAACGTTTCGGCGAACTCGCCTTCTTCAGAGTATTACTGAATTCTGTGCTATAAATTTCTGTACCATTCTGGACTACGCTCAAATAATTAACGAGAAGATTACAACTATGCCAAGATTTATAAAAGTTTTTTTCCAATGTTCAAAGGCCGTAAGCAAATAATCTATATTCAGTAACTCATACCATTACCGCCCCCCCCCCCCCCGCCTCCCCCATTTACCAGTTCTGGCGCATCGTCACCGCGGCACGCTTTTCAGCATTTTTTCTGATAGGAATTGAATGTTTTTCTTCTTTACAGAAGTAATATATGGATTCACTCCATTCCATGTACGGAAACAATACATTTTTTCTTCTCAAATTTAGATTCTATCTTCGAGAAGTTTGGAAAACTCAAATTGCATTCGCAACAAAATGTGAAACGCAACTGACCACGAGCAGAACATGAGATAAAGGGGAAGGTTTTTAAGTTGGGTTATAAGCTTCCGAGATGGACCCTCACTTTCTGGCGATTTGTATGGGTCCACTTATCTCACAGTCATTCTTTCAGAAGAGACATGGTAATGGTTAACTGGTTGTGAAGATCTTGAACAAAAAAGTGAAGTCATCAAAGTCCAGCTACCAAAGATAGCTATCTTTGCAGCTGTAAAGTTCAAATTACCTACAAGAATCTCTGATTTGAACCATTGCTCATACTCGCTAGGGCGTGAACTGACTACGCTTCTCAGAATCTCACACTTTGGCAAAACTAGACTTGTTTATCTAAATACTACATCATTCTGAACACAAGAATCACGCGAAAATAAGCAGCGGTAACATTAATAAATTATCTGCTTCATGGAAGTATATCTCCAGGTTGAATGAATTGTTCTGGAAGCTCAGTAACGTCTTCAGGATTAACTTCTCCTCTTATCGAGCGCAGCAAATCGTACGGCTCGATTTTCGGATATTCGTAAATCGGTGCTTTTGTTGTGTTCTGGAATTTTACGATATAAAATAGCCGTTAAAGGTGGAAATTTGAAATTGCTACCTGTACTGTATGTGGAGATGTTTCGACAGGCTTATTGGTGACTGAGTCGTAGGCGATGCCTGTGGCAAGGCCAAAGTTCGAGTTCCAGATACCCTGAAAATCTTCGGTTCAAAAAGTATTGGTGGCAGGTTTGTTTCACATACAGTGTAGATGTGAATTTTTCTCGAATAACTGAAAATTTATCCTCTCTTAAACAATAGCCTGCTAAAAGTGTCGCAATGGAAAAAATACGGGAAACGACCTTTTCGTATCGCTAGCCACGGCGCGCGTCTCTGATTGGTCAGCACGCCGCCGGCAATTGGTCAGGTTTGAGCAGGGCGGAGCAAAAGAAGAGAGTCAAATAAGTTGAGCGGACAGCATGCTCCTCCGGCTTTTGTAAGTTTATCGTGTTCTAGACGCCGGTCAGTGTTGGCACAAAGATATGACATGTTTCAAACTATGGCGCTTTTGCATTGGTGGTGTAACTCGTCCACTTCTCCAGTAGTATAGGGGACGAAACGAGCTCGCGCGCGAACAGGTTAAAGCCAAAATCTAAAAGTATTAGCCGCGGAAAATGCTTCAAATGCAATACCAGATTCGATAAACTAGCAAAGTGCTTTCGCCTAAAATTCTTTTTAGTGCAACCGAAACAATACCAATCGCCATGGGAGGAAAGAAGTTCCAGATAAAATATGATTTGGATAGCCTACATACTTTGAATGCATATGTAAAGCTTTCACGGTAGATAAACTATGAAATCAAAATTTTTCATTCCTACCTGTAAAATTCCCTGTTGACAGTTTGGATCTTCAGTGGCAGCGAGACAATGATCGTGCACAGCTGAAACGTTATAAGTATTTACATTTCAATTAATTTAGATTGCTTTTGAAGTTTCAAATTGCAACTAACGTTTTCTCATTCGGATGCGTAATATACCATCACTATTTCTATAGCAAAGATAGACGGAATCGTATCTTCCTTTCACAAATGTTCCTGGACCAAATTTCTCATCGTTTATGTAGCATGCTGAAAGCACATTATGTGCATTTTTACCAACTTAGATCAAAATAAATGAGCCTTACCGACTGCTCTCCAAACCACTCCTCCAGTATGCTTATCCACGGCACATTCGTATATGAACCCATTTGTTTTGTATGTTTCTCTAAGAAAAATTGGACGTTTCCGGGTTTTCCCAAACTTACCATCATTCGGGTCGCAGGCTATGATTGAAAATAATTGCTAAATATAAAGAACAAGTTCCTAATTCTTACCAAAAGGCTTGAGTTCTCGTTTTGCACCGGAGCTTAGACAGGTGAAAACAATATAGTTTCTCACAAACCACTGACCCTTTTTACATTTTTCAATTTCTATTGGGATATTGTTGAATGCACATGTAAAATAGAGCAAAGAAGTGAATAGGAGCAAAGGCGAAAGTACAGCCGACATACGAGGCTATTCAGGAGCGAATGGAGAGCGAGAAGAGCAATTTCTGACCACAACAATAGGGATCAGAACGATGGAATATGTTAGAAAATCGGCGTGAGATAATAACCAGGATTTCAAACGGAACTTCAGGTCAGCGAGAAGAGGAAGATGGTTCATATCGGTAATAATAAATTCACTAAAACACCATGCTCTATACATACTTCAAAGATATTAGGTTTTCTTATGAATTCACCCATTCTAGTTTTCTGGTTTTTCGAAGTCATTGCTCGAAAGAGCGAAGCAAACTTTGCAAGGCTCTTTCTAACACACGAAAATCGAATTACCAAAGCCAAAAGCCAAAAAATTTCAACTACTCAAAAATTGATGGTTCTTCATAACACTCTTTAGGGCCTCCGTAAAGTAGAAATTCGCTAGTATAAACTTACGAGATACAGCATTAGAGCGAGGCGGATGAGATGACCAGTGGTTTCTGTAGTCCCAGATGGAAGAGGTTCAACACGATGTCGCAACGTATCAAGTTGGGACGTGCTAAAAAATTGGATGATGCTTACTGAAAGCTTCCCCAATAGAAACTTTTACTACATTCTTATTTTTGCTCAATGTTTAATTAGATATGGTGATTATGTAGTAACCAGTCCGAAGCGCCGCTTCGCGGCGCTCCGGACTGGCTGTGTGTGTGAAGTGGGATATGACTCTCAAAGTTAGAGCGTGGAAACCTTTTCTCCTCCAAAAGTATGGCGATTTCTCAGACACTTAACAAATTCGGAGATCATCAAAGTTAAATGTCAGGATCTCCTGCTTTAAATGGTTTCCCAAGTTACATCATTAACCAAAGTGATGAATTATCGCTTCCTCTCAGCTTTCTTTGCAACTCGCGTTCTATTGTCATTCCTGAGTTCTGAGCCAAACTGCCCCCCCCCAACTCGTTTTCATCCAAATGTTTCCTTTATAAACCGCCGAAACTACCGATCTTTTCTCGCATTTTCAAATCCTTTTGATCTTACTTAATCGCTTTCGAATCTAGCTCCAAAGATGATGTTGAGAAAATGCGCCACCTTACACCTTTAAAGTCTGTGCACCGAATCAGGCCAAAATTGATGTGATGAGCTGCGCAACGCAAAGATTCTGCATCATGTCTGCGGCGTTTGGACTTGTCCATTCCCACTTTCATTGAACCCTCCTGCCATGCGAAATGCAGCGCAAGCCCTAACCGTTGGTGTGCGGTTTTGAGCCAAAGTTTCAGCGTTATCACCATAAACTATAGCTGCCAAAGTTGCTCATTCCCACATTACGAAAATCCTCGGATACTCTCAAATTTTCACATCCTAAAGTTTTCTGACCAAAGTGGCCGTCACAAACCCGGCAAGCTTTTCCCAGCTATGTACATTTTCATGGCTGTTTTCACCCGGGGCTCTGCTCTCCTCATCGACTGTCCCTACGAACTACCTTAGAAGGCCCATATGAAAAGCTGGGGTGAAGTAAGCGACGTCCCTTGTCATAAAAGGGCCGCGGGCGAACACTGCTATGCTTTTCATCATTGGGGACGCCGCTTCTTTTTTTGCCACTGGGAGGATTTTCATATGGGCCTCAAAGTAACTCTTTGCGAGATTTCAGCAAGAGGAGGATTCAACTCAGCGCACTTGAATGCATTTAGCCAAAATTCTAACTTACTATTATGTAATTTCCTAAATGAAAAAACCTCCCTTCCGCCTCACGAAATATGCTTTAAAAAATTCTAATGCCAGGGCTCACGTTCGCGTCTTATATGGGCCCAAATTGTTCAACAATCTGGAAAGCCTTCCATATAAGACGCCCATTTAGGACTATAAATTCCACCCGAAATGCTTTAAAGCGCACCCATTTTCCAACTCATCTTGGTAGGCTATTGACTCGAATTCCGTAAAGAGAGCTAGTATTGAAGCGTATATCCAATTTAAGCTGTTCATTCAAGCAAATCACCGCTGTCTATACGATTTTGAGGTAGTGCAATGTTCTGACAAAATTGCACTAAAAAGCTACATGTTCCTGAGGTTAGCAAGGGTTGAGTTGATGGTTAGTGAAGCGTCCCTTTCTTTCCATCTCTTTTGTTCACAACTGGTATATTGATAGCAGACAGACAGCGTGTAGCTCTTTTCAAAACTTCTCTCACGATCACAGTAACTTTTACAGTTTTTTTTTGAAATTTTCAGTCTTTGGATTAATTTAAAATCTTGAGATGAAGTGTTCTCTTAGAACCTGCGTTGCTTGCCAAGTGAGCTTTTTGCAAAACGTTTAGTGTTTCAAGGCAATTCGCATCACCATGTTTTTTCATCACTTAGTGGATAACAATTTGGAAGGTTTGCACAGTATTGATGTTTAACTATTTTCTCAAATAGGTTCGATTTTCACAGTGAGTTTAAAAAATTTTTCAAGTGAAGATATGTTCAGCATGCTTCATTCGCTTCTTTTGCTTCATTCTTGTGGAAGGGTTTTCTCAGAGTAAAATTGGAAAATTGTTAATGAGATACGTTTGGTAATAAGACAAAAATGGAATGGTGCACAATAGGAAAATGGACAATGAGTGATATGATTTTGCTTGATTTTTAAGGGAAGGTTCAATTTTGAGATTTGTTTTTGCATGTAGATACGTTTAGTGGTAAAAACAGTGATGATGTGGTGCACTGATTAAGAAAGAATTGAGGAGATGTAATGCAGATATCAATGTTAAGTATTATCACCGACCTGAAGATGCTATCCGACGTTTGCTTATTTTCACAAATGAATAAAGCAAAATGTAAGGCGGTTGAAATAGACGACCGCTAACAGCGTTGTAGGCGACGGAATTGGGGTTGCATTTAGCTTGACGTCGTGATAAACATCAAGGAAGCAGACGGAACACGAAGATGGCACAAAACATCATACCATTGATGACGTCATAGGTTGCACTTAGGTTGAGTCGTAACGGTAAACAGTATGGAAGCGGGCGAAAGTGCAAGAATTAATTCAGAGATCTGGGCAAACATTCTTTGCCGGTTGTTGACGTCGGATGGTCCCCCCTGCGCTTTATTATAGGGTATGATTACAAGCATTTTTGCTCACTAACTCACACTTTGCCGATTGCGGAAGTTGTCACATTTATCTCTTTAAGTTTCACTGAGGCAACGTCGGAATTGCCGCAACTTTCAGAAAATCGCTGCTTCGGGTTTATAGAGATATATGGCTGTTTTCAGGAATTGAAACCGATTTCTACGCAATTTTTACGGTTATGGAAGCATCTACCTTCTCATTCCATTATTCATCGTGTTTGTCCATCTGCGCTTCGATTCGACATCGTTCCAATTCGTTCTGAAACGTAGAGCCTTTGTTCATGGAACGTTATAGAGCTAGTGACTCTTACGCTTGAACATTTGATATTATCATCGTAAATAATGGAAGTTCTATTAGATTTCCCATAAATTTTTTTTTCATTTTTGAATTTTCATCAGATACAATTCCTTTCATTCTTATAGAGAAAAGCAAGCTGTATAAGGTGGCTTTTGAGAATTCGCACCAAACTTGATCCACGTAGATTTTCAAGCAAAATATAAAAGTTCCGAATGCCCAAAAAATAAAAGAGGATCATACCATATTAATAAAATTTTTACTTTTCCCACGCGCTCACACATACTCCACATTTGCACATACAATTTCTGCATTTTTTTTTTGATTTCTGGAATATCAGTAGAAAAAATCAAATTGGCAAACTCTGCCTTTAGCAATTCTGAGTTTTTCTCATATATGTTAGCATTGCCTAGAAATACTGCCATTCATTTGCAAACCTTTATACTGATACTTCTGAAAAACTGGCGCCCGTGTAGGCGCCCTAAGTAGTTCTTGAGAAGTATCAATTTATAGGTTCAAGTTTGAAAAGACTTATAAGACAACCTAATGGATATGTACTAGCCTTATTGATAAACGCTGGAGAGGGAAAGAAAATTTGCAAAAGAATTTCCCAAGCTGTGTAGCGACAAGAAAAATGCTGCAGCTCTGCATACTTAATGAATATGGATGCGCGCACATGTCAGAAATGTGTTCGGGAATTTTCCCACACCAGCGTCTTTTTATTTCCTCGCTTTTGCTGGTGGCAATTCTTCTTTGTACGAACATTCTAAATTTCTAAGAAACAATATTTTGCTGCGTCTGCTTTATGCTCTAGCTCCAAATCTTTCTCAACCTGAAATAAAAATTTGGTGCCCCTAATGACCTGCGACAAGAATTTCTTAAAAACATCGAATACGCAAATTGTTTCTATTCCACAAACTTCCCCGGAGTAGCTAGGCGGAAATCGAAGGAACCTAACAATGAAGTACATTTGTCATACAATACGTAGTGTGCAGAGCATTTTGAAAGTACAAAATTTTGACGTCATTTAGCTTTGATGATGAACTTGATTTATCTGGTATTTTTCCACTTCATGTACACTTGCCTTTATGGCTGAAACGCGGACGCTTCGCTCATTTGATCTATTAAAAAACTACAGCCCTTTTTCTTTACTCCACTTTTAGGTCCCCGCATAAAATACGTCCCTTGCACCCTCTAAAGATTGCAATAAATATTCTCTCACATGCAGGGGGTTATTTATAACTACGCTGAGGCGATGTTTCTTCTTCTGAGCATTGCCGCATGAGAAACCTTCGCCTTAGGACCCCTGCTGCGCATTTTTCGTCACTAGTTCTAGGGAGAAAACACAGGCAATGAATCTTACTGGAAGTGATCGAAGATGAGACAGATGAGCATGATGTATGTTATTGTGTCGATGTGTATGAATGGGTACTATAAAAGAGAAAGTGCTAAAAGGTTATTGCAGAGCGTTAAACGCATGGTTCATCTTTTCCACATTACTCAGCTAGCTTTTACGGGGGGGGGGGGGGGAGCTGACACGCAAAAAAGGGTTTTCAAGGATGCAAGATTTTTTAAAGAATTCTTTTTCTGAGATTTTTTGGACGAAATGTTCGTTCTTTTTACGTTACTAGATGGGTCCAGAGCTTCGTGTCTTGTTATCCATCCTTAATTTCTATTTGTCCGGTGTTGTGTTGTTTAAAATTTCTGTTTGATCTACTTTCTTTTGACGCACCTTGAGAATATTTATTTATAAAATATAAAAAAAATTAATCCAAGAATTTCCTCAAAAACTCTGTCTCTTTCTGCTTGAATACATACTATTAGGTTGTTCTACAATCTCGCTCCAAATCTTTCCAAATTCCGTAAACTCTTTTTTTTCGATTTGAAATTCATTGGGGAACAACTGATTACTCCTAGCGTTCCTTAGCACAGAATTAATGCTGACAATATCTTGGTGATACGAGATGTTGAAAGAGAAGACTTTTTGTTTTTTTTTTCAATAAATTTTGGAAAGCTCAAGTAATTTCGATCATACACTCAGTTTTGGTAACCATTTTGGCTGTTTAGAAAAATTTGTGCCAATCGGACACTTCTACGAAAAGCCATGACTTCTATTTTTTGTACTTTAGCCATGATTTGATCCGTACGCTTCGTACTGATTTTTTTGGATTTCGCTGTAAAAAAAATTAAATGCTTGACAAAAGAATATAGAATACGCCAACCATTTGAATAGGATATAGCAAAAATTTATTACTTTTTAAAGTAATTTTTAACAATTTTTCAAATAACTTTTTCGGTGCAAGATTCATTGAACATCCTAATACATACAAACGCCTCTGCACTCATAGTTCCAATATCGAATGACCAAATTTGTGCAAATATGTGCACTTCTTTCATTATAAGGTCAACCGTTTTGCAGCTGCTAAAACATAAACCTATTCGATCTAAAAATTCACCAATAATCAATTATTTGTTGTTTCAAACACGAGCTTCTACCGGGTTAGGCCGCGACTGGTAAGCTGGACACTTCTCTACAATTCATGGGATGTTCTCTAATACAGAAACTTCAAATAGGTAAAGACATTTCTTCTACTGTATATTTATTTTGACTTTGAGAATATAAGGACTAGAATATCTTGCGTTTTTTAGTATGTTACTTCCACTTTCGGTTATGTTTAGCATGCTATCCCAAAATAAAGCTCAAGTGTGTTTTCAAATTTTTTTTACAATATTGTACAGTCTTTCCTTCGAAACTGTGCTCACTATCTGACATTTGCTTAATTCCCGGCTATTAATGTACACCAGTTACAGACTAGCTCTATACTAGAATAGTATATAAAATGTTTTAGTAACACGTTAAAGAACCAAGTCTCTTCAAAATTTGTGAACCGCCTTAGATTTGTAAAGTAATAAGATGCTAAAACTGCTAAATTTCTAAATTCCGATGCCGTATAATTTCCAAAACTTTAAAAACCTCCTTTCAATAATCGAAATAGGTATACAATGTCAGTGATTATTCAGACGAATCTCCAAAAAGTAATCAAACTCATCAAGCATGTTTGCAGTACTAGACATAGTTCATATTTAGTCAGCCTGTTTGATATCTAAACTGGCGTTTTACAAGTGCTTTACATGGTTTTTATGGTGGTGCTTGAATTATAATATCAAAATGCTACCCCTGTCGCTCAGCAAGACTGTTTTTTATTATGCAACTTCTCAATCCACTCCACACTGGAAATAAATGGCTAGAGGCACATACTAAACTAAATCTACAAATACCTTTGACCGGGCATTTCGACCACTGTAAAAAAAAATTTGGAAAAAAATTGTACTTATGCCTAACTTCATTGTATATTTCTAATGATCCCACAAGTTTGAGGGTCCCTTCTTACATTTTGATTCTTCCCAAAATCTCACAATCATATGTAATTATAATTGATTCGTTGCAGAGTATTTGTCAATAGAAATCATAATCGACAATTTCAGCAATGTTACGAATACGATAAGGACCATAGTAACAAATCTTTGAGCTATTCTTGGAACATCATAATTTGAAAAGTTTTTCCTCAGCAGCCTTGCGCTATGAGAAATTTTCTATACAAAATTTACGTTCTAAATATTTCCCTAAGTACATACCGAAGATGACAGGCAAAAGCTAAATTTCTGCATCACTTCATCTTTACTTCTTTCACTTTGGCAGTTTTTGGCAAAAAACATCGAATGAATAAATAAAAAAATAAGTGATAAAAATATGAACACGACGATGTTTTTTGAGATCATATTGTTGGGTCAAAAACGTGGATCAAGTGGACTAAACAACAATTTGGCGCACATCTGTAGTTCGCACTGATGACAACCACTTTTCAATGGAGCAAATGAAAAGCATGGTCTGAATTTTTGATTGATAAATCACGTGTCATTATTGTCATGGTGCATAGATATATACAAAAACAAGGGTTTTTTCCCTCAAAATTCTGGAGCAACGTCTTCTTCAAAAGGCTGCAATTAGGGTTAATTGTTCAAAGAGCGCAGCAATTTTTCACTCTTGATGGCTTGGAAATGACGTGATGACGTCGAACCCACGGGTTGTAGTGCATTTGGAGGCTGAATGCCTCTCGAAAACGATAAATGACGATACTCGCTCCAGTAGCATTCGATTATTGATGGCGTTGTCGTCGAGCGGCGGGCGACGGCGCCGCGGCCGGGCGTCCTCGACCGCCCGTCGTTCACTCGCGCTTCCGTCGCCGACCTCCGGCGATTTCGTCACTCACGTTACTGTACAACTGCCTTTGTCGAGCGCGGTCGCCTTCCCTCATTCGTCCTCGCATCTTCCCGCGCGCCCATCTTATTGGCTATCGTAGTACCTCAAACGGTAGAGATACAGTTCCTCCTGCTAGCCTTTCGCCTCTCAGCATTCCGTCTCGTTTCCTCCCCAAATGCTCCGTTCATAAACTCTTATCACTTCAGCTATCTCTGAACGAACGACAAGACACCAGGGTGCATTGCGATGTGCACCACGCTTATCTACGACTTCAGAAAACATTACTGACGTACTATTGAGTTTTTTGAGGTGCGCCGTTCTTTCATACATACTAAATAGCTGCTCGTCATTTGTAACTTCGCCAGACTGTCGGCGAATCGAGTTCTTATCGCTTTGTTTTATAACTGGCTTGTATGGTAATAGATTGTGTTTTTTTTCATATGGTCTGCATCTTTTTCATTTCACCCTTTCACAATGGTGAGCAACTACTGTTTGTGGTCTCAATTTTAGTCACAGATGTCAGTCGCCCTATGAAGCTTCTTCCTTCGCTTGGCTTATATTAATCAAATTTTGTGTTCTGCCCCTTTCGCTGAGCATTTCGCATCGCTTCCTTTTGCAGAATATAAGCACATTGGCTTCGGTCTTATATTCGATGAAACGATGCGGAAGAATCGCTGTGTAGCCAAACTATTGCCAATTCCATTGTTTCCCTTCATATCAAGGATTACCCGTTTATCCCCCGCAATTTAGTGTGCCGAGAGTTCGCAAACGAAAGTTTTTGTTTTGCGAATGATGGGAAGGGATGTTGTACCTGCACTTAACTTGATTGCAGTGCTTCTTTTAGTCCTTTAGTGCTAGAGGGGAATGTCAGTTCAGTTAACTAATTTCACTAAGGCTACGTTCTTGTTAGTGTCGTAGATGCATTGTTGTTTTCGAGCATCTCCAATGCATTTAACAATGTCTGCCCACATGTACGCACTATAGAAGCAGTTAGATCAACACAAACTATAGTAAATTGACAGAGTAATTCTAAGTACATTCGATAGCATATGCACACAGTACTGAGCACAGGTGATGTACCGGCACCGGCGCTGGCGCCGGCACTAGCGCCACCACCGTCGGCAGCGCCTTCGCCAGCGGCATCGGCACGGCGGAGACTGCCTTCAGGAGGGGGGGGGGGGGAATGTGTTAGATTCAGATTTACGGATATGTGCCGATATTTCCCGACGTCACTTAAGTCAGCTGTTGCAGGCTCTCACTGCTTGGCATCGATCGCCACGCCCTATTTGGCGCATACGGGATGCGGCGCGCGCTGCTTGCGGCCGTCCTCATAGTGACCACCCACGCATCCGTCTTCTCCGGTAAGTTCATCTTGGTTACTGTATTCGTAAATCATAACCTCCACGGCAAGACCAGCTTTCTCGGAAAATTCATTTCTCTTCTTTTCGCTCACTATAATCATCTCAGCCGAGTTAATCAACCTCCCAGCCTCCCATCATTCTGATCCTCAGATTTAATCTCTCTGCCTAAAGAAACTCAATTTCCCCAATATTTCATCATATCGCAAGAATGTATCACTCTGTGCCCGTCCCGACGTTTTTTTCCACGAGATCCTAATCATGTTAAGCGTAAGCATTCACTGCCTTTCTCGCAGCTTCTTATCATCCGAACCACGCTAGGAATTTTGGCGAAATTGCTTTTAGATAAGGTAAAATGGCGCTTTAATGAAGCATCGAACCGCACCAGTTACAGTCTCCATTTATTAGGCTCATTCATCACTTCTTAATGACGTGAAGGCGGAAGATTGCTGTTCTATTGAGACTTGAAAACAGCATACGGCACCCGGATCTGAATAGCTTTAGACATTGAACTAACGTTTGAGTTGCCCTTCCGTGAATGTTTGAAAATCTCGAATATTCGATTAGGCATGACCTTCGTTCATAATAAATGTTCTCTTCCGAATTTTTGCTTAGGTTTCGAAAGCTCACCAAAGCTAGAACAGTGGCAGTTCATTGATATTCTTCAAAAGGAATAGCTAATTCAGCCATGCCTGCCCAGGCATAACATCCCTGAAGTGAATAAACAAATTCACACAGCAAAGCCAAAGAGGCTTCTGTGTACGCTTTTAGCAAATAGCGATATAAGCTCGAAATAATAAATTCATCATAGCTCTCAGAATGTATCAGTCCGCTTTATCGCGTTTTTTCGCTTCCATTCCAATTGGACAGTGCGCGCGCGCGTGAATATGCATTTTAGAGCGAAGAAAGTGCGTCACTTTCTTGTCCTCTAGTACAGATGAACTGAACCCAATTGGCTTGCTTCTGCCCGAGCTCAAACAGCATAGTACTCGTATTGTTGGGGTTTATGAGGCACTCACAATGACGAGGGAGTAATGGAGAGAATGGTGAAGTTTTTGAGGCAAATGATAAATTCTTATTTTCAGAGGGCGGGCCGGTGGGTGATCTATATCGAAAAGAATTATATGACTATCCGCAATCGAATGATGTATATTTCGACGGTACGGATATGGACGAACCAATCCAGGTGCAGCCATCATGCTCATATTTACTTTCGTGCTGTCTCCTTCTGCTCCTTCTCATTACTCCACTTTCGCTCATTAGCGGCTGTACTGCAAACATAAAGCATCTATCCAAAACAACTGCTCTCGACTGCTTCCTGAATGAGTCTCGGTGACGCTAGTCCACAAGTGCGGCTCGTTATCGCTAACAACAAGTAGTGTCAATCAAATTGCTCTCGTTTCTGCTGTGCATCCACGCTCACGGTCTCCGTCATGACTCGACGTAACTCAACTTCACCATCCTCCGTCGACATGGAAACCGCGAACGTTCAGCTCCAGGCCCCATTTCGCCACGCTAATCGAGAGCCGCTGCCGAAAACTCTCAGCCCAACGGCGTGTCGATGGGGCGCGGAATAAGCCGCGTTCAAATAAGAATGAGCTAGCTGTGGCGTGTATTGGACAGCGTTATTGCAGCATGAGGTGCTAGCAAGCAAATATTTGCTTTCGTTAATTTAGAGAAAACGAATCTGTTCTGGACACTGTGCTCTTGTTTTCAGGAAAATCTATCGTTTTCTTGTGCTAAAAAACGCATATTACAGAAATACCAGAGAGAGGAACCACTGAGAAATGCAAGAGAATCACAGGACTACAAAGAGCTAGAAGAAATCCTCAGGGAGTTGAAACAACAAAAAGAGAAGGAGGAAGCTTTGGGTAAGCAACTGCTCAGAATGGTCCTGTCTAGAGCTCTTTGCGAAAACAGACATTGGTTGATCTATCGAACTTCGAGTAAATTTTAATTCTGTAGGCATAAGCGGTATGGGAAAATCTTGGGTCCATGTAAATTCTACTAATTTTTTTTCAAATTAAGAGTCAACTACTTAATTCTATTCAATTTGCTGTCTTTTTTCTTTTCAAACGGAACCTCTTCCACAAGCCATATCCCTGTAGGAACGTTGCAGACAACTTTTTCCATGTCTATCAAATCTCTAAGCTGCTTCCAGGGCTTTCACAAGCGCTTTCGTCTCCCTTTCCCACTCCCCCCCCCCCTTAGCCTTATTCGCACTAGCTCACATACGGCGAGGCAGTTGTTGCCAAAACAAGTAAATAAATGAATGTGAAGATAATAACAGCCTTTGTTGAGCTGCTAGTGGGGGGTGTCATTATGTATTTAGGCGTCTGAGCTCGTCAAAAAAAAAGGCAGTGCGATAAATGTCAAGTATTGCAAGCTCAAGCATCAAAAAGTACAACGCACGATTTCAGCAGGGCAAGAAAACGTGGAAATCACACTGAAAAATCCGGAAGTACTGCCAACCAAGAAGAATACCAGCAAACAGTCCGGTAAAGAGAAACTGATGCAAGCCGATGTTGCACAGCAACCACTGGTAGCACAAAAGAAAGGACAAAATGAGTTTGTGTCCTTCGTCGAACCCGTCGACTCCAAGCAAACTAAGTGAGCTTTTCAGATTTTTTATCATCTTTCATAAGTCTTTTGCACTGATATCCCGGATCTGGCATATAAAAAAGATTTGCCAGCTTATCCAGCAAAAGGAAAAGAGATTGCTAATATAAGCCAATCATATTTCAATTCAGCACATTTTGTGCTTTTTCTGCCTTAATTTATTCTCCTAATCTCTCGCCTGTTTCTAAAAAGCATTCATGCCAATTCTGCACTTAACTTTTGAAGCTTTTTGAAGGTACATATTGCATTATTTGTTATTCTTCACCATGTTAAACATTCGATACTAAGTACATTCACATGCATAAGGTCATCCTATGATATATTCATATATTAGATGCAGTAACATCGCTTAGGAAAATGTATAAAAGGAGTTTTGCGGGAAATTGCAGCAGAAAAAAGAGAGAGGTGTTAGCAGAGGGTTAAAAATGAGATGATCTTGCTGAAAAATAAGCTTTTGCCGCTCATAATGAATTTTTACCAAAAAGATATGCTACTTTTTCTTCAAATAAATTTTTCAGATCTGTTGCAACACTGGAAAAACGTCGTCTTGCCGGTGCATCGGAATTTTCGAATGCTCTACCTACATACAGCAGCAATCTGCTAATGATTGGTAAATATTTAAATTTATATCGACTCTCGATCCAGCCTCATAGCCCTGTATGATTTCATGCTCTTTTCACCACTCCAAAATTCCCAATTGTCCTGTTTGCTGTGCCAAAAATTTTGACTGATCTTTTTATTTTCTCATCCAATTTGAGTAAATTTATTAGGTTTTTCTGCGCACAAAACAAGCAAGATCTAAATCACTGCGCTGTACCCAGGTGGCCCGAATTTGTTGAATTTATCTTAACAATAGCTTTCTTTCATGTCTACATCTGACCGTATAATCACATATAAAAATTCTAAAAAACCTTCAAGAAAACCCTATAGATTTAGGCACAGGCCCCTTCCAAATGTTCGTAAGGGAAGATTTTTTACTAAGTTGCTTGCAGCTGATTCTGCAGTCAACTTTTTTGGCATCTCTTTTATTGCAAGAGAGGTAAAATATTGCTGAAAGATGTGGTAGTAACGAGGAATATGTCAATCCATTACAAAACCACAAAATTATCCACTCCAGTTTGCTCGGATTTCCGTTCTCTTATCACGTTCCTCAGAATTCAAAGATAAGGGGGGTGATCCCAAAGATCTTATCTGGGAGTATGAGTGGACACAGTCTGAAGTAAAGGAAATGCAGAAAAGGGTGAAATTTTTTTTTGAATTTTTTAAAAATGAATTTTGGAGTAGAAGAAAATTCACACTTTAGCTACTCCATATCTCTCTTTTTTTTTCACTCTTAAGCATTGCGATTGCTTGTTTCAATTATGTAGACAGTTCTTATGCTCTAATAGTTTTCGCTATTTCATCAAATTAGTCCCACTAGACTTGAATACGCCTCGTTTGTTATGTCGTTTCGCTTGTCTGAATGTATGGCAAGCTAATTGTTGAGTTGAGCCCAGCGGCAACTTGTCACATGATGCACGAAATGGCTTGTATGGATTTTGCGAACTCTCATGAAACCAAATCACTTGCGTCTGGTTCACATCATTTCGTTGTTATTTTCTGAAAGTTCTATGCGTAGGTGAAAACAACCAGAAATGAGACGAGTATTCACACCCATCTAGCGAGGCTAATGCGATTATCCCCAGAGTTACTCGAGTAGACTAATTACTCGAAATGAATCGCGCGAAAGAGCAAAGGCGCGATGGCGCTCGCGCTCAATCACCATCGCATTCGCAATGCAAACGAACTTCCTTTCAGAATAATCAATTGTGACGTGGCCCGCGTCCGGATCGAGAGTCGTTCAGATTCTTGGAAACACTCGCAAAAAGATGGAGCTAATTAACTTGTTATTTCAGCTGTCGGCACTGTGCTCATCGTAGGAATGGTTGCGTCAGTGTTGGGCGGAGGCTACTACATCAAGTTCGTTTTTCCTTTTCCATTAGCCTATTCAAGCTCAACCGTTTGTAGCGCTTAGGGCAATGAATCCTGACGGGCATGCGCGCTTTCTGTGTGTTCTTTTGCGTGTGTTTGTGCATATGTGGTGTTCGGCTTCGTCGAGCCGTCGCCACGCAGCCATGCCCGTACGAGAGCCTCGGCTCGCCCGAGGGCAAGTATCGACGTGCGGACCACGCCGTCTTCTTGAAAGCCCATATAAATGTCTTTGGCGATTATATGCCGACGCTCCTTGACGTGAACAAATACGCCACGTCGATGGGAACCGAATAAAATGCTCGCTTTGCAGGAGACGTCGTAGCTCACCGGACGATAGCGAATATGCCCCATACGCTGGTACCGGCCCGGGATTCAAGAAGAACAAGGTTCGCTAGCATTTCCATATGGCAGGAGAACCTTTCAAAGAAAAAAAACGAGAAAAAAAAGTCACTGAATCTTTTTTAATCAAAAAGAGAAGGTCGCTTAGTGTAAGGAGAACTTTCCTGTTATTTGCGATAATGCTCGCATTCTTAATTTTCAAATGCTTATTGACATTGTAAGCAAAGTTGTCAAAGAGAAACTAATCCTACTTAAGCAAATATCCAAACTTATGTGAAGATTAGACCTACTCAGCCGAATTCTCAAAAAAAAAGTAGGCGATCATAGCTAGCTCATATTAAGTCTGACTCAATTTTTCTTATCATCAGAGCCGAAACCAAGACTAAGGAATATTTTTCTTCTAATAAGAGCCTAAGTCGGAAGTCGAGCATGCTACAAAGACAATGAAAGTAGATTACTGAATTTTTATTTATAATTAGGCTAATACAATTTTCCAAGAATATTATTTGTTTTTCGATTCAGATTTTTAGATGAACAGCATTTGCCAAAAAAATGGCTCATCCAATAAGACAATCTCTTCTTTTTCTCCCTACCTCCATTGAAACCTAACAAAGCGTTTTTCGTTATAAGCTCAAATCACGGAACCAATCCTTCTTTTTTTAGGGCGATAAGGGAGATGAGTCGTTGGCTTACAAAGCACAACTCCATCAGTATCAGCAGGCGAAACAAAAGATTATCTGCGGGGAAGATGCACCTGGTAAGTCAAAGAAATCGTCAAGTTTTCATTTTTCTCAGTGCACTTAATATGGAATGGTAAAAATGTCAACAATGCGTTTTTTATTCTGATAATCTGAGAGAGAACGACAGGTACTGGCGTAATAATCTTGCTGATAGCGGAATGTTTTTATGATTGACACCATTAGATAATTTTTGGGAGTGAAGACTTTACGTCACCGTACATCCGGCGATTAAGCACGAATGAGGTTCTTAGGTTTAGTGTGACGCAGAAATTTTTGAAAAATGAATGTGATACACAGGGTGTCCCAAAAGTAAGTACACACTTTTTTATCGTCAATACTCTTTTCCCACGAGGTGTTTTTCTTAGCTTCAAACACCATAAGAGCAGGCTTTAGCTTAGATTCGCAGTGTGGAGCGCATCACCTACCGCTCTTCATAACGGTAGGATTACGGTAGGAACTCCCACCAACGGCGCCTTGTGAGTTAGGCCGTTTGGAAAAAAGGTTCCAAGAAATCTTGAAGCTGTGTAGCAGCGTTCACAGACATGCTGATTTCATTAGAAAACTTTCACGAATTTCTTAAGCGTTTCAAATGGTTCAACCACATTTTTGAAAAACACTGAAAGAAAACTGTTGCGGTTTACTTGGACAACTCATGAAAAAGTCTTACGATAAAGTGCAAATTTCATATTCATGATTGGACTCTGTTTAGCCTAATGATGAAGTGCTTGGCTCGTTAAATATCCACTGTAGAGGACTATGTAGCCACTGATGGCTCAAAACCCTTTCCGACTTACCGTAATCCTACTGTATACTGCAAATCTAAGTTAGAGCCTGCTCTACCGAATGGTACTTAAAGCTTTGTGAGAAAAAATTATTAATGGTTAAAATTCTATACTTACTTTCAGACACCCTGTATATCAACCGTTCATGCTTCATCTGCATGGTTTTGTTTAGTTGCAAAAAAAAGGAAAATACCTGAATAGCTGTGAGCTCCGCAGCTCACAATTCCGCATGACGCTATAATCATTTATTGAATTAAAACTTCAACAGCAAATCACTCGCATGAGCTTGCGGCTACTATCGTCCAGATATGGATAGTTTTTTGCGCATAAGGGAAAGTCAGCAGCTCTTTTTTTCCACGTGTATCATAACCGGATATGCGGATATGTCAAATCGGATGTTTCTCAATCAAAAAAAAAAACATCGAGAAATCTCTTTGCAAATGTCAGGCAAAGTTGCCTTAGCACCAGAGTTCTAGTTTTTTTTTCCTCATTATACAGTTTTGCTTTGCACACATTCCCAATGACGCTTTCCACACCTATCTAATGCCCTATTGTAAATTAATCTTTAACTTCCTTTTTCTGATAGTAGGCTATCTCTTTTTTGCTGGCGCATTCACTAATTTTAACATATCCTACCATTGTTGTGATAGTGAAGCACTGGCTAAGCGATCCGAACAGCTCTTATGGCGCTTGTTTACAAAATGAGCTTCCCAAAAATATCTACGAAATAGATCTTTCCAAAGTGGATAGCGAAATTGAACGTAGCTCTAAGATGAGGCGCAAACTGAATGATTACTTTCTCACGAAATTAAATACGCCTCACTTTGTGGAATTTACTTTACTGCATGGGAACATTGTTGTAGAATTGTGAAAGAGAAATTTTTTCTTCGAAGCGCTTCTCCTACTGCTTAGTTATTCAAAATCTAATATATAAAATCTAATATATAAAGAATCGTTAGCTCAATTCAAAAATCGGCAAATAGCGGGAAATTTGCGGCGGGTCTCGAAGCGAACGCATTCCAAATAGCACCCCTAGATCACTGGTTCATTAGTTATCCAAAATCATCTTATGTCAGCAATTAAGCACTTGCCAAGGCCCCGGCCAGACTTCGCTCAAAAGCGCCCAAAATTGCCCAAATTTCTCTAATGTCTCTCCACTTTTTCGCCTTTTGGGCGCTTTTGGGCGAAGTCTGGCCGGAGCCTCAAGATGACGCTAAAGCGAGCATTAATGCCGTTGATTTTCAGCTGGACTAGAGTCGGATGCAGAGGACGAAGGCGCTGATGACGAGAACAACTTCAGCGTGTACGAGTGCCCTGGACTGGCGCCGACCGGCGACATCGAAGTGTGCAATCCAAACTTCGCCGCGCACCCGTGAACACGCCGTGCGCACGCTCGCGCACCGCGTACGCGTCCGTAGCAGCTGCCGCTGGCCCGGCAACGCCCATCTGCCTGTCAACGCCCACCTGTGCTCCACTTTCTTCCCCGTCTATCTTTTCCTCACGATTAACTCCCCGGTAGTTTTGAAGGCATGTATCTTATCCGTTGATTCGTTTATGCACGTGTTATGACAGTATTATCCCGTTGATCTGACTTACAGTTATCAATACTATATATGTCGCGACGAAGCCAGCTGACCCCGAGAGATCTGAACCGTGCTACCCGCCCGTCCTCCTACTCCTCCTCTCAGCCGGCGAACCGTGTCTGTGGATGTGTTGTGTTGTACAGTCGTGTTTGTGTATCCTTCTCCTATAATCAAACATGCAAATCAACAAAAACAAAAGACCGGTGACACAACAAACTTCTATCAAATATGACTTTATAATGTATTATACATAGCGAGTATTTTTTTTCTTATCCTCTGCGGATACTGTGGGTGCTACCGTATCCGACGTGAATAAATGTGCATCTGTTTGCAACCTATCCTTCTTTTTCCTCGTTGATACTGTAGTGCTGACAGGCGGGTGAAACATCATGAAGCGGCTTACTCTGTTTTCCTCTCTCTCCCTCATTTTTTTTGGATTCAAAGCACTGGATTTTAATGGCAAGAAAACTCGACCCAATATCAAAGGATTGATGATAAAGATGCAACTTGTTGATGTACACAATATAGAATGTAGCGCTCTAATGGAATCAGATTCAGATATCAAAATTCTGGCCACGACAGTGAGTCAAATGTGCCACGAGCACGGCTTCATCAAGGAATCATTATGGGAATGAACCAGTTCATTCACTTTCCAATAATTAAGAATCCGCGAAAACCGAGCAGCGTTCATTTCCTGAGATTGGCGAACTATAAACGCTAAGCCATCTACCACGATGTAGAAGAGGGGGGCAATTTCCGAGATAACTGGAGTAAATTTCTTGCAAAAGCGAAGAACTGTTTGCCAGTTTGGTAACTAGAGCTGCGAAACTGCTAACATCCTTCAGTAACTACGTTAAAAGCAGATTTTACACTTTTTAAAGCTCTTCGCGACCTGCTACTCACTTGAAGAGAATAAAACCGTTTCGATTTCTCATTGAGGAAAATTCGTTCCAGCTGCGATCCTTTGGTGAAATTTACATCGTAATAATTCATCGCAAGGTTAGCATTGACAACAGAATCTGGATAGATTGCGGTCTTCTATAACCTCCCAAGTTTCTTTGTCACAAGTCTCATGCAAAAACTTCCCATTTTCAGTGTTACTATATCCATGAGCAAACACCAACTAGAAGCAATTTTGCAATCGATGTTGACTATCAAATTGTGCCGCAATTACGCAGCAGCAACAAAAATATTGAAAAAAAAACATAATCGGAAATTGTGCACGAATCATTGGGAAAAGAAACCATAAGTAGACGCTTTTGTGGAATTTTTGAGAGAAATATTAGGTCGTTCGAAAGTTTTCCCTTTTTTCTGTTATGAAAAGGGATGAAGATAAGCGAACATTTCAAGGGCTCTTCGACGCCAGCGGCTTGTCTCTACTCCCAGCAGTCATGTTTTCGGACCATTCGCTTTTGTGATTACTAACAAGGGAGGGTGGCGAAGTCAAAGTGGCCGATCACTATAAAATGCATATCATTAGAAAGAGCTTCAAGCGCTAGTTTCAAATCTGCCTTCCTTATCTGCAAAAGGCTTTTGGGAAGGAAGTTATGTGCGTTTTTATTATCAAAATTTGCAATGTTTTGAAAGATACAAACAATGAAAATCTCAAATTGCTTCCCGCGCTGAGGGACAACATCATAGCATCACATTATGCATGGGTAAGTTATTTTAAGTAGGTCTGAATCCAGAATGCTTAGGTGTTGATAATTTTGGCGATTCTCAGCCTTGCAATTTTTCCTCAAATAAAAGTCCATAACTTCCTTACCAGAAGCGTTTTGCAGATATGGAGGAGATTTGAAAGCGCTTCAAGTTCGTAACGATTTGCATTTTGTAGTGAACGGCCACTTCGAATTTGCAAAACTCCCTTGTACGATAACTGCAGAAGTTGTTAACCATGATTTTTACCATGCCCAGGTTTGGCACTTTTTCACACCTCTTCAAACTTCTGGAAGAGTTTACTTAGCAGCTGGGTAGAGCAAACAAAGTGCAACACTACATATATTTGTCGCATCTTCTGGCTTTCCAAAATTACCAAAATTATTCCTCTGATGTTAGCAACTTCCATATTTGAAGCCCAGACTCATAGAACATCAACCAACGAGCAAGCCGGGCATTATTCCATGCAGCTTTTACTCCTCTTTCTGATAGGTGTTTTTTCTTTCCGATTTGTGAAACTTTGAGAGATGGAATCATCATAACTGCGATTGACGCGCCTGTGGCTATGCCCGACATTTCAAAATTAATTATCTCGAAGCGGAAAAAGTCCATTTGCTTTGTATCAGTGCTAGATGGTAATTGATAATCGAGTTTTGAAACTCTCAAATTGTCGTTTGATGCGTTCGTGTACTACACGACCCCGCAAAAGTGAAGACTTTTGAAAAAATCTCAAAAATACTGAAAAGCGAATCAGAGATGCTCAAAACATTACTTGTACTGCACATTTTGTATACTCTATCTATCTGTCAGAGCTCTTCCAGAAGTTAAAACCGAAAATCTGAAAAATTGCCAAACTTGGGTGTGGCAAAAAAGCATGGGTTCGAAATTTAGGCGATTACTTTAGTGAACACAAAAGCAAATGGTTTGTAAACATGACCTTCGAAGAAAAGAGGAAAAGCTGCGTCGAATCATTCTCATAATGTTTATCTTTCTTTATTTTATGTGTTTTAATGACAGATCACAAAACGGAAAGAACCTCAAACGACCCAGTATATCAGATTGATATATGAAATAACTAAAAATTTTTGAACCTTCCCAGAATAAATGATGTAATGATGTCTGATGTAATGTTTTCAGTTTTCGCCAACATCTATATAGACATGCTGAATTTTTTCCGTAACGCGAAAACAAAAATTCTACGCTTTTGCTAGAACAACGCGTGGCAGTTCCTACGTGAATTATTTTATACTACAAGACCTTGGAAAAACAACCGTATATTCTCGACTTTCTGCAAAAAATCCTTCGACAAACACCCCCTTTTCTGGGATTTTTATGCCAAATTTGATATTTGTCAAGACTCTTGGAGAAGGCTCAAGTTACACTTGTACGTTCGATAATAGTAGTATAGGTATACTTTTAAGGGAGCAGCCCAAAAATGCTTTAGTAAACGCATGAAATTTTTTGTTCCCATGATTTATAGCGAGGAAGAAATACAGCAACTGTAGATAGAAGAATGCCTATAGAGATGAATGCTGATGAAAGAGCATACCCTTGAGGAGAGATTTTTAGGATCTCTTTTAACCAAACTTTTCAAATTTTTGGGTTCAAGAACTTTTCAGGTTCAAACTTCATAAGAATCACTTATCACCAATGTCTGCTGTTTTCTCTATTTAAGGTATTCGAAACTGTTAAGATTATATGAAGAAAATGAAATTTTAGGATAAGGGATTGAATGGAAAACTCATTAGCTAACATGATAGAATTGATTGCAAAGTAAGCAAGATTTTGTATAAAATCAAAACGATTACTGATGACGACAGTCAGTCGATTGCTCAGTCAGATAGAGATGGCAGGAATAGAAAAAAAAACTAGGTGCAAAGTTGTAATGGAACTTTTGGCATAAGGAAAGAAATTTCAAAGAAATACAACTCAAGCATACCTCTATATCATCTTGTCTCGCCATGAAATGCCAGCAAGCATTGTTGCTCCAATCACTGACATAGCACATGATTTCAACTCTCAAAAATAGATTAGATCGAACGAATTCTATGCAGATGGAGGAGAATACAGGATTGCAGGAATTTATTGCTATACTTATGTTTTGAAACAATAATTTCTGATGTAAATTTTTGTAAGTGTCGAAAAAAGTGAAGTTAACAGCACGATTGACACTTTCTGGTGGAAAAAAAGGACGACAACAATGTTTGAAGCATTTTACAAGAGGACAACAAAAGCGTATCATCCAGGCAGTTCACAAGGAATAATAGGTGGCAGAACACCACTTCGACATACATAATACACTGCGTTTAAAGACATTTATTGCTGTATTATTTCAAAGTGAACTACAACTGAGAAAAATGATAGTGAAATCATAACATAAGTGGTCAAGGTACGATTAGATACAGAGCAACTAATAAAGACATAATTATCCAAAAATAGTTGTGGTGTTAATTACGCTGATCTCCGCTCTCGGAATTTGTCCGAATTTGCTCCACTCCTTCCATTTCCAGTCGAGCTGAGCTTCAGCTCACATTCAGCCAGGAGTGGACAAAGCAGTTTGCAATTCGTCAAAGTCGATTTTCGAAATATTTTTTGAAATTAAAACACATTAAATTCGTTACGTAACTTTTTGATTGCTGGAAAATGAGTTTAGTAGAGCTTGCTCAGAGCATCTCAGCACAATTTTGAGCTCATTTTTCTCAGTGGTTTTTTTTCGGTGCAAGGTTCGGCGCCACTTATTTTGGCACACACTGTACAAGTATTAACATTAACATTTATTGCATAGGGTTCCTATGCATCAACACAACATAAACAATAACGAACGAACAAGAGATTGAAACAACAAAAAGAATGAGGTAGATGAACATAAAAGTCAGGTCTGTAAAGGAGAAGATAGATAGTTTTTGAGAATGGTTTTAAATTGTGCCAATTTAACAGGACGACCGATAATGTTGTTGATGTTCGAATTCACTCAAAATGACAAGCAGATTTGGAGACAGAGCAAGCTTTGAAGCAATGAAACCTTTACTCACATATTGTATCTTTACACAAACCCGCAGATGTGACAGTCAAAGTTCCACAACAGCGGCGGTCGCGGAAATGTTTAGCGGGAGGGGGAGGGGAGATTTCAAGTGAAGATGCGGGCGTTAGCCAGCACTCCGCACTTCTCAACTATTAACAACATTTTGTGAAAGGTGTGTGTGTGTTGTGCGTTGTGTGTGGTGTGTTGTGTTTGGTGTGTGTTGTGTGTGGTGTGTGTTGTGTACAGGGGCTTTCAATCTGAGTGTCACGGTCGACGTGGCTCAGGTCCTTGCGAGACGCCTCGCAAGGGTCTCTCACGTGGCACAATGCCGCAACCGCTAAGGCCTTTGCGTTATAGGGTGTGGTAGTGTACCACGTGAGAGCCCCAAGCGAGGCGTCTCTCGAGGGGGTGAACCACGTCGACCGTGACACTCGGATTGAAAACCCCTACATGTTGTGTGGTGTGTGTTGCGTGTGGTGTGTGTTGTGTGTGGTGTGTGTTGTGTGTGGTGTGTGTTGTGTGTGGTGTGTGTTGTGTGTGTTGTGTGTGGTGTGTGTTGTGTGTGGTGTGTGTTGTGTGTGGTGTGTGTGGTGTGTGTTGTGTGTGTTGTGTGTGTTGCGTGTTGTGTGTGTTGTGTGTGTTGTGTTTGGTGTGTGTTGTGTGTGGTGTGTGGTGTGTGTTGTGTGTGTAGTGTGTTGTGTGGTGTGTTGTGTGTTGTGTGTGGTGTGTGTTGTGTGTGGTGTGTGTTGTGTGTGTTGCGTGTTGTGTGTGGTGTGTGTGGTGTGTGTTGTGTGTGTAGTGTGTTGTGTGGTGTGTTGTGTGTTGTGTGTGGTGTGTGTTTGTGGTGTGTGTTGTGTGTGTTGTGTGTGGTGTGTGTTTGTGGTGTGTGTTGTGTGTGGTGTGTGTTGTGTGCGTTGTGTGGTGCGTGTTGTGTGTGGTGTGTGTTGTGTTTGGTGTGTGTTGTGTGTTGTGTGTGGTGTGTGGTGTGTGTTTGTGGTGTGTGTTGTGTGTGTTGTGTGTGGTGTGTGTTTGTGGTGTGTGTTGTGTGCGTTGTGTGGTGTGTGTTGTGTGTGGTGTGTGTTGTGTACAGGGGCTTTCAATCTGAGTGTCACGGTCGACGTGGCTCAGGTCCTTGCGAGACGCCTCGCAAGGGTCTCTCACGTGGCACAATGCCGCAACCGCTAAGGCCTTTGCGTTATAGGGTGTGGTAGTGTACCACGTGAGAGCCCCAAGCGAGGCGTCTCTCGAGGGGGTGAACCACGTCGACCGTGACACTCGGATTGAAAACCCCTACATGTTGTGTGGTGTGTGTTGCGTGTGGTGTGTGTTGTGTGTGGTGTGTGTTGTGTGTGGTGTGTGTTGTGTGTGGTGTGTGTGTTGTGTGTGGTGTGTGCTGTGTGTGGTGTGTGTTGTGTGTGTTGTGTGTGGTGTGTGTTGTGTGTGGTGTGTGTTGTGTGTGGTGTGTGTGGTGTGTGTTGTGTGTGTTGTGTGTGTTGCGTGTTGTGTGTGTTGTGTGTGTTGTGTTTGGTGTGTGTTGTGTGTGGTGTGTGGTGTGTGTTGTGTGTGTAGTGTGTTGTGTGGTGTGTTGTGTGTTGTGTGTGGTGTGTGTTGTGTGTGGTGTGTGTTGTGTGTGTTGCGTGTTGTGTGTGGTGTGTGTGGTGTGTGTTGTGTGTGTAGTGTGTTGTGTGGTGTGTTGTGTGTTGTGTGTGGTGTGTGTTTGTGGTGTGTGTTGTGTGTGTTGTGTGTGGTGTGTGTTTGTGGTGTGTGTTGTGTGTGGTGTGTGTTGTGTGCGTTGTGTGGTGCGTGTTGTGTGTGGTGTGTGTTGTGTTTGGTGTGTGTTGTGTGTTGTGTGTGGTGTGTGTTGCGTGTGTTTTGGGTAGGTTGTGTGTTGTGTTTGGTGTGTGGTGTGTGTTGTGTGTGTTGTGTGTGGTGTGTGTGGTGTTTGGTGTGTGTTGTGTGTGGTGTGTTGTGTGGTGTGTGTTGTGTGTGGTGTGTGTTGTGTGTGGTGTGTGTTGTGTGTGTTGTGTGTGGTGCGTGTTGTGTGTGGTGTGTGTTGTGTTTGGTGTATGTTGTGTGTTGTGTGTGGTGCGTGTTGTGTGTGGTGTGTGTTGTGTGTGGTGTGTGTTGTGTGTGTTGTGTGTAGTGTGTGTTGTGTGTGGTGTGTGTGTGTGCGTTGTGTGTGTTGTGTGTGGTGTGGTGTGTGTGTGTGTTCCGAATAGAAATTTTTATTTTTGAACCGATCCGGACCAAACTTGGTACACATAACTTCGGGGCCGGGCGGGTGTCATAGGCTACTTTTGGTCATCGATCGATATCAATTTTATCCATTTTTATCGATTTTTTTGCAAAGTTTGAGCTACAGGGCTGGGAGATGACAAAGGGGGGTAATCGAGCCTGCTGATTACGAATACAGTATCAGTCTTAGAGCTATCCGCTATTTTTATCGATTTTACCGATTTTTTTGCAAAGTTTGACCTGCGGGGCTGGGAGTTGGCACAGGGGGGGGGGGGAGGGTAATCGAGCATGCTGATTACTAAAACAGCGGAAATAGTGAATTGGCATGTAGACGTGGGCACAGGGAAGGTTGTACATGGATAAGGATGAGAGCTTCATTATAGTCTTTTGACAGGGCCGAGCAGAGTCGGGTAAGCCAGCTAGTAACAATCACCCACCAAAATTAATCCTGGGTTTGGAGGTATGATACCGACTTGGGATTGTCAGCAGCTCCTTCGTTAAAACAGAATGCTTGGATTGAACATAACAACCTGCCGTTTTTCCAAAAATCCCGATCCTTAAACTTGCTACTGTCGCTAATCTTCTATCGACAATTTTCAACGAAATACCTGTGCATATGTGCATAAGTTTACTGACCTCATTCCAGTCATGAACAACAACTACAAAACAAACAAGATTGATAAAATCAATCAATTATCAATTCCAACACTGCATGGGATTATCCTGAAATGTGCAGGTTTGTTTAGTCAGCCGCCAGCGGCGATGTTCTTGCAGCACACTTCGACACAATGAAACAAAACGTCAAGTCTAGATTCACTCAGCACAGTCATTCATCCATTCTTATGACGGATTAGCGATTTTTAAAATGAATTCCTATTATTAGGATTATTTTATCTTCATAAAATTACGATTTGAATTAACAATAAGCTAGTTATCGCTCAGATCCTAATCCATTGAGATGCTAAAGCTGTTGAACTGGCTGAAGAGATTCGCAATACACCTTTTTTTGATCCTTATTGCTGTGGTGAGTGAGTCATTACTTATACAAAACCCTTCAAAAAGTTCTCTTTTGTGGCATAGTTATTTCTCTGGAAAGCTGCAAAATTGTTCCAATTATTTTACAGCTAAAGCTAGGACATTTAGCACGTGCACATGCGCATCATGCGCTCCATTAGAATGATTACTGACATTTTCTGATATAAAAGAGAAAAAGTTGCACCGATATTCAACTAACATTAGCTTTCAAGCTGTCCAGCACTAGCACAAAAAGCTTGGTATCGTTGAAAAAAGCCTTTTTTGGGATGTGTAAATAATGATTATCAAGAATAAGTCGTTCGCTCCTTCAGTACATCGCTACACAGTATGGTCACCACTGGGGAATTACAAAGCGAACTACTAGAAAGACTGAGGATATCAAAAGAGCCGTAGCGGTTCAGGTAAGAGCCTTATTTATATAATTATTGAGGATTATTAGCACATCACAAGCCAAATTGTAGAATGAAAGAACGATAGCGAAGGTTTGTGATGCAGACAAATGCTATCTGATAACAGATCACGCATATCTGGAGGACGAAAAGTATTGCTTCCTTTTTCAGCCATTTTCTGTTTTTTACAAAGTATCATTTAGCCTGATTGTTGAACGTTATACAAAAGTGAGGGAATATTCCGAGGTGAGAATCACAGCAGTCGAACTGGAAACGCCACAAGGTAGGTGGTGCTTCTAGTTTCTGCACCTCTTCAAACCTTCATTTAACAGAATTAACGTGGAAGAACTTCAACACGAAACAATGGAATGTCAACAAATTATTTATCAAAGATGTTTATGCTAGGGCGATGATTGCTGTGCCATTTATGACAGAGGTATGGATGTTGCTTAATATATGTTGTTCCAAATTTTTTGGCCTTTTGACTATACAACCTCGCGGGATAATGATCAAAAAGCAATCAAACATGTACTTGTTGCAACTTCTTCTCTTTCTAGAAACCAAGCTTCAAATCAATTTTTCTTGAATGCTCCCAAATAGATACCAAATCTTTTAACTGATTTCTATCCTCTCAAAATTCCGCTAATTTTGTGAAGTCTTCATTCTAGACTTCCAGAAGAGCATAGTCGGGCAATTAGAGCGAATCTCAAGCTAAAAGAGCCTTCTATCAAATCTTCTTGATCTTGTTGCTGTTTAGAGTTTTATGAAACTCATTCTCTGGAAATCTCGAAATTCAATCATAGAAATACAGGACAGCATAAACATGAAAGGCTTCGAAATTTTGGGGAAAAGCTTCGTCATAAACATCTAAACCGGAACGATCAAGTTTAATTTGCATTGAGAAATTTGATTTCTGGAATTTTCGACACGTTGACGCGCCATTGCTCAAAGTCTAAGGTTTTTCTTACTCACACAATCGCAGACTTCCGGGGCAAACTGAAGTTCTAAAACTTCCGGACACTCCTACTGGACTGCCAGGCAGGGAAGGGTCCACTCATACGGCCAAATAGGAGCGTCCCCCCGGAAGTTTTAGAAGTTCAGTTTGCCCCCGAAGTTATTCGCGATTGCCTGAGCATATAAATAATTTTCTGAAAATAAGAGCTCGATAAAAAAATACAAAATAAAACCAAGATGTAGCGAAAGGTTCATCTATTGAAGCCTGCTTACCAAATGTTAGGACAAATCGGCTAAAATTGGGGGGGGAGAGGATTTTGACATTATGATGCTATTACTCAAAGAACAATGGCGATCACACTGCAAAGACTCCAAGACAATGGTGGAAAACTAGCTATCAGAGGGGGAAAAAATCTGAATCAAATTGTTCCTAACTCATCTGGCGGTCCATGGTGTTTGAAACAGTGAGTGATCGAAAAAACTATCAAAGGGTATTTGCTCAGTATGTTTACAGTACGGCGACCTCTGGATTTCAAGATACTCCATTAAAAATGATCCACAATAAGCATAATTCGCCAGAAAAACGTGTTCATTCAGATTTTTCTGTTTAGGCACTAAAATTCGATCCAGAGGATTATCAAAATGTGCTCATGGTTGGCCTTGGTGGCGGTGTTATGAATAATTTTCTCACTGTTGTCGATTTTATAAAGGTGAGGGCATTTCTTTGAGTTTCCCTGTACATGCGGGGCAGTGCGGAAAATAGTAAATACTTTTTTCTTTCCACTTTCAACCGTATGTGTGGCTCCGTGATAGGAAACTTGATACTTGCAAAGAAAAACCAATCTTTTCTCCTTCTCGCTCAAACCTAACCTTTCTCACTTCGAAAAAAACTGCTTTCATTTATCTCTGTCCTTTGATGCTCAGGTGAATCTCACAACGGTAGAGCTGGATCCGCTCATGGTCAAAGCAGCAAAAGGTTGGTTCGCGGTAGAGGAGAGTGATACAAACAAGATATTCGTTCAAGATGGAATAGTATTTGTGGCAAATGCTGTGAAACGAGGTGATATACTCAAATTAGTTGATTCAAGTTACTCTCCGAACCACATTTACAGGCGATAGGTATAAGAGCATCATATTGGATGCGTGCCACAATGATGACGCGCCCACTGTTTGCCCTGTGCCGGAGTTTACAAAAGATGAAGTGATCAAACATATGTCGAATTTGCTTGACAATGATGGTAAGCTTGTGTTCATCACTGCAGAATAATTGTCTTCCTATTCTATGGAGTTAAGAACAGTGGCCAGGCAGGTATGATACTCTAAAGCCTTGTGCATGGGTCCACCTACACCTTAGTCCGCCAGAAATTTGGTTTTCAACTCCAAAATTATTTTCTTCCATAAAACCACAAAAACAGAACTTGCTGTATATCACTCAAAAACTTTCGAAAGTGTCCTTCACAACGAAGGCCAAAAATTGCACAAATAACACTGCACGAGAAGGACTGAAGAAAAGCGGCCTTTCAAATAGTGCTATGAAATGTTAAGGAGGAGAATAAAACAAAGAAAGTACAAAGGTTTCTCATTGTGTTTTATATAATAGAAAGAGCACTCATTGTACATGTACAAAAATCCATTTTCTTGCATTTTGTGAACTATATAATTTTAAATTTACCGAGCCATCTACAGAATTTCAAAGTCGTCAGTTTTTACCCGAAAACCATTGGGTGCCTCCAACTGAGCCATCCAGAGCGGCAGCTTCATGATTCATATGAAAAGAGGGAATCGACATTAAACTCCAATTCAGATCGTTCTTTCTCGTGTTTCGTATCATAATTGAGGAGATAGATTGATTCAATCGGGAAGAGTATAAGATTTGGATCTAACTAAGTTTAGAGACGAATTTTCGGCCACGATTGGGTTACACAAATTGCCGTTTGAACAATTGCTCAGCTAATGCTTCTTCACACAAAAAAGTCCAGATACCCCAGATTCCTCAATGCTATGCAATCTAGGTGTGCTGACTGTAAATATTCTCTGCTTGCGAGACATTATTGGAACAGAGAACACGTTGCTCGAAACTTATAGACAACATTTCAAAACTTGCTATCTGCTGAGGTTCAAGGAAGATCAACGGGTGAGTTTTTTTTTAACGTTCCAACACTTCTATTTGCTGACCAGTCAGAAGAGATTACACTTATTTCTGCATCTATCCCCTGCTTTCTATGAAAAAAAAACTATTCCACACAGTAAGTAAAGTTTGACTGAGAAATCGAATTGGTAGAAAACCGAGTTACAGTTAAGCGCACACAGAGTATTCATCACTGCTTCTTTGAATGTGTCCGCAATCTTTGTGAAAGGAAATGTGAAACTTGCTAAAAACTCATTTTTAAGGACAAAGATGATCTTTTGGTGCCCCCATGTAATCCTTTTTAGTAGGCCCACTTCGGAGAATTGCTGATAGTATACGAAAGCTGGAAAGCTTAACTCAGTCAATCAAGGGATTTACAATGAAATGAAAAAATAAAAATGCATATACTACTCAACGCGTTTGACTCGAGCAAATAGATCTTTGAATAAGAAGAATGATAGAATAATAATGGATCTTTGAATAAGAAGAATGATAGAATAATACAGATTTATAGTTCATTGCAAGTCCTGCACACGAACTAGCGATACCAGATATCGATGGCTGATCATCGATTTTGATTTTTGACCGACGGCCATATTTAAGTATTTCGTATATGATTGAGAATCATCGAGTAAATTATTTGATCATATAATCTGTAGATGCAAGAGTAATCTAAAGTATATTCATAATACTTGACTGTTAGAATTTATCGAAAATATGATTTCCCTATAAAATCAGCTCTATTATATGGAAAAAATGTACCTCCACTTTTACAACAATTAATTTCAGCTACTTGTCTGTACAAACAGAGAGCACTGGAGTTTTGAGGAGCAACGAGACTATTTCTTAAAGAATCTTTGGACCGTTGATGACCGATTCGATTTCAAGCTATACGATATAATACGTGAATCTTGAATGAATTAGTTGTTATTATGATATGTTACGCCGTATTGTCGAGATTAATATTTAGAGTCTCAGTTATGTAAAGTTTTTCTTGCTTCATCAATTTGTGCATTGGTCAACATATTTGAATTTATACTCTAGTTTATGCTCATTTTACAGGAGGCGAAGGTTAAAGCGATAATGTTGCGAGTTAAGAGCAGTTACATAGATTATGTGAGCAATTATATCAAAAACGACTAAGCTTTTGAGGATGGACGAGCTCAAACTATACTCGGCATTTTTACATGACCCGCCGGTGGGTCTTGAGGACTTGTAACAAGGCTTCCGAAATTTATGTAGAGACTTATAGAAAGCGCTGTGATAGGGAACGAATCATTCCGATCGTTAGCGCTGGGTTACGATAGCCATGCTGTGAACGGTCAAAATTACGACTTTCTCCCAAAGCCTGTTTGTGTACTCTAGCTTCCAACACCAAAACTTTGAAAATTAAAGCAATGAATATTTCAAGAGCTAACACGGATTAGCTGGTTTAATCGATCCAAATATGCATGTGCAGCTTTAAGAGGAACCCGCATCATTTCATTCGACTTGGTTTCTTCACTTTCCCTTGCCTACGGACATAACTATCTCTATTGTATACCCTTTGTTTCAACCAGATTGACTGCTGGAAGGCGGGGCTTCATGACGTAGGAGGCGACTGCTCGCGTTAGCGACGCAGTCTGCGCCTTCCTCGCGAACATGCTCTCTGATCATTTTCTAGTTTTAATTAGGTCACGAAGCCCCTCCTTCCAGCTGCCGATCTGGTTGCAGCAAAAGGGTCAGTAATGGGCCACGCCGATTCAAGGTTTACCGGGTGTGTTTGGTTACGTGCCAGATATAAAAAACCTTAGATTTCTCGGAATTAGAGATATGGAAATTTGAAGTGGCAGGACATGTACGACGCAATGGTGGGTCATACTGTAGTGGAGAGCACAATAAGCAGAAAACAAGATTTTTAGTGATTTAGGAATCACTGTCTACCAAACTGGTTTCTATCCTCCCAAAAATTTGGTTAATTTTCGCCCAGAGTAGATTGCTTGTGCCTGAGAGGACGCCACTTGTCTCCCGACAATGAAACAAACAAGTTGGAGCCGATAAACCTTTAAAGGCTCACATCTAACAAGCTGGTTAGCGAGTCCGAACATTACTCGCCGGCATGCAAAGATACGGAGAGAACGACATGCTCGTGCAGCTCAATCAGGTGCCAGACTTATCCGGTTCAACACAGTTCGGTCCACTCCATTCGCTAATGGTCATTTCAACGATTTGACTAATAGCGAATGGTGGACCGGATAAATAAGTTGAACCGGATATGCCTGGCACCTACCCAGCTCATTCGATTTTGTCAGTGAAGCACCGGTGACGCTAAGTGTACTGTGAGGACTTGCCTTAGAGCTGTAGAATTGTGTGAAAACACTGTACATGGATTCCTCAGAAGCTCTGAAAGGATTCGCCACATACACGGTAGCATACTTTAATTAGGATCGCTCCAGGGTTGGGAAATCACTGTATAGTAGTCAATGTTCTTGACAAATAAAACTTATTGTTGTGTAAGTTAAAGTGCTTCGGAGAAAACTGCTCATATATAAGCTAGACCTAACTCTCAGAACCTCCAAGCATTTAAATATAAATACGAGCCAAGGACATCTAGAACTTGGATGTATATTCAAGAGCAGTCTACTTGTAACACTGAAATACAGTCTTCCAATATTTTGGACTGCATTGCTTGCTACGCCTATTTCCTTACGTCCATGGATCCCAAATTGAAAGTTTCAATGTAAAGTAGATGGATCATTTTGCATCGAGCACTACAATCAAAAGCAGCAGTCAGGAATCATCAGTGTTCTGAGTTAAGCAATGTATTCATTCCAGATTTTTTTAAAATGTATTTGATCCATTTCTTCTTTTTCGAGCTCTTGCTAAGCTTGCCTTTAGAGATTTTTCTCACTTGTGTTGCAAAATGTTGGTGAGTGGTGCTTTGCACAGACAAATAAGCGATATCATTCGAGCTAAATGGCGGCATTAGTAAAACAATCCACTTTATGCAGTAGGCGATGTGAAGTGTTCACTTTACACCATATACTTTGATCCAGTTGTAAAGTGCAAAATGGGGAAAAAAGCAAAAACGACAAAGCCCTTGAATTTCAATCAATTACAGGCAACATTGAGCACACACAGACACACATGCATCTAGAAAAACACGTGGAACTGAACGAGTGCAACCCTGCCAGAAATTATATGACTTCGCTTGCTTCCTTTATTTTTTCAACATATTAATTTAAACTGATCCTAGCATTTGCATATTTGTTGATGTAACCACAACTCGCAGATGAACTTCCATCAAAAGCGACGAAAGTCGAAGTCTTCGCGAACGGATCGCTTATTGCGGAACTCGTCCATGCGTCATTTTATGATTTTTTACCCGGCTACTGTTGGAGCTGTGATTGCGGTATGTATCTTTTCATTTGTATATCAGCGCCAAAAGTCCGAGAAATGATTTCCTCAGCAAAAATTCCAGTACTTTTTTCTGCAACGGCATTATTTCTTCAGCCAAAATCCCTGGAAATGGTTTAGCGAAACAGAAGCTGAGATAGTGAAGAGGTCCTTGGCTAGAGAAGTAAGTGAAAACAGCGCGTAAAAAACTTACAAGTAATTTTATGTCAGCGTGTTCATCTTCAAGAAGAAATATGCAGTCCTACGACGAAAAATTGCTTCCATATACAAGACACGGCATACAGCAGGCTTGGCGAGTACGTGCTCATACAATCAAGTCATCGACGCAGATAATGCTTGAACGCAGTTACGCTGCGCGGTTCCGACTGTCCGCGTATCCTCGGGCGCGCACCTTCTCTGCGTGATGGGCTCGCCAACCGCACCGCAGCAGCGGACGTAGTTCATGCATTGTCTGCGCCGATACACGCATAATTAAGATCGCTGAATCGCGATGCAGTAAGATATTTTAGGTTGATTGCAGGCTCGCAGTCATTAGAGACATGTTGTTAGCAAACACACTTTACACATACTCATCAGCTGCTTTGATACAGCCACTTGGTAGCAATCACAGAACCTACAATTATATACATTTGAACAGGTTTTTCAGTACTTACTGGGAACAACAAAAACACTAGTGAATGGAGGGTGGATAAGCAGAAGCTGCCCAGTACGTATGGAAAAGTAATGGTTGGCTTCGCCTTCGCTATGGAAGTGAGCAAAGTAAATCCCAATCGCCAAAATTTCCTTAAACTTCAGGGACTAAAATTCGACTCCATCAAAAAACAAGAAGTGCTATTGCTTGGATTGGGTGGAGGAGTGGTAGCCAACTTTCTCTCGACACTCAAAAAAACAAAGGTTAGCGTTACTTTTTCTTCAACATTTGATAATGAAATAAATGACAGATACCTGGTAATCAATTGTATTTCAACTGGTAGCTTCAGTTTGAAATCTTGCATCTTTGGAATTAACCACCAAAAAGACTTAAACATGACTGCTAAAATGACAGAAAAACTAGTCAGTTTAGGGATGCTGTAGTGAATGACTTTGAGCAAGTTCTAGTTGCATTTTAGTGGAGTAGTTCATTCTCACGTTCTTGGAAAGCCTTGTTCTGGCAAATTATGTTCCAAAGCCCCCCCCCCCCCTCCCCGCTGGGAGATCTCGAAATTTTCATGGTAGTCGACACAAATTTATGCAAGCTATTGTTACTATGCAGAAAAATCAAATATCATAAAATTTTCAAAGTTCAAATGAGCTTTGAAAAAATCTCCGGAGGCATGAGTGCCGCCAAATGAAGTATGGGTCCGCAATTTCCGAAATCATCTCAAAATTTTGTTAGAGATACAGTAGCGCAAATATGCTCAATTACTTCACGAACCAGCTATTACAACACAAACGATTTGAAATGCGGTAGCACAACTGCACGAGGTTATTTAAGTATCACAGCAGCAGTCTCGGATAAAAACCCATCTATCTTTTTCTGGTCTAATTTTATTACTAGCTGGCAAGCTCCGCTCCGCCCCGCCCTGCCAGTAATATTAGGTAGGTCCGAAAGTTCGTACCGTTCTTCAGACCCATGCTCAAAGTACTTAGAATGATGATAGAATGATCTAAACAGTGTTCAATGCAGAATTTCCTCCTTTTTCTAACAGTCATGATTTCGTGTAGATTTCTTTGAGGTCCCTCGAAGAGTCGTCAGAATCTCAAACCCATGGTTTTTGGGCAATGCAATACATTTATTGGCAACTCAAACTGGCTTCTCATAATTTTTGAAAATATTTTTTTGATGCTACCAAATTCCATATTTGAGTATCCCAATCCTCACAGAACAATAAACGGCCAGCAACTAGGGTATCATTTAATGCAGTTTTTCTGCTCTTTTTGGAAAACTTCTTTCCTCCCTGATTGATATGGTATTTAGGAAAAAACCATTGAACCCCTGTTTCCAGACTCGTCAAGGGCTGTACCCAAAAAATCCGAAATTCAGTATTCTGAACAGCTAAACGCTCGGTTTTCTGCGAGACAGCGTCAAGTGATAACTGTTTTTGGAAGTTCCAAATTTCGAGGATTTATCAGTGTTCGTATTTCACGCCTTCGCAAATAGTAAAGACTTTTGGAAAAATTATTTTAAGAAGTTCTCAAAGCCAGTTGAAGAGGCTAAAATAGTTCTCTGTATTGCATTTTGTTTATTTTATCCAAATGCTATCAAAGCTAGTTCAAAAGTGAGAAAAGGAAATTTTAAAAATAGAAATTCAGTATGGCTAAAATCTATGGGATAGAGATTTTGACGGTTATTTGCGCAGACATCGAAGAGATCTGAACAAAAACATAACTGCTAGAAATAAAAAGAAATTCTGCATCGAACGCTGCTTAGAATACTTGTTTATCATTATTCTAAGTGGTTTGAGCATGGGTCTGAATACGGCACGAGTTTTCGGACCCACCTATGTAATATATTCGTAATCAGCATGCTCACTTACCCAGTGTGCCAACTCCCAACCCCGTAGCCCAAACTTTGCAAAAAAAAATCGATAAACTCGATATCGATTGAAATTATAGAGTAGCCTATGACACCCGCCCCGCCCCGAAGTGTATATGTGCAAAGTTTGGTCCAGATGATCGGTTCATAAATAAAAATTTCTCGGAACATACGTACAGACACATGGACATGCATACAAAGAGACATTCACTTTTATTCATAAGGATGAGCTGTGAACCTCATGAAGCTGGCAAGTTAGTTTTGAATCTCAGCTCTATGTAATGACTTCCACCTTCCAACATCGGTTGCCACCCTCCTGTCATGCCTTGCCCGCTATGTTTTACGTTAATTTTGATCAGCTTAAAATGACAAGCATTGAATTGGATCCTACGGTACGAGATGTAGCAGTGAAATGGTTCGAGCTTGAAGAAAACGATATGCATAAGACTATTCTGGCTGATGGAGCAAAGTTTGTCAGAGAAGAGGCCAAAAAAGGTACGCAATCACTTAGCAAAATCTTGCTTAAAAAGTTGTGGCAGGCAAGCAGTACAGAGCCATTTTACTCGACGCTTGCTACAGTACTTGCCCAGTGGAGGTGTTTCTGAAATCGGAAGTAGTAGAAAGCATTGCACATATACTTGACGGAGATGGTAAGCCCAAAGGATGCGGTTTTGCATTTACAGGCTAAAATATGATCTTCAGGCGTTCTCGCCATCAATGTCCTCACTGATCCTGCTAGAAATATCAAGAAGATCAACGAAATTTTGAAGGTGTACAAAATATATTTCACTTCCTGTTTCTACTTCTATATCGATTTGCAACAAGTAGGTGAAAAAAAAATTAGATTTCAAGCAAGACAATATGCGACTTGCAGGTCTTACTTTGTTCACATCGCCGTGGCTGGACATTTGACGAGCAGACGGAACTTTTTACGAAGAATTTGCAAGAGATTGATAGGAAGTTTGGCTTCCGTTTCACTTAAACAAACATGTACCGTACTGCTGTACTTACTGCTCTGTTCTTACCTCGTGAATCAAGCTAGACATTATGCTCAACCTCTACGTCTCATTGTTGATAGGGCACTTATCTGTATAAAAGTATTGTGCGTAATTTTGTGAAGCGTCTAGACCAGATATGTCCAAATAGGTCAGTTCAGCACAGAGGCCACTCACTCGCCAGAGCCCATGTTCCGCAATATCCCCCCCCCCCCCCCCCCCACCACAACACACCGGGGCAGCTTACCTGATTTCCCATGAGTGCATCTTTTTGAGCCGATTGGTGAATTAGCCGAAGATTAAATACATTACATTTGTACCACGTATACAATTATCCCACCATCTCTTGAAATACCATCATTCACTTATCCTGGTGTGAAAAAGCATGTCGCCAACTGACTGGCCCTCCAACTACACAACAATATCTTCGTGAACCGCAGTCTACACTCTTTCAAAAGATGCAAATAACAACGCTTTGCAAGTAATCAAGATCAACCAAAATTGCACTTGGCTGATTGAAATGCATTGATATTGCCTCCCCTCCCCTCCCCGAAAATGGGTCACATAGTCCTTAAAGGCAGCGTACACCCAAAAGTTGAATTACCCAGTTCTCTATACCGTGTGTATACAGGGCCGAGAAGAAGACCAACTGCGTTGGTCCGATCTCCCAATGTTGCTTCTAAGGGGAGAAAACCCGCCTAATTTTTCTTTCACTCCGCCCCTTTTCATTCACTCCGCTTCCTTCGGAAGAATCCACGACAGCGTAAGCTGCAGTTGCAGTTGCAGTTGCTGTTGCAACGCTGTTGCATCTGCAACTGCAGTTGCTTTTTGCGGTGCGCCTCCTTCGGGCGACGAACCACGACAGCATATGCAGCAGTTGCAGTTGCAACTGCAGGCTGTCATGCTGTTGCAGGTGCTGGCATGCCGACGGGGACGAGCAGTTCGAAACTCGTCCTCCCCTGAGGAGAGGGTCCCTGGATATCGGGGTTTTTTGAGACTTTTGGAGAATTTTGATGTCATAACTGTAATCAGGGGCACGGAGAGGCCCCAGAATGACAAAAACATCGAAGACAAAATTTTGGGTGTACGCGTTTCGGACGGCAAAATCGCACGCGGCGAAAAAGAGGGTACTTTCAGCCGTTAGCCAACAAAGGGACCTTATTTCCCACACTCTGTGCTACATCTGTAATCATGTCAGATAAGATCGATACCCAAAGTTCTGAATGAATTCGAAGTGTTTAAATTTTGTCGCTCGAGAAGGACTCCCGTGCTTTATAGAAACAAGAACTCAGTTTCTAACTGTATCCAAAAGTGTCTATGCTGTACATGATACACATCATTAAATCACGGCTTTTCTCACTGAATCTGAAGCAAAGAAAAGTTGCGACGTCGCACGCGTCGTTCGCGTTGCCGCACTTCGTTGCAACTGTTGTTCGATTTGTCCTCATATTTCCTAAACAAATATCGGAGGCACAGCTCTTTGGAGTTATATGAAAAGTAGGAGCCTAGGCCTTTGGATAACCTTGGACAAAAAGAAAACCTCCTGTAAAGTTTAAAAAGATCCTTCAAAGCCGCGTGCTGCACCATGTGCAGCACTGTTCCGAAACATGTCAAAAGTGCAATAGACTTGTTTACACATGAAAACTTTTCAAACGGAAATGTGAACGCATATGGGATGGTACTAGTGCACTCCAGCTCGAAGAACCGCTGTTCGTCACCTAATCAGTAATTCTCGAAGAAAAACACATAATCAAGTACTGCAAGTTAATTACAGTATCACCAGCGGCGTGCTACTCCCCCCCCCCCCCAAATGGGTCGCGAACTTTTTAAGAGTTACTTACATGAATGATAAAAATGTTTATACTTGTAATCAATAAAAATGAATTTAAAAAATTCTTGCAAAATCCATTGTACCCTTATAAAGAAATTTTTTGGGGGCGTGGCTGACTCCACGCCCCTATTTTCTGCAACTTCGCCCGCGAAAATTTTAGGATACCAAAAAGATTTACGGGTGCGTGGCTAACGCCAGGCCTTTCATCAGGAAAAAATCATTTCACCAGAAAAAAAATCAAAAAGATCATTAGTATGAAGGTCGAAGAGGTTTCTTCATTAAAAGCATCACGAATCGTTAAAAGGATGTCCCAAAAGATACAGTGTTTTATAGTTGACATCTCACTTGCTCCGATGCCTTTCGCCGATCTTTACGTACCATTCTCTAGCGCTGCTTCACCTTGAATTTACAGTACGGAGCGAATAAATTCGAAATTTGGCTTCACCGCTTCGATAACAAGTTATACCAGCTAGACCATGAAAATGTTATCTCAACGTTACTTCAAGATTCACCAGCTGAAAAGCTTTACACCCGTAAATCATGTTGTCTCACAAGTTCCTCCGTTTTGATTTTCAATCGCAATAAATCGTACACTTCTTATTTCTAAGGTCCAAGGTAGCAAAGCAAGCTGTACAAGAAGCTTTTCTTGATCTCGCACCAGTTCAAATTCATCTCGAATATAAAGCAAAAAAGTAAAAGGATTGAACCGCCCAAAAATAGAAAAAATGTAACATCGTTCAAAGGATGCTAGAAACTTCTTAATTGCTCACAGACACATTATTTACAACAGACATTTACATATGCTGTGCTGTATATTTCCTCGAATAAAAATCTTGAGAACAAGAATTTTTCATGTTCCTGCCTAAGTGATGCTGTGCTGTTTCCACATTGCTAGCAGTATACTACAGATCGGTAGAAGTAAAGACGTATTTTCAGCTCTCTGAAGGCTTTGGGTGTCGCATCGAATTTAGCTTCTCTTATTTGAATGCCTCACAACAAAACCAGTATTTCTCGAAAACTAAAGCCTGTAAACAGCTGAAAATTCACGCCTGTACCTCTGCAGTATACGACTACTAATGTGGGAACAGCACAGCATCACTTTGACAAAAACATGAAAAATCTCCTTTCCTCAGTTTCTCTCCGGGGATTAGATTAAAGCAACAGCATATATAAATGTTTGATGTGGACAGCCTGTCTTTGAGCAAGTTAGGAATTTCCTAAAATTTTTCTGACGGAGTTACGATTTCTTCTCTATTTTTCGAACGGTTGAGTCATTTCAGTTTCCTGCTTCAAACTCGAGATAGATGTAAATGGCGCGAAAGCAAGAACACCATTTTTCAGTACTTCTGGCTCTATGAAACGGTACCTTAAAATCTGTCTAGAAATGAGAAGTGTATGAATAATTGCGAATGAAAGCCAATGCACGGAACCTATGAGACAACTTGATATATGCTTCATTCTGATTTAGGAACTACGCACAACATGGAATTTAGAATGACGCTCCAAACAAACGAATGCCTTGTTTAAACGATTATGCAATTATATGATACCAAACTTGGCGTGCACATGGGCGTGAGAGACCTCGATTTATGACTAGTTCATGAATAACTCACATGAATGCAGCTATACCCTTTCCCAAATTAGCTGTCACCGTTTCGGCTATGTACCACCTAAGCTGCACCCGGTCCTCTGCTAACTTAACTACCCCTAAATTTTACCCTAATTTGTATCCAAATAATGAAAATTTTCATTTATCTAACACAAAAAGGTCTCACACCTTTTCTTTCTCCTGGCTTTCCATGAGAATGACTCAGAACCTAACCCGACCTCCTAAATACATGAATTTCCCTTCGGATATGGGTAAGAAATCACGCAGATTACCGCGAAGGCGTTGTGACTTCTGACACTTTAGCCCGCGTTCATTCAAAGTTTACAAAATTTTCAGTGGTGGCGCAAAGTTGCTCTCATCGCAAAGCGCGCCTCTAGGCGAACCCACGCGCGAGTATTTTATTTTCACCGCATGTTCGCTTTCCATTAGGCTTACGTTCCCTTCCTAGTCGACTTTCTTTTATTGTTAGGTCAAGTTCTGTTATTATTCGCAAAGAAGGGGAGGGATGGGGAGAAGCGGAGAGGGAGATGGAAGGAATGCGGACGAGTGGAAGTGGCGGAGGTGGGTTCCAAGCTCATTCTAGAGAGATAAGTGGCGGCAGAAGAGAGATTTTGGTCCTTTAGAGATTGATAAAGGGTCAGATGCAGAAAAAAACAGCGTATATCGACTTCAGAGAAGCAGTCACATCAAATTATGGCAAATACTGATCGCTGCATATACAGTTCTCTATATTCGCCATATTGGAAGCCCAGGGATATACATAAATAACTTTCTCTTTACTCCAATGAAAAACAAAAAAATACATGAAAGACCATGAAAACACTGAGCATACTTCAATTCTTCAGGGCAAGACAGAATTCTCTGAGAAAGAAAAAAAAATAAGCCTAAAAAAGTTCTTCTTTGAAATGAGGTAAAAGTAGTACTCTGAGAAAAAACTTTCAAACTGACAACAAGTGGTAATAAAGGTGACAGTAATTGAATGACCGATTGACAAATTATGCATAAGCGGCAAACGCACACTAGAATTTTACAGCTGATGTTGTCCACCACCTCTCATTGACTAGTAGACATCCTCTTCTTGACAGCATTTTCGACCTGCGTCATTTGATCATTGTATCACTGGTATGATGTTTCGAGCAACACACAGGATAGAAAGTTTACCTTGTTTGCGGAAAACGCAGCTACCAGTTCCTCCACACCTTCTAATTCTTTCAGTGTCGATGCTATATTGGCAGGATGTAAGGACTCGGATATATATGCCACTAAATTTTCTAACGCTCCTTGACGAGCAGCCTTGTTAACCTGCAATGGAAGCAAACTGAAAATGAGATTGAATTGTCACATTTCTTGAACGGAACTTACGTTTTCGTAGACATGCCTGATTTCAAATGAGTATGTCTCATCAGGGACCCTTAAACGGCAGGCTTTGAACAGGTTATGAGTTAAATGAGTATGGGTTGAACGCAATAAGAACAAACCTCACAATAGGGCGGGAAGAAGATGAAGAGCGAAACAATGCGGTCAGTTCATCCAGGTCCCTCTTGACGATGGCTTTAGTGGATAAAAGAGAACGAAAGTACTCGGACTTAAAAGATATAGCGATTTCACTAAAGCAGCTAGAAAGCAGACTTGCCTCATTTTCCGACTCAACTAATAACTTCTTCTGCTTTCTCGATAACAATGCGATTATGGCCTGTGTACCGTCAGCATTGAGATCATAAGATGTAACCAAGTCCTTCATATTTGAATGCCACTTCGAAGTGAGGAACACAATCTTATCAGAAGTGCGCCAATCACCAATCTAAAATCTATAAATTAGCAGAGCAGACCTAAAGTTACCACCATCATGAGTTTATAACCAATGGATAGAACTGCATGTTTGGCTAAATCAAAGCCATAATTGCAGATATAAGAAAGCTATTGACGAGTTTACAAATCGAGATATGACCACTTGTCACCTCATCTGCCGCCGCATTTCCAAGGCCGTAAGCAGCGAAGCATCGCTGAAGAGACTTCTTGTATGAATCACTTGTTGTTAAAACAATGATATCGTCCTCTCTGCGAAAGAAACATAGATAAAATCTATCTCAAGCAAGTGACTGAGAACCCTGCCTAAAGGACAAAGCATTGTGCAAGCAAAACTTACATGGTGGCGTCATTACTTGATGGAGGCTGAGCAGGCCCAGAGGACGGTCCTAAATGAGCAAATTTGATTTGCTCTTAGGGTTCTGCCAGAAAATGAAGCAAGACTTAGATTTAACTCGCCTTCATTTTGCTCTGGTTCAAAGCTGGTACTTGCTCACTAATATTTTTTAGCATAAAGAATTACCCGTCCAGTTATGCTTGCAGGGCACACAAATAGAGATAAGAAAAGTGGTAAAATACAACGAAAAATATTGAGTGAATATTTGGGCTGTGCAAAAAAGAAAAACGCATGTGCTTGTGGGGTATGTGTCAAGATAAGCTGCCTTGACAAATGAACATCATATACACTAGTGTCTTATAACATGAAGCATTCCAGATTTCTGAAGAAGTGCTAGAAAGCTGCATGGGCTGTCCGTCTTATCATTTTTAAATAAATTCGAAAGTTGAGGTCAAAGTCCCTTGAAATGCATCTAAAAAATTCGTGCAGATTCGGTTAATTTCTTTAGCAAAAGCAAAGCGTCAAACTTAGTAAGCGGTAACTTGGTACAGGCAGGAGCGATTTGTCTGTATTTTTCAGACTTGCCCAGCACTGATTGAGACAACCACGTCTGTCACCAACCATTGAGTTGGTGACAGACGGACGCAAACATGGTCTCTAGTTTGATGTCCCCTACGACAGCCTCATAGCATAGGAAAAACCTGGTCCTAGCGCACTCGCGCACGTACTGGCATAAAAAGCATGGTGTGGATCTTACTCTTCAAATATTCTAGACGTCAAGTAGAAAGTGTCATAAACAACGCACCTTCTTTCGCGTGATGTGCCAACTCTTCATTGTGAAAATCGGTGTTCGCTGAGCATCGAATTTCTTCATTGTCCTCGGCACCGTCGCTCTCTTCAGTGGACAAAGCCTCATCACGGTCGGCAGCATGAAATACTTGTCATAATACACACATCTAGACAAAATTCAAGAAAAAAAAACCTACCGAATCTGTAGATTTCAACTTTTTGATGGAGCTCCTCTCTACCTCACGAGTCTGCTCTGAAAATGAGTTTGCATTCGGTTAGTTTTCTTCTATTGGCCGCCCGCTTTTGCGCGGAATGCAACGCTTTTGCGTCCATTTGGAATAGTTCACGACTGAACGAGAGAGCAGACGAAAAAGTGGCGAGAGTGCACAAGGAAAGAGGAGTAACGCGCAATATATACCCTATTTTCAGGTGTATAAGCCGCACCCTTTTCACTCTAAAGGCGAACACGCTAAAAGACTGACTGTCATTATGGAGCGCGTTAAGTGAGAGCAGTATGCGATAAGGCGACCGCTTCGCGAGACATATGCGCGGCAGCATGCCTGGGTCTGCTCGCGTTTAGAGCAAAAAGGGTGCGGCTTATACACCTGAAAATAGGGTAATTCTTCGCCTTGCGCGGACGGCCTATATATGCATGCTTTCCATATCGAGGTCTTGATAAGCAAAACCTTACGAGCAAATTCTGGAGACTCCGGGCCTCTTTCCGTGGAGGGAGAAGGGGAGTTATCCTTGGACGATTGCGACTCGCTTTCCTCTTGGCATGGAGGTGTCTCCAATGGCGATCTTCCTGCTGAAACAATATGCATCTTTTCGACCGTCAAAATTGATTTTGACTGAAAACCTTGGACGCGAAGGGGTTCCTCCTTTCGTTTGAAGCTCTTCAAAGCTCCCGATGGTTTCAGTATGATTTGTATTTGAAATCTCAGTTCCAGTCTAAAGCGTTACTATAGTGCTCCAACATGTATCGTATTGTACCCCTACCAAGCAAAGAAAACGTTCATTTTGAAGAAGCGATATATACAGGGTGTCCCAAAAAAAATGTATCGAACGTTTGATCGTTAATATCTCTCTTCTAAAGAAGTCTTTTCTCTTGCTTCAGGTACCAATCTGTAGAGCTGGCTTTAACTTAGATTTGCACTATAGAACGAATCACTCATTTCTCTACATTACTGTAGGATTACGGTAGAAACTTCAAAGAGGGTTTTAAGCAATGGAAGGCCATATTTTGCCTTGGAAAGGAAACAAAACAGCCTGAAAGCTTTTACGCTAGGCTAATTAGAGTTGCTGTTTAAAACTGTAAAGTTCCCAATTTATTATGATGCTTCATTGAAGAGTTATGCCAGGTAAGAGGTAGCGGCCATCTTTTCAATGTTCCTAAAAAGTGGGATTACACCGTTTAGAAGGCTTCGTAATCTTGTGAATAATTGAGTATTAAACTCAGCGTCCATAAAAACCCTATTGCACAAGTTTTCACAATTTTTTGAAAATTTTTGAAACGGCAGCTTTTTCCACATTGACACCATATGTTTCAAGTTTCTACCGTAATCTTACAGTAATGAAGAGAGATGGGTGATTCGTTCTATAATGCAAATCTAAGTTGAAGCCAGCTCTACAAAACGGTACCTGAAGCAAGGCAAAAGACTTCTTGGGAAGAGAGATATTAGCGATCAAACGTTCGATACAATTTTTTGGGACACCCTGTACAGAGGGCTATTTTCGAAACTACACTCTGTCAACGATATGCTCCCTTTCCGATCAACACAGGCGCAACGCTAGAGCCCCATGCCGCGGGCAGGGCTCCTCTACCGTTGCGGGGGTGTTCGCGGGAGTACCGCTTGAACTTCAAATGCGCCACATCAACAGAAGATACCCGCGCAAAGCTCACGTGCTGCAAATGCGTTGCGGAAGAGGGAGCACCTGGTTAATTGGATCACTGTCGAGACGAAAGTCTATAAGTTGTAGTAAGTATGCCACACAATCACATACGCAATTTTGACATCGCTAGTCATCGGGATCTGGTACTGGGAGTAGAGATACATCATCATGTGACAAGGAAGACTGGCATCGTACAGCCTATTCATCATACTTCTGCGAAACCTGAAGAAAGGGGTTGAGGCGGAGAACGTCTAGCTTGATATTCTGGGTTACCTAGTATTCAGGCTGTCTGCTGTCCTACCAATGTTTTCTTCAGCGTACAACTTCCATATTTTGAGGCCTTTCGGCTCCCGTGCAGCAGGTTCTCCCTTTCGGAGTTGACTTAATTTGAAGTGTGAAGTTCAAAGAAACTTGTCAATTTCGAAACCACTCACTCATATAAGAACATCCACATGTGCCGTTCATCTTCACGCGAGTAGCTTGCTCGCTCCTTTGCCATTATCCCTTAATTACTGAAAGTTGGGACAATCCCGAGAACAATCTAGTCTAGTATATAAAAAAACGTAAGCGCAATTTAAAAATCTGCAAAGAGCGGGAAACCGCGGTGCGGTCCGAAACGCGCGGATGCAATCTAGCGCCTTTAATTACTGGTTCACTAGTTTACAGTAAGTTTCGACCCGCTTAAGGTGAAAATCGGATTGGCGGGCGTCCGCTTCGCAGCGGCTCGCGCCGTTTCGCGGCTCCAGTATAACATACCGTGCTGAAAACAGAGGTCTGTTTCTCTTCATTCACCTCAGTCTTTGCTTGGTAAAATGCCAGCACTATGCGCTCGCGAAGCCTCCAGCGGGCATGCGCCGCTCCTCGTGGAAAGGGGGCGCCCATTACTTGTGGGCGTCAACTAGAGATTGCCGCGACGCGGCGTTACAGTAACCCGGGCGAGAGGCAGCAGGGTCAGAGGAAATGTCTCAGAGAAAATGCTTAGGGGTCACCTTAGGATTATGAACAAAAAGTACCCTAATTTCACGCTAGACGCGGGGTATTTTATTCTTAAGTGAAAACAGCACAGACACACCGAAGGACTTCGCGACCCAAAAACTACATACAGTGCTACATATTGCCTAAGAGTATCGTGCGGCTTGGCAGCGGCTCGGCAGATTTTCAACTTCGGAGTTTTGGCAGATTTGGAGCTATTCCGGCCCCCTGAATCACGACATGAACTCACCTTGGCGAAAATGGGGAAAAGCGCGGACGAGTGAGCCGTTTTTCTCTGCCGTCAAAGACGCAGACTAAGGAGGTAGAGAGCGCCGGAACAATTCTGCCCTACGAAGTTACGAGTGACGGCGCGTTTTCTAGCGGAAAACATACTCATCCGAACAAGGTGTTAGGGGAGCGAAAGGAGGAAGGGGAGCGGCGGTTTGGCCGCCCCCCTGGCTTGCAGAGTTCACATTTTCGGCGCAGAGTTGCTGTTTTGGTTCACTTGGAGGGCCTCCTATCCATCTGTGTCAAAATCTGAGGTAGGTTCATTCTGCCGAGACGCTGCCTTTAAGTCTAGTTTTCCGAAACACAACAAGCCGGCTGAGCGATAAAATCGAAAAAGGTGCGTCTTATAGGTGAAATTAGGGTACATGTTCTGTCATCAGATTAATGGTAATTTCCATAATTCCATTCGCTATCTATTTCATATTCACAAGATTTGGGGCTAAACTTCCATTAACCAGTAAAATCTAATATGGTAGTGTGAAAACATTCACAAAGGATGGATCAGTGTGCTTTGCGAGTCGGCTACCCGAGCTCTCGCAACTGATTACTGCCAGCCTGTCGCGCGCGGCGTCTGCGTAATTGACAGCCACAGGTAATGGGATACACCTCTCGTGGAATGTTTCGCTTTCCGGGGAGAAATCGACTGCATACGCAAGAGCGACCGCCGCGCCGCTATGCAAACTACTACGTCGCGAGTTAGCTACCTTTCGGTGAGGACCACGTTGCATTTTTGTTTAAAGATGAGTGTCGTTGAAAAGAACGAACACTGCCTTCCTTTAGCTGCTGAGACGAGGTTGGCGAGCACAATGCTGGCATTTAGCCAGCCAGAGACCCAAGAAGGTGCGGAGGCGCAGACAAAGGCCCTTTTACGGTGTGATATAGGCAATCACACGCAGAGGCTGAACGACATTGCGTCCTAGTGAGACAGTTTCCGTTTAGAAGAGACCGCAGGCGGTAGAGGGATGATAGTGCGTTTGGTCGGAGAGACGCCGACAACATACGCAGTGGCGCCCAGTCTCTGCGCGGTGACTTGCCTATACATCTGCCGTAGCGATACGACTTGAACCGTTGCGAAGCGGACACACACCATCACTTTTGGCCTGTTTTTGGTTGTAACATAATGTGCATTTAGACTGTCCGCGTGGTTCACCTAGCACACCTCCGTCTCAAAGTCTACTGCCGATGAATGCGCATTACTCTAGCAAGCATGAACACAGCGCGTAGCAGCCAAACCCTGCGCTTGCGCACCTAAAAAATAGGAGGTGTATGTCGAAAGGCGCGCGTTCCTCAAGCCTTCATTTCCAGACTAGACCAGTCCTCTACAACAGCGAAGTTTCCAGATTCCAAGACTTTTGATAGTACATCAGAAAGCGTAATGGAGGATAACCAGTTGAAATGGGAAAGTATTGAAATAAATTTGAACATATTTCTTGCTTCTCCCAGTTAATGGCAATCGATCAATACGCGCCATTCGACCGTCTCCCAAGAATAGACTAAAGAAACAAATACCTCCATTGGATCTGTCTCCACACGTGATATGCAACAGCATGTGCGAAAGAACAGTAGCCCGAGGAGGCGGCGCCTAAGTGAGGTATAAGCTGCTGCATGACGAAGGCGCAATAATCTTGAACGCGAATGCGGCTTTATTAGTCGCAAAGCGCATGAGGCGCAGTACTTGCAACGGCGAAGATACGTGCGCGTCGCGTTCGCGCCCGTTCAATTAATATTGCTTCTGTGCCTTCGTCCTGAGTTGGCTTCACCTAGTTCTTCTACCCACAGAACCACGTTCGCGCCCCTGGGTCCTCCGCCTTCGTCCGGGCGGTCCTTATCCACGAACTCTATCCGCTTTATCGTTTGCTCCTCCTGCTATAAACTGCCCTTGTTGAATGCAACAGGGTAATTTTGCGTGCAAACCGGGTAGACTATATCTGTGTACGTTTCGAGTAGAAAATTCCATTTTAAGCCGATCCGGACCACACTATGCCCATATACAATGTGTAAAATTCAATTGCTCACATACGAGATGTCGACTGTGCAAAAACTGCCCGTATCGCCGCAGGCTAAACGCGGGCGAGCGTGCCTGGCGTGCCGCTGTCGAATATCGACGCTGTCATGTCCTCGAATGCTAAGCGAATGTGGCCCGCAAGCCATTGCGCCAGAAACGCTTGAAGCCATTAGGCTACGGCCATATGGGCGTTTTGGAGGAGACTATTACCCTTTGGTTCAAAGAGACTGGCAGTTGGAAGGTGACCGCTCGCATCCGCGACGCCGTCTCCGATCAATCTCTAGCCTTGGTGAAACCTCGAAGCACCGCCTCCCAGCCTCTGATCCTGTTGTATCAAAAAGTACGCGAACTCGCGAGAGCGTTAGTTACAAGAAACTTAGACGGGCATCCTCGTTCAGAAGTACAGTCAATGTCAATTACGCACTCCCTTGCGCGAGTGAACTATGGATGCGCAGCGCAAAGGCTCGGCGTGCGGACCTCCAATCGATGGGGCCATTTGAATGCCTAAACATAAGCGCGCGAACATGGCGCGAAGCTCATTTCCTTTGAACGGAAAAGGGAGCTCGTGATTGGCACGGACTGTATCTCTGTCAATCTTGTGTTCTTCTCAACAAAACAGGTGTCTGTCGAATTAGCTTCAAAAGAAGTTGAAAATACCTTCGAAAAGAGAACGCTTATTTTCTATTGCGACAAGCTGGTAGCGCACTCAATGTTCAACTGCTTGCGCGCGTTGGTGTCAGTGCAGTCGTGGGCAGATTTCGTACATCTTGTACAGTCCATAGCGGCGATTTCTCGGTCTGTGCTTAAAGGCAGTGTCCCACCAAAATTTATTTGCCGAGTTTTTCGCATTTTGCAAGCCTGTCGAACAGTGTCTAGCACTGTACGGGCTCAAAATCGCACGACGTTCCCAAAAACCCCGTTTTCTGGAGGCTCCGCGGAAGCAACGTGGACGAGTTATACCTTCCAGCTTCAGCCTCAGCTACAGTGGCAGCTACACAGGGGAGGTGGATGCCAAGTGGAGGGACATGTTCAAACGCGTAAGGGGGAGAGACCGAAGGAGTCGTCCGCGCGTACCAAGTCGCTCTCCGCGTACCACTTTGAGCGAATCTTTCTCAGCGTGGAGAGGGTCAAATTGAGTGGGACTTGTTGCAATGGCCTATTTAGAGGTCTCTATAATAGAATATGTGAAAATCCGCGCGACCTCAACTTTGGTGAGACACTGCCTTTAAGGCTGGGACCAGATTCAAGAGAGTGACAACTGATTACGAAACAGCGACCGTCTGGTATGTAATAGGATATCCATTGCCTTTATCGACTATGGTCGATTGTCTCGAACTCTGACAATGAATGAAGAGCTTAGAGCTGGTTTGATAGGGGGGGGGGGGAGGAGGAGGGGAAGAAGTAAGTGAGCATGAGCATAGTGCTGATCAAAGTGTAAGAGGAAATTTGTCAATACGGAGTCTATCGAAATTCGAGCTGGGACGCGATGGCACAAGAAATCGAGTGTGCATGTGATTATGGAAGTACAAGGCTCCTAAATTGCAGTCGTTTGCTCCAGCGGTCGCGCGACCGCTGGTGCAAACGACTCTGCAGTTTAGGAGCCCTGTAAAAACCGTTTTTGAAATCGTCCATTGCGTTCATCGAGTTTCGCGAAATCTTGCTGAGGAGCTGAGACCTTGGATTGTGGTGTTAAAGCCTCGGGCATACTTCAGGCAAATTCAGTCGCTAAAGAAGAGCGGAGCGAGCTACGCCAGCTAGATGTTCCTGTTTGGTGGGTTTTGACTTTTTTTTTCAATTTCCATGGCTTTGCCCCATGTTCTCAGTATTTCCTACTTCTGTAGGCCTGGTTCATGGTCTCTCACTGCTTCGTATTGGAGGCTATGAAGACTACGGAGATCATATAAAATAGTATTGGAATAGACTGTCTTCTCTCCTTCATCAAACAAATGTACAAAACTTGAAACTTTATCCGTTTCAAACTCTACAAACTCTATAACCCAAAATCGAGCGACCACATAAAACCCAACAATCTCAGAAATCAAGTACTTCGCATCTGGAATCCTTCAAGAGGATATACAATAAACCCGATAATGCGAACTGTGATAACGAGGAAACAGTCGTTAAATTATAAATAAGTTTGTGGGCATAGTAAATAACGATCAAAGATGGGAACAGACTGGAAGATAAAACAGACAGAACAGTTAAAACGCAAACGGGCAGTAAAGCATAGAGAAAAGTTTGAAAGTTTATTAAAGCGAATAGTTTAAGGTCAAAAGTGAGTTAAAATTATGTGCAGGTGGGTATAAAGGCTAAATTAGAATGGTAAGATAACACAGTTGGATTGCAAAGAGGGATAACGCTCATATCATCACAGAGGTGTAAGCGACTCTTGAAAATAGTGAATAATCAACAGGCATAAAAAGGAGCTCCGTAAAATCTGCATAAAACCTTCCAAGATGTGCAAAAACAGTCCCGTCGCATTGAAATAAAAAATCATCAAGATTCTACAAAGATCATCTACTTTGATTTGCGTGTAGCGAAAACGCTATTCATGTCCTCCTGCAAACAACAAGGCAATGTCTGAGAAATCCTCTGGTTCGCTGTCAACTCGTCTTCTTTTTTCAATAGGCGGCAATGGACGAAGATAAACTGGCTTTTTGTGCTGCTCCCCAACAGTGAGCTGAAGTAGAAGCTTATCGTTGCACTACGAGATAGACTACAACATACCGCAATGACGCCTTTTAGAAGCTTGCGTGCCATCTCCTTCTTCTGTTTCTCCAGAAGAACTTCACCACCCTCCACCATAGCTCGCACCTTGAGGAAAAACATTACTACATCGACCACTTATATATAATGCGTTTAACGAGACCAGCGCCGCGTATTGTAGTCATGCATCTACGCGCGAGCGTTACCGTAGGCGCAGCGTGCAGAGACCATGCTGCGCACACCATCTCGGGCCTTGTTTTTGTCGTTGTATCTCGTAATTTTTCCGTTTCTGCGGCAGCGGATTGTCATTTTTCTTGCTTTTATGCTCATATGCAACCTGTCTTTATACCGGACTAGTTGGCAAACCCGGCTCCGCCCGGCCCTGTCAATAACATATTTGTAATCAGCATGCTAGATTACCCCCCCCCCTGTGCCAACTCCCAACCCCGTAGCTCAAATTTTGCAAAAAATCGATAAAATCTGTATCGATCGATGACGAAAAGTAGCCTATGACACGCTCCCTGCCCCGTAGTATATGTGTGCAAAGTTTGGTCCAAATCGGTTCAGAAATAAAAACAGACAGACAGACAGACAGACACACATTCAGCTTTACATATAGAATGTTTTTTTTTCCGCAGCAAAGGAAGGAGGTATCAATTTCTTGAACGTTTTTCTCAAGACATCTTTCACTTCATCCAAGCCTTCTTCGGAAGGCTGATTCCGGATGTCATGATTTGTTCCAACGGATGTAATCGTATATCGTGTAAGGGTGCTTCCTTGGCTTTACTGTAGCCTGAGGCGAATAGCGCCTTGGAGTGTGTGTTATATAGAACACATTAGCTAATATGCTTTGAACAGGCGACCTGCACTCGTGGGTGCTGTGGTAGAATGCTCATAACAAACTATCACAGCAGGTCATGCTTATGGCATGAACTGTGAGGTACTTCGGTAACAGTAGAGATACGGTTGTTAGGAAGTGCCGACAGTCGGCACATATCGTTTAGGTTCGACTGAACAGCGCCAACGTGCTGTTCACTCAAACTGTTCTCTCAACCTGCACGATACAACGATTACACCTTGCGTTATAGCCTTTAGCTGTAAGGAGGAAGAACACAAGTCGTTCTCAGAATTCTCAAACGAAATGATAAAAGTACATTTTTTTTTTGAAAGACCCCAAACCTCCATTTTTTCTTCCATTTGCGCGGTGATACTTTGAGAGATCTTAGAAAGGGCACCGAAGTAGAGTTTTAGACAGGAAAAGCTCAGAAATTTGGAAGCAGGACAGCGAATAAGCTGAGAAAGAGGAAGGAAAAGTAGCTAAATCAAGGATCACGCGGCTTTGCGCGGCAAGATCCCTGCACGCTGCAGCCCACGGTAGCGCTCGCGCTCAGGTATGTGACTGCACTACACGGCGCTGGCCCCGTCGAACGCATACGAGTTGTCTCGAAAAAATAACTATTCGTTCCTTAGCAAGACTCTCGTCTCATTCTTTTGCGGACTACGTTAGCATTTCAAAGTATAGTCTTCAACTTAGATTAACGGTGATGGAACTAACACAAATGCCAACCCTCATTTCAGGATATAAGAAAACCCTGTAAAGTTTTGTTACATATTCTAGAAATAAGATATCAGAAAAGTGAACTTTGAAAGGCTGATATTATAACCAAAAGCGACGAAAAATTTTGTAAAGTGCGAATTTCTTCGAGAACGGCGAGATTCTCTTGTCATCTTAGCGTGTATTTATTTATATCTAGTTTATCAGCATCATGCAGCTAGAGCGTGCGTGTCGCACATACTGACACTACCGCAGTGACATGTAAAAAAGGGAAGCCTCAATCGTCAGTGACCGCCAACTTCAGCAAATGTTTTTTCTACAAGAAAACTTCCTACTTCGAATGTTTGAACGCATTCGGAAAGCCTGCAATCTCCGCATTCACATAGCATGAGTGACTTTTTCAATTACGACTCACTGAGTGAATTATTGCTTTTTCAAAAATCAAATTCTGAACCAACTGTAAAGAAATGTGGCTATTGAGCATTTCAAAAGGTTCTTGAGAGTGCGTGTTGATGTCCCAGTCTAATGGTGGATCCACACCGCGCAGTAGCCGCCGCTAGCAGATGACCGCCGCAAGCAGCGTGTAGAGCGTGAGAGCGCAAAATTATTAGATGCTTCGCTCTAATGTATCCGCCTACGCTTCTAATCATCCATGCTTTTCTTTACTGATCCTGCTGATGTGCAGTTCGACTCTCGATCATTATCTTTGCAATAATTGTCGTCATTATCTTGCTGTGAAGTGGATCTGCTATCAGTGCCCACACTCTCTAATGCGCTGTCTTGTGTGGAACGAATTTGAGTGATTAAATTACTCCACCACTGTGTACGCTTGAAGTCTTTGTTGTGTGCTTTGCTTCCTCCATCTTTGACAAAGCTTTTGCAATGCAACTTTTCCTCTTGAGTATGCATCATGTGGGCCATAGCTTTTCACCCTCCAAGCATCAGCTTATCTCTAACTATACAGTGTCCCAAAAAAATGTACTCACGTTTGATTGTAAATAACTCCAAATAACCCTCTTGTAATGAAGTGTTTCGGGAAGCTTTAGGTACCATTTTGTAGAGCGAGGTTCAACTTAGATTTACAGTATAGAGCGAATCACCCTTCTCTCTTCATTACTGTAGGAATGCGGTGAAAACTTGAAACATATGGTGTCAATGTGGAAAAAGCTGCCGTTTCAAAATTTTTCAAAAAAAAAAATGTGAAAACTTGTGTAATAGCGTTTTTATGGACGCTGGGTTCAGTCTTATGTATAAAGCTGACTGTGTGTATGTCTGTCTGTACGTATGTGCGAAATAGAAATTTTTATTTCTTGACCGATTTGGACCAAACTTGGCACACATATACTTCGGGGCGGGGAGCGTGTCATATTTTCGTCATCGATCGATATCGATTTTATCAACTTTTATCGATTTTGCAGAGTTCACCTACGGGGTTGGGAGTTGGCACAGCGGGGTAAGTGAGCATGCTGACTACGAATATAATATCAGTTTCCAGAATTATCGATTACTTTTATCGATTTTATCGATTTTTTCAAAATATAAGAAAGGCTGGGAATTGGCACAGGGGGGTAAGTGGGCATCCTGATTTCGAAAACAATAACGGGAACGGGAAATGAAGTGTAGAAGTGAGCACAGAGAAAGGCTGTACAGAGATAGGGGTGGGACCTTTATTACAGTGTTTTGACAGGGCCGAGCTGAGCCGGGTAAGCAAGCTAGTACTCAACTATTTACAAGATTGCGAAGCTTTCTAAACGCTGTAACCGCACTTTTTAGGAACATTGAAAAAATGGCCGCTACCTCTTACCTGGCATAACTCTTCAATGAAGCATCATAATAAGTTGGGAACTTTACAATTAGAATCAGCAACTCTAATTAGCCTAGTGTAAAAGGTTTCAGGCTGTACTGTTTCCTCTCTGAGGCAAAATATGGTCTTTCATGGCTCAAAACCCTCTTTGAAGTTTCCACCGTAATCCTACATTAATGAAAAGAGATGGGTGATCCGCTCTATACTGTAATTCTAAGTTGAACCTGGCCAGATGGGTGATTCGCTCTATACTGTAATTCTAAGTTGAACCTGGCCCTACAAAATGGTACCTAAAGCTTCCCGGAACACCATTACAAGAGAGTTATTGACAGTCAAACAGTGAGTACATTTTTTTGGGACACCCTGTACTTTACAACAAGGTCTCCTCGATTTTGCAGCCGGTTGTTTTGTAAGTGAACTTCGTTTCAAGTTCGACTTTTCTTTCTATTGACAACGCGTATAAGAGAAATTGCCGAATTGCCGCTTCCACCATCCACTCTCAGTCATAAACATGCTCATCGACTTCATCCGCGCAATATCAAATGATAGTGAAGATGAAACGGATAGAAGTATAAGTGAAGCGTGCGTGCGTCGCAGTGACTGCTATCGTTGTATGTTCTTTTACAAGTTAAATAGCTTACATTCATTCGTATCACCATTGATTCACCAAAGATGATGAGGAGAAGCGTGGGCGGATGCATTAGGGCGTGGTAAATCTGATGATTTCGCGCCTATGATAACAAAAGTACCCTAATTCCACGCGTAGAGAACGCGGGGGATTTTTTTTCCAATCGAACAGCATAGACACGCTGGGAGACTTCGCGACCAAGGAACTATTTACAGCACTGCGGCATAAGTCTCGTTTTCCGAAACACAACCAGACGGCTGAGCAGCACGCTTGAAAACCGAAAAAGGTGCGTCTTATACGCGTGAAATTAGGGTAATTAGGCCGATGGAGCAGGCTACAGACTGCTGACGGCAGCTGACGGCGCGGTATGAAGGCAGCCAACGTCACTGCTGTACTTCGGAAAATTCGAAATTTATCATTTAAACGAATACCGAATAATATTCGAAAACTGAGAATAATGAACGTGATTATATTCAACAGTGGAGGTCGAATTTCGAATATATTCGAATGATTTATCCGAATAAGAGAAACAACTATGTCTAACACCTGCGGACTACAGCCTGACGACTCAGCCGTTGGATCACACCGAACTGCACCGAACTCGAAGAGAATTCGAACAAGTCGAATAACACGTGATAATGTTATTCGTTCTAAACCTCGATTTCCAATAATCCGAGTTTTTAAATTTTACGGCCATTTCTGATTTTTCAAAATTACGAATTTGATTAGAAAATAACTATGAGCTTCGAATTTCGAATGGAAATATATTCGAATGAGCGAATTTTTATTCAATTCGAACCAAAGTATAGGCCTTACGCCCCTCCCCCTCCCCCCAAATGTGGTAATGGCCCTTATATATGCGCATACACAAATTTAAGTAATACCTTGTTATCAAATGCTTCCACAACTTCCTGCGTGACTTCGGGAACCTGCATAAGGACTTGCGGTAGAGAATTTGAAAAACGACGCTGTAAGCATAGAAATCTAAGTGGAGTGGCGAAAAAGAGAAAACGCACCAAAACGCAATAAATATGAAACACCAAGGCTATCAGCGGTGTACCAGCTACTTCATCAGCTCCATGTAACTGTAGCGAGCGTATTGCACATACTAACATGTACACTCCTACTTCATCATCGTAACACTCCACCAACTATAAGAACGTTGAAGAAGTATGAATCCACCGTGTGGTATATATGCTACCTTCTCTGACAAAGCTTTGCACAGTGCAATAGATTTCAACGCTAGCAAGGAGTCACGGAGAGTCAACGACGAGAAGGCCGTCATGATCACTGAAGACAATCCTATCTTGTTCATAAAAAGCCACTCTCCAAGAGATGATAATGAATGGTCTTTTCTGTCCTCGCCTGAAACTTTGGTTTTTCTTTATGATCATCATAAAATTATGCATAACTTTGATGGATGAAAACAGCTATAAATGACTTACAGTCACTTGGCAGATAACAGAAACGTAGAAAATTCATGTACTCTCTAGATATCACACATGTCAGATGTTCGTTGAACAGCTCTTCTTCGGTTGGCTCAGAATCTGACAGGTACACTTCACATAAAAAAGCGAGCGACCTTAGAAAGCGCCTACCGTAATCGATGTGAGAAATGTCGGCCCACATTGTTTGCAGTCTCCCCTGCATTGAACTAACAATGCGCACGAAAAAATCTTTCAACAACGGATAGTTCACAGCAGGACAGCATCCCAAGATAGATTTCCTGTAAGTCCATTAGACGCATGAATTGGACAAAATAGCTTTTGCACTGACCAGCCCTTTTTTATCCAGTGACGTAATCTGAACACAGGAACGAGGTCGATGTTTGTGATGAGGAAATTCAGCAGCTCTGGCATAACCGGTAGATTGAATATGATTTCAGGGAATTTACCCACAGCAGCCGCAATTATAGTGACTCTGGGAAGGTGTAAATTAGCACTTAAACAAAATCTTAGCGAAGTAAATATAAGGATAGACGATTACGCCTGCTCATTCAAATCGTGCACATATTGACGTTCCACTGTAACAGGATCGTTGTCAACCACGGCAGGACGTGTGGAAATTACTTCTATATTTTCACCAACAGAACCTGAACTCCTGGTGTTTAGTATAGCCACAAGCTGCTGAACTTTGATATTAAACAGGATAATCAAACTCGCAATATATCTGCTGTCTCTCTGATGCCACCATATTTGTCAGACTGTCGCGAAATGACTCATGAAGCAAAGCTTTGTTTTGTTCTAGATGGAGTTCCATCAAGCACCTAGAATGATTATGAATGATATCTCGTTTCACAAAGTAAATCCTTCTTACCTTGTTAATTTGAAAAAGCATGGATAGATCGGGATAAGCATTGTGCCAAGTTGGCTGGAACTATTGACCTGTTGAACAACTCCTTGGATACAAGTCAGAGCACGACGAAGCTGTAAGACTACATTTGGAAGCAAATATGCGCTATGACTACGGGTGGAGGACTATATGTCGCCGAAAAAGGGCGGTCCCCGCGGTCATTTGCGACAAATACGCAATACTTGTACATGCGCGGACATGCGTTCTTACAGGGAATCCGCGCGGGACTCTTTCAAATTCGGCGACATACAGTCCTCCGCCCTATGACTACCATCCAAAGCAGTATGCCTAAGCTCTGCCGAGAAGAAGTGAATTTAATTTGAAGCATACATGTAGGCACTACTGAGATCTAGACTACGCCTTGCCCATTCATCTTCGAGTAGTAGCTTACTGTACGGACAATGGTACAGTCTTTTTCAACCCGGAGTAGGCGAAACATTCTAAGTGGAGCAGCGCGTCCGCACCGCCATTGGCTCGGCGAGATAGATTAGGCTGAAGAGACGCAGACTGCAAAGCGGCGCGAATTTTTGCGAAGCGGACTCCCACCAGTCCAATTTCCGCCTAATTTGAGTTGAAACTTACTGTAAAAGTGATCAAGTAAGCTGCAGCTTTGAGTTTTCTTCACAGTCACTCCAGGATAATATTGGTGGATTTGTCCCAAAAAGAAGCAGAGAATCTAGAGAATTTGTACCACGCTATTGTCAAATGCGAACAAGTGAAGCCTCAGTAATAAGATGAACTGCTCGCTACTCGCGAGCAATGATTTTGCAAGCCTTGAGCTTTAGAATGAGCAGTTTCAAGTGCCTTTCATTCCCGTTCTCGGCAAATGTTCCGTGCATAACGCCTTGGATTTGGGTAGAGCACATAGAATTTACGATAGAACTACACCTCAATCCTGTTCATTGTCAACGAATCAGCAGCAACTGTACGAGCGGTATCAAAGGCATTAAACTTGACGAATGCAGATACGTCCTCAAACGACCTCAACCGAAGACAGTGAAAGATGATACAAAGAGAGTAACTAAAAACTGACCAAGAGATTCTGTGAAGGTATTCTATTGTAGGACCTGCCGCCATACGCAGTAACTCCAATTTCACGCGTTCGTCATCAATATAGTTAGATAATACGGCAAGAACCTACACTTGAATCCTGTTTAGGTGTGGAAAACATTTATAAATACAATTACTTGTAGCAACTGCGCCATTTGCATCTTCGAGATGACTTCCTCCACCTCACTATATAGAGATACCATACTAGCTACATGATCCTGGAATGTCAATCGAAAGCCGGCGTTAACAGAACCCCATAGGGTTATGGGAGTGTATGTCAAGAGGCGCGATTTTTATTGCCAGATGTGTCCCTTGGTCATTTTCTGATGCCCGCCAACCTTCACTTGTTGCTCAGCTGCGAAAAAGTGTTATATGTTTTGCGAACGCTGCAAGATGAGCGAGGCGGGCTGCCCTAGCGGCTGGACCTGCCCCACAGTGAATGAGATAGTGCCGCGGAAAATGAGATGATGTATGCTTGATGTGTAAACGAATACACAAGAATGGACATCGAATATAAAACAGCATGCTTCGGGATTAGATCCTTACCTTGAAGTATTCAGGAAATGTCTGCACAGCCCGAAGTATCAGACTTACAGCATGTCGACTCAACGTTTTGCTGTCCGAGGACATTAGGAGACCACTAATAACAAGATTTTTAGGAAGAAGCTGGATGAATACATCTCTATAAGCGACTTACCGCCGCAAAAGTGAGACATATGTCTTTAACCTCTCATAATCATCCACATAGCTGGGTAGAAATGGTGAATGGATCGAAAGCATCTGCACTCAATTTTTTGGTGGAAACGTGAACTTCTGCCATTTTAGCACATCACCAACCTCGCTTAAGATGTCACAGTCGGTGATATTCAGCATCTTATTCACCAATGTATCACGCATTCTGTTCAGGCGTTCCTTCTCCTAGGGAGGAAGAGTTTAAGTTCTTGACTGATAAGGTCAGAAGGCACGATTAGCTCACGCATACCGCATCCACAATGTTTCTTTCATAAGCAACCTGTATCAAATTTTTGGCAAATCTTTGCATTGCCTCCCATTCAAGTTCACGGACTGAAAATATGAGGATTGTATAAGCTCACTTACGTTGGGGAATAGCAACTTACTTGATGTAGGTTCTAAGATGATTCTCTGTAGCACAGTCTGCTCATAAACAGTCAACAAGTGATTGAAATGCAAAGCTAGGTTTTCCGAAATGAGAAGCTGAATACGGGAACGAAATCCTGTAAGGTTCAATTGAGCTAAGAACGGCAAAGAACTGGTAGATGGATTCGACCACACCGATTTTGTGATTCTTTTCCCGACATCCGTGAAGCTCACAAATTTCATATTACATTAGAAAGTCAGGGTGAGAGTATGTCCACAGCTGTTTCACTTCTGCTCCCAACGTAATTACGTTTTGTTGCCTATGATCAAAAAGAGGATGCGCAGTATGTCGATTTCAGTGGCGATCGCAGATCTTCCGTCCGGGAGGGGGAGGGGAGAGGGACAAAAAAGACCAAGTTTTGGGGATGCAATTTTTTGCGCCTCTACAACCCCAACATTCAAAGAAGGGGGCGTGGCGGCAGCCGATTCCCCGAACAAAATTCTACAAAGCTAATTTAAATTTTTAAAATTTTAGAAATCATGCCAATCATTTACGTGCATAAATAAGTTACTTGCGCTTTTCATAGTTCAGGTAAGTGCCTTTCAAAATATCGCGACCATCGGTGGGGGGGGGGGGGGGGGGAGCACCGCCTGCTCCCTTCTGCCTCGGTCCGCCACTAGCGGGAAGCGCAGTCTTCACGAGGACTCAAGATCATTGTAGGATAGCATAGCCAAACATTGAGACGCCTTCCCACTTCCAGAATGTGAAGGCGACGCATGCAGTGTCACACATTCGCCTACCAGCGGTGAACACAGGTAAAGTCTAGTGCCGGAAGGAGGGACGGTGTATACCTTCGTCTCACCGGCAATGATGTCGTCTCAAGCTGCCGAATCCTGCGCGATCGCCTCGGGGCTTGGATCGCGTTTGCGAACGTATTCTCTGTTATTTGTCCAAGAATAATCAAAAAGTAAAAATTAGGTAGGTTCTATCCTTATACCTTTTGCGTGAAACAATCGGACAAGTTCGCAAACGCGGCGCAGAACTCAAGGGCGGTCGCTCGGGATATGAGCCGCTCGAGGCGGCGTCGCTAGTTGCCCGTCCGGGACAGACTTTACTGCGACAACCAAACGACTCGAAAGCCTGGAGCCATGCCGCCACAGCTGCATTGCTGTTCAATCGAAGATTTTTAGAAGAACATTCAACATGTTCTATTGATAAAGACGGACTTATGAACAGATTGTGCCATTCCAAATCATCATCAAAGTCCATCTGAGAGTAGCGAACAGAAGCATTCGGAGGATCTTGCGAAGGATATCCATCCTAAACAAGTTGCTTGTGATTGAGGGAAACAAAGCGAGTGAAAGGAAAAATGTAGCCGGTATACTGACTGTAACAACAAATTATAACCGACTTCGGCGCTTACCTTCATAATCACTTTCAAAATGTTCGAAAGAACTTCTTGTATCGCTCGTGTAAAGCTGGGATCTTGTTGAAAAACTTTGTGAGTGGAAAGACCCACTAGAACATCACATGCTTCATATCTCAACATCTGAAGTTTAGAAGCACGGTAGTAAAAATAAGGCAGATATGGTAAATTCAAATAACGCCTACCAAAGAATCATGGTTGAAAAAGGCCACTATGGCCGTCAAGAATGTCTCAAAGTTAGGTGGAGCAGTCTTCTCGCTCCACGTCTTTGAGAGAAAGTCTATAAAAACGATCTTAATAGTGACCAATACTTTACAATTAAAAAAACTTACTTCCTAAAGTGACTAACACCTCACACAGAGACTTTAGATATCTATAGTGCTGTTCACTAAATTGTGACTCATCAGCAGCAAGACTAAATATGCATACTTCGCTAGAATAAAAGCATCTAGGTGACACGTTACCCTATTGTAGTCAAAATAGCAGAGAACACCTCGCCTCGAAAAAATGCAGAAATCGTGATCGACTGATCGTGCTTGTCCCTGTAAGAATCCTTCAATTTGCATAGTGATTATTGATACCATAAGACGCAGTTTGAAATGAATGGAAAAAATTGAGAGAAACCAAGTGGTGAAAAACATCCTCAAGCTGCTGGTTTAGCCCTGCATTCTCTTAGCCTCAAGTTTTTCGTGAATTTTACTATTGAAACGAGGACGTAATAATGTTGTACGATAAGTACCTACTTCTTACGGGTTGCAATAGAAGCCAAGCACTGCGCAGCTTGTTCGTAAATGTTCCTTTCAGCAGTGCTCAGATATCGAATTACTGTATCCACTATCTGAATCAGGTGCTGCTCAAGGGAAACGGACGTCATGCAGCTGCATAGTTCCGTCAACCAACCAAAAATATTCTTGGCTGCTAGAGTTCCCAGAGAGTCTGTGATAGAAGGAACAGCACTAAATAAAATACCAAAAACAAAAGTTCAACTTACCTACTGGATATACCTTGAGCACACCTAGCGCAACAGTAACAAACTCACTAGCGGTGTCGCACTGAATGAACTCTAGTAGCATATGTTCAAAAGAGGAAATAAAAAGCAACTAACGATTGCGCTGTGCATGTCCTTGCGTCGCCTTGCATTAGCAACGGAGGCTAGAGTAGCAACATTTTCAACCACCCGTCGGAGAATGGCAAAAACGATGGCACAGTGCAAAGATCCTGAAACCAAAAAAAGAATGCCAAGGAGAAAAATGAGAATATGGTAGGCGCCATACTTATCCGGTTCAACCTATTATCCGGCTCACCCATTCTATTGGTCAAATTCAGTGGTTTGACTACTAGAGACTGGGTGAGTCGGATGAAGCGGATAGGTATAGCCACGCCTACGTGACATGGAACTAGCAATTAGCAGTAAACTGAATTTTGCTAAGGCAACTTGGATGTCACAGAAATAAGCCATCAGTAAGCATTCAAGGGAAGCTAATAACAAACGCACCTTGTGTAGACAACTCTCGCAGCTGACCATTCAACTCAGGCCAATTCTGAGGCCACTCATGCTCCATCATTGCGACGACGCATCGAGCACATGGTTCAACAGTATCCTTTCGACAGTAGTGTTAAGAACAGCTAACTTCAATAGGAGTCATCGACGAAGACAATCTGCCGCAGATGCAGCAGTGCGGTCGACTACTCTGCCTTCTATGCTTCTTGCGATTTTAGGTGCGAGAAGACAGGAAGCCGCAGTGAAGCCTGCTTATGCACTGCATTGTCTCCGTCGGTGACATCGCCATACCTCCATCACCGATGCTTCTATCGCACGAAAAACGGCGTTACGCAGTTCCACGCGATATTCTGATGCTATATTGTTCCATTTATAGCTGGAAAGACCGGTCGATTTAGATAGTGGCAAAAATCTGACCCCTCTCACAGAACTCTACTTGGGCCAACTGCCGATTTCACAACAGCAGCCAGAATTGACAGGCCCGGACGGAGCCGGGTATGTCAGCTAGTTGGTAATATATATTTTGTCCATTCAGAACCTTTCAAGAAGAGTAAGAGTTATGAACAATTGAAGCACTGCCATACGCGTTGCGACCAAAAGCGCTAGAAATCATGCCCAGGGCCTAAAAGAAAGGTGTAGAACTTGGTCATACCTTGCGCGATTGCCAAATTGCTATCGTCACACAATTTGGCGACTTGCCTTCACTAATAAAAGCGGTCAAGTTTTGCTTAACGAGAGTGCGCTTATCAAGAATCATGAGCCATCTTAGCAATGCCAACTGCGCCGCGACCGAAACCGCGTGAGGTCTGACCCCATGACACGGACCATTCCTAAACTCGTGACGGCGGGTGCCTGCACAATTCCCGGCAACCGCATTTTCTTGGTATTCGTGTCTACTCTAATCGTCTGAACTTTACGTGCATATAATAGCTCTTAATTGATATCACTGAGCTAGCGCTTGAATGATATCTTTTGTTTCAATGTTCCAAAGGCACCGTCCACCCAATGAAGTTGGTGAGATCTTTACTTGCGAGAGCACAGCTCCTGACTGAAGCAATAGTGCAAGACTGAAAAAGGTAGCGGTACTCCGAACGCGCCTGCACTCGGTGGGCGTTCCTTTGATCTCGCCCATCCGTAATTGCCCATCACGAGGACCGTCGGGGTTTTCGCGACTTCTCGACTTCATATTCAAAATCAGAGACTTGAGAAGGCCCCGGAACGATTATGGAAGTCCAGAATCTGGTTGGACGGTGCCCGCAGACTCACGATCATACGACCCATCGGGTTGTATGCTTTATGACGTTCTAATTTTTACTAGTTTACGTTGAACTTTTTGGGCAAACTGGGGAAACTGCTCCTAGAAGATTTACATTCCAGACCGCAGACCCCATAGGTGGGTCGTAATCTTGACACTGCGAAATATACTCTAGTCCGAAATGGCAGCTAGCGAAGAAAAAGGTTTGCTCATGAACGTGCTGAGCTGTTGTGACGTTTGGGTGGGCGCAAGACCGCAGTGTCGTCGTCACGATATAAAGGCCATGTGGTTGCAATATATAGTAATAACTTACCGTATTAGATCTTCTAGTAAAGTCCATCCGGTATGTCTCAGTATATTGACGCTATTCGGGATCAGCTGAAAAGCAACTTCAGCCACAGCTTGTGGAGAACCTTCTTTGAACTCCTCGATTATCTGCAAATTTACACGCTTATCTTGCATGTTCATTTGACGTGAGATTGTCTGTCAAATATACACTACGAGATACCAAACCACATTGCTAGGTTGGAAGCAGATGTAAGCTCTCTGCAAACTATTCTTTGAGCGCCTGCACATCAAGAATGTATAGCAAATTTCTGGAAGGGCCTGCTCTTCACAAAGACTCCTCTCCCTTTCCCCTGCATATCTTCCTAGGGCCGCATGCACTGACATCCCCGCAGGGAGGAGGTCGCAGCTTAAAAGAAAGCTTAATATTTCGGAACTCCAGATACCTGGATTTCACGTTTTGTACCTATCCCTAAGTATTCCTACTACCCTTCACTATGAACATGTTGAAGAGGAGCGAGAAGCTGTACGAACCACACTTTCCAGCTTTAGTATGATCCCTGATGATCCCCGGCGCTTTTCTTTGAAGTCATTTTTCTTTCTCCAAAGTTAACGAAAAGTTTCCAAAGTTGTGCAGATTATCTAACCCAACACTGCTTAGCATGTTGCTGATAAGAACAAGTGAAGTATCGGAGTCATGAAATTTTCGGTGACCCACACGTCGAAATTTGAGGTTTACCGAAAAATTCGCGTTTTCAAAATCATTTGTTCTCATCAGCAACATGCTTAGCACTGTTGGTTTAGATGTTCACTACAACTTTGGAAGGTTTTCGTTAACTGTGGAGAAAGAAAAATGACTCTAAAGAAAAGCGCCGGGGATCATCAGGGATCATACAAAAGCTGGAAAATGCGGTTCGTACAGCTTCTCGCTCCTGTTCAACATGTTCATAGTGAAGGGTAGTAGGAATACTTACGGATAGGTACACAATGTGAAATCAGGTATCTGGAGTTTCGAAATATAAAGCTTTCTTTTAAGCTGCGATCCCCTCCCCAGCGAGGAGGTTAGTGCATGCGGCCCCTAGACGATTCTTCTTCCTCCTTTCCAGTTCTGGAACCATATGATATAACATTTCGGAGAGAACTCAGTTGTGCGCTCTCCAACAATAATTTTGCAAATGTGTCGATATGTCTAATCTGGGCTGCGAATGGCTTCTTCCCTTGTGCTCCAGTGAAATTCCAAACTACACTTCCTTTGGGGAATGCTCTTTTGTTCTATTTCGTTATCTAACATCAAACAACTGGTGCTAACTTGTAGCCCACATTGCGCTCTACACTGTCCCAAAGTTTGGGCGCACAACATTGAAAGAGAAAATTTGGAAAAAGTTGCAAAACTTACTTAACAACTTGATAAATGTGTGCAAGTAACATCTCCAGAGCTTTAAGCGGTATTCTCGTCCAAGGAAATATCCAGTAACACCTATGGCCGTATTCATCAACGACCCATTAGGGTAAACTTTACCCTTGAGGGTAAGTTTTACCCCAGAAAGCGTAATCCTTATTCATGTAGCACAGGGCGCGCTCAACCTCAAGGGTCAAGCATTCCTTGAGGGTAAAGCTCCCCTAGAAGCGACTAATCCGTATTCATCGACGAACTCCGAGGGTAAGCCCTACCCTTGTGGGTAATTACCCCAGGGGCGGTATTTATTTATCTCCTGTATGGGAAGGAGTACCCCTACAGGTAACAGCCCGTACAGGCGCGGGCACTGGTGCCCGCGATATATGAAGCCAAGCTGGTGACCGAGCTCCAGTCTATTGAAGAATATGGTCCGATCTGGCAAGTTTGGCCATGTCGGGCACGGCAGTCGGGCACCAGTTTCCATCTCGACGAGTCGGGCGGCGCTGCCTGTTTGAGCAGCGCTTCCCAGACTTTCATAGATCGCGGGAAGGACGCTCTCGTCTGTGCGGGCTCTCGTTAACAATGGCCCGCACAGCGAGTGGGAGATTGATAAATACCGCCCGAGAAGGCCATCAATCCGTTTTCGTGAACGCGGTTCATCAAGATAAATTTAACCCTTGCATAGAACAGGGTTAAACTTACTCTGATACTTCATACGAATATAAACTGATGTCTCGATGGACCACTCAGTCCCAACGATACTGTTCTGGCAACAAACATATATTTAACTAGCCGGCTTACCCGGCTCCGCCGTATCCGGACCAAACTTGGCACACATACACTTCGGGCCCCGGCGGGTGTCACAGTCCACTTTTCGTTATCGATCGATGTCGATTTTACCGATTTTTATCGTTTTCTTTGCAGAGTTCACCTACAGGGCTAGGAGTTGGCACAGGGGGGGAAGTGAGCATGGGGATTCCGAATACAATATTAGTTTTCAGAATTATCGATTACTTTTATTGATTTTATCGATTTTTTGTAAATTTTGACATGCGAGGCTGGGATTTTGCACAGGGGGGGTAATCGAGCATGCTGATTACGAACACAATATTAGTTTTCAGGATCGTCCATTACTTTTATCCATTTTATCGATTTTTTGTAAAGTTTGACCTGCGGGGCTGGGAGTTTGCACAGGGGGTAATCGAGCATGCAGATTACGAATACAATATTAGTTTTCAAGATCGTCCATTACTTTTATCGATTTTATCGATTTTTTGAAAATTTGAGCTAGGGGGCTGGAATTTGGCACAGGGGTGTAATCGAGCATGCTGATCACCCCCCTTGGGGATGATCAGCATGCTCGATTACCCCCCTGTGCCAACTCCCAGCCCCCTAGCTCAAACTTTGCAAAAAAATCGATAAAATCGATAAAAGTAATCGATAGTCCTGAAAACCAATATTGTATTCGGAATCCCCATGCTCGATTACCCCCCTGTGCCAACTCCCAGCCCCGTAGCTCAAACTTTGCAAAAAAAATCGATAAAATCGATGAAAGTAATCGATAATCCTGAAAACCAATATTGTATTCGGAATCCCCATGCTCGATTACCCCCCTGTGCCAACTCCCAGCCCCGTAGGTGAACTCAGCAAAAAAATCGATAAAAATCGATAAAATCGATATCGATCGATGACGAAAAGTAGCCTATGACACCCGCCGGGGCCCGTAGTGTATGTGTGCCAAGTTTGGTCCGGATCGGTTCAGAAATGGAATTTTCTATTCGGAACATACGTACAGACATACAGACAGACAGACATACAAACAGACATTCAGCTTTATATATAAGACTAGCTGGCTTACCCGGCTCCGCCGTATCCGGAACAAACTTGGCACACATACACTTCGGGCCCCGGCGGGTGTCACAGTCCACTTTTCGTTATCGATCGATGTCGATTTTACCGATTTTTATCGTTTTCTTTGCAGAGTTCACCTACAGGGCTAGGAGTTGGCACAGGGGGGGAAGTGAGCATGGGGATTCCGAATACAATATTAGTTTTCAGAATTATCGATTACTTTTATTGATTTTATCGATTTTTTGTAAATTTTGACATGCGAGGCTGGGATTTTGCACAGGGGGGGTAATCGAGCATGCTGATTACGAACACAATATTAGTTTTCAGGATCGTCCATTACTTTTATCGATTTTATCGATTTTTTTTTGTAAAGTTTTACCTGCGGGGCTGGGAGTTTGCACAGGGGGGTAATCGAGCATGCAGATTACGAATACAATATTAGTTTTCAAGATCGTCCATTACTTTTATCGATTTTATCGATTTTTTGAAAATTTGAGCTAGGGGGCTGGAATTTGGCACAGGGGTGTAATCGAGCATGCTGATCACCCCCCTTGGGGATGATCAGCATGCTCGATTACCCCCTTGTGCCAACTCCCAGCCCCCTAACTCAAACTTTGCAAAAAAATCGATAAAATCGATAAAAGTAATCGATAATCCTGAAAACCAATATTGTATTCGGAATCCCCATGCTCGATTACCCCCCTGTGCCAACTCCCAGCCCCGTAGCTCAAACTTTGCAAAAAATCGATAAAATCGATAAAAGTAATCGATAATCCTGAAAACCAATATTGTATTCGGAATCCCCATGCTCGATTACCCCCCTGTGCCAACTCCCAGCCCCGTAGGTGAACTCAGCAAAAAAATCGATAAAATCGATATCGATCGATGACGAAAAGTAGCCTATGACACCCGCCGGGGCCCGAAGTGTATGTGTGCCAAGTTTGATCTGGATCGGTTCAGAAATGGAATTTTGTATTCGGAACATACGTACATACATACAGACTGACAGACATACATACATACAAACAGACATTCAGCTTTATATATAAGATTAATACCATTGCAAATTTCCTATGACCTCTTTTCGCCTCCTCTAGTCATAATTGTTGGTCAGCTTTGAGTGTATTTAGTTGCGCTACGATAGTTTGATCATACAGGGCTTTTTAAATTGCAGAGTCGTTTGCACCAGCGACCGCGCGACCGCGTCGCGTCGCGTCCCGGCATTTTGCCAGCGCCGGCGCTGGCGCCATCGATCGAGGCCTGGCAAAATGCCGGGGCGCGAAGCGGTCGCTCTGCCGCTGGTGCAAACGACTCTGCAATTTGGAAGCCCTATATATCATATTACTGAACGAGTATATCGGCGGACTAAAATTCGATAGAGCGAGCTGCGTATTATGAAAATTTCTAGATTGTTGAGCCTGATGTTCACTGTATCGGTGGTTCCTTGGCCGTATTGTGGCCCGAGGCGAATTAGCGCCTGATTGGGAGTAATTGACTCCAGTGTTATACAGAACACATATGATGTAGATTTATGAACAGACGACGTGCACGTATTAGTGCAGTAGTAGAATGCTGTCGATTATAGGCGTGGCAAAGTAGGTTAACATATTTTGGGCAGTGACGGTGCTCATATCACAGCAGGTCATGCTTATGCATGACCTTCATGGTAATCATCAGAGGAGGTGAAAGAGATGCCGATTCTATCGGCACACTGCCGCCGGCCAGGCATGAAGCAGAAAAGGGAGACAGCACATGACGAAAACACATCAAATAATCTACTCCTTTTCGTAAATTCTTCTTCTTATCTGGATCGAGCAGTGGTCGCTGGTGACCGGCACGTATTGCTTTGACTGTGTTGAGATCCGCGAAGTATGAGCGGACGTGGCGCCGGCAATAGGCAAATGATTGTAGAGAGTAGACTTCAATAGAGAGGATGTGATTATTGAATTGAATATGACAGGATAATATGGAGTTAAACTCTGGAATATCTTCAGTGGGAGCGATCTTCTTGTTTTCATTTCTGGAGACAGCTGTCTCTTCACTGGTTATTACCAGGGGCGTCATGACCTGGAAAGGCTCCTCGTTGTGGGCAGAGTAGACCTTCTCACTGCATCATCATCACTGCTATTCGACTTTTTGCGTCCTTTCGTCTTTTCCTCTGTCGAATTGCTCTGCGGTGAATTTTTTGCTTCTATTTTCGTCGCACAGTAGCCATCATCAAGGTTTAGAATGGCTGGTTCCGGGGACTTCTTTTGTTTTTTGTCCTGAGCGTATATTATGCTGTTCTCAGCACTGAAATCACTCCTGGAATCAGCATTAGGCTCTTCTTTAGTCGACTGATCTGTGGCGGAAGTTTGCTCTATGTTTTTCTTCCTCAGTGACGAAGCGAAATTCTTTCTGTTCCTCATTAGTGCTAGTTGTATCTCACATTCCATCATATAATCTTTTAAGGTGAAGAGGAATGTTTCAGCATCACCAATAGTACGAAAAAAGCTTATCTCTTCCTCGCATGCTTCCAGTTCCTTCAGCATTAGTTTCTTCAGCGCTTTCGAGCTCTCGCTTGTGTAGAGCTCCTCTAGTGCATCGATTTTTGATTGTGGCGAATGTGTTCCTCTTTTGATTTCCTTGACACAAATCACCAGCACGTCCAGGTTGTGGACGCACATCTTCTGTCGTTCCTGCTCATCTTCTGGAAATGTGCTTTTCTTACCGTGGAAAGCGTGCTTCTGCATTAGTTCCGCGAGATCCTTGGTAGATCCACGCACTTCTTCTATGTGGAGAAGTGGAATCATTTTGCAGCGAAGTAGAATATTATCGGCCTTACTGATTTGGCCGATGCACCAAATGTATCGGTGGTTCCTTGGCCGTATTGTGGCCCGAGGCGAATTAGCGCCTGATTGGGAGTAATTGACTCCAATGTTATACAGAACACATGTGATGTTTATGAACAGACGACGTGCACGTATTAGTGCAGTAGTAGAATGCTGTCGATTATAGGCGTGGCAAAGTAAGTTAACATATTTTGGGCAGTGACGGTGCTCATATCACAGCAGGTCATGCTTATGCATGACCTTCATGGTAATCATCAGAGGAGGTGAAAGAGGTGCCGATTCTATCGGCACATTCACCATATCCTTAGTTTGACAGCTACTTTATTCAAAACTAAATTTTACTAAAACAGCTCGGGTGAATATAATAGCGGATGATCACATTGAACGAAAACATGAGAAGAGGCCATAGGAAGTTTGAGATAGTAGTAACCATAAATATGTGTTTACTGTCAAAACAGTACCGCTAGGACTGAGTTGTGCATCGAGAAATCACTTCATGTTTGTACGAAGTGTCAGGGTTAATATAACCTTGCTCTATGCCACGGTTAAATTTACCCTATTATAAGTCACGTTCGTGAATACGAGTTAATCGTTTTCTGAGGGAAGTTTTTACCTTCAAGGGCAGGATTTTCGTTGATGTTAGCGGGGTAAACGCTCTCCGGGGTAAACCCTACCCTCAAGGGTTCGTTGATGAATACGGCCACTGGACAACGGCTTTCTCGTGCTGGTCAATTGCACATCAACTACATATGTCCTTTATCTCTTTTCACCACTCAGACATTTTTTGCGACCACCCGCGCGCTCATGGCCGGCTGGCGAAAACCCGTTCCGGGCTTTGCCTTGACATGCTAACGCGGGCCAGCAACCCAGCGTGTGCAGTGACCCTGTCACTCGGACGAGCGGGCCAGCCTGTACTTCAATGTCTCCTTTGCCTTGTTGGCCCGCGTTAGTATAGCACACCCTGGGGGTGGGCTTCTGCTCCGCTGCACCTGCATGCGCGGGTCGCCTCAAATGTGGATATAACCCATGTGAGGTCAAAGATAGTGAAACTCGTTCCACTATTTTTCAACAGTTAACTCATAAGGAAACCTGTTGTCAGCCCAAATGCAAGTGTTACACCTCCGGCAAGCTCTGATGGCATCCCTTTCAATGTATCGTATCTCACGCGAGTTACCCTTGTGCTTACAACGTGCATTAATTTGATGTATGAGCGGGTCGCTGTTAATTTCAGCACGCGTGTGTATGGGTGCGCGGGCCGCCAGTAAAATTGTAGCGTATATAGGCACCCGCCATACCTGATCCTCTTAATCCACTTCATCCGCTTGATCCGCTTCGTGCAAAACGCGCGCACCAGCAGTTCATTTGGCGCCGCGTCGATAAAAAGCAATCTCGTATGATTAACCCATTGACGACGACGCCTAATTTTGCGTGGTGGCGCTGAGGGACGACGCGATTTTGCACAACACTTTCGGCTTGGGAAAGTTTTATGATTATTTACGAAATGCAAAGTTGTTTTGTAAACAACTACAATCATATTCTTGGACGACGAAGTCTACAGGATCCAACAGCAAAAAAATGGAAAAATTACTGAATTGTGGAAAAAGTATAGACCTAGAAAGTATACGATTTTGCAAGGGCTGTGGGCCACCGGTGGTACACATCGTCGTCAATGGGTTAAGCAAATTCGCTGTACGTGGCGCCAAATGACAGACTGTTGAGTGCGCGCTTTTTACACGAAGCGGATCAAGCGGATCAAGAGGATCAAGTATGGCGGGTACCATAGGCGTGCGGGCCACCGTCAGCATGGCATCAACTATGTGCGCGGGTCGCCAGCTCACACCTGTGGGCCGCTGCTGGGCCTGATGCATGTAAGGCTGAAATATAGGTGCCGCGGCTCAACAGCGAAGCCCAGTTGGGCCACCGGGCCGCTGAAACAATTGTCTGAGCAGGCTTCTAAATGCTGCGATGATGTCTCTGACAAAAGAATGGTCGGAAGTCGAAGTGACCACAAGCAAGCTGTTCACCATTCGATGCAGCAATCAACGCGGATTTCGAGTCTATATTCCATATCTGCTTAGCGCCATTGTGGACGAAGTTTTGAGCAGTTTTATCACGAAAAAATCATGCACAAAAACTGCGAGCACACTGTTGCACTTTCAGCTCATCCTTGAGCTTTAGGAATATAAAGTAGCTTAGCTACATGTTTTGGCCTAGCTTTAAGCCAAACTGGGCTATGTGCTGCCAAATTTGCGCTATGCATGCACGATTTCTCAGGATAACGGCCTTTACCGGCTTATAACTTCGTCTGCTTATGTGCTAAGTAGATGGGGAATACAGATTTGAAGTCAGCATTTTATGCTGCATCTAATGGATTGCAGCTTGTTATCTATTGCCGCTTCGATTTCTGACCCCTGGTGATTTACCTATTCGCTAAGAGTACCATTCTGAAATCCACACAACGAAGAACGAAAAAGGCCATTGACAGCCGCGAAGCAGAAATTTGCTTGAGCGAAAAGTGGCAAAGAAAAAAGTGGGCCTGCAGTCCCACTTCTTGAGCGTAAGCGTCAGTCAGCCCACACATACTATAAGCGCATGGAAGGAGCGCATGGAAGTGTGCCCAACAGCAGCACTTCTCTTGTCAGAAACACCTAGATAAAAACGCAAGGAAAGGAAAAGGTGTAGTCGGAAATTGAGCAGGACATGTCCTTCTAGCAACCGCAAGTAGACCTGATTGATGTTGACAAGAACGGTCGATGCTCGTCTCAACAGCTTCAAAAAAGAAATCGAGCATTCCCCAAAATTGCCAGAATCCGTGGTAAATCATTCTATCTATATCCCAACCTGTGTGAACTTGATTCGGTCCTGATTCGAGGTCGAGACGTCATGTACAGCGCAGACTGCTCGAATCACATCAGTCACCTCCATCCAACGACCGCTTAGAAAAGATACACAACACTTTTTCAGACCGCCCGAATCTACCTTAAAATGTATGTGATTTTATCCAGGACATGCTTGGAATGCCACTGTGCTACGTAACATTCGCAAAAGACTGAACATTTATATGCTTCAAATTACATGCACTTTAGAAGTGTTCAAACCAAGATGGAATACAACTAATATTGACACAAGCTGATGGCTCGTAATTAGAGTTGTGACATGATAACTGATGAGTTCCGAGGGAATCTAGCTAGTTACCTGACATGTGCATGTAATTGTCGTAGGATATCGAAAAGAGGCAATCTGTACACAAGACAACCGGACAAGAAAGAGAATTTTACATCAGAATCGTTAATACTGGGAGACAGCAGTGAAAGCGCCGGAAAAATGGTGCCTAACAAATTTTAAGCATTTTCATTTTGAGTATGTAGATGAGCACGCTGCTCCTCAAAACGCCCAGCCTGCATGCGCATGACCAAGGCAGACACATCATCCTCAGGAGTGGTGGCTGTCGCTTTGTCCTCTGAAACCACCAGTATCCCGTGATATGCAAGAAACACTGGACGTACCCGAGCTGACGGAGCTTTTCCGACCAGACGCCAATTCGGAACGCTGCTCATTCATACGTTGGCTTTGAGCACGCATCAGAAGATCAATCAGAGTGTCGTCAACTCTTGAACCATGGCCCTCACTGGACGCAGACCTAGGCGGGTGTTATTCGAATAAATGCACTTGGCTTGATGCTTGGCGCAAATGCTATCACAATAGCTTCGCTTCTTTTTGCATACAAAGGTAACCGAACAAGCACATACAGTGTGGCAGATTTTCAGCTTGATACGGTGTACCTGCGGTGATGAGATTTTGCAGTAATTTCGCGCATTAATAGATAGCCAGTAATGTCAACAGCGCGCGCAGGTAGCCGGCATTACTAGCACGACTATTTGTCCACGCACTTCTTCCGCAAAATGTCGGTATCGCGAGCACACTATATCAAGCCAGAAGTCGATTGGACTGTAGCAATCACAGAAAGCTAACTCAGGAGACTTAAAAACCCACTAAAGCTCGTATGTACACTTCCGTTGGGAAAAAGAGTAGAGCTAGAAGCTGTATACTGTTTTTCTACTCGCTTTTCGCAGAAACTACCCTGATAGCTTTGCACAATAAATGTGTACTGCCATATAAACTGAGCTGTTCACTGTTTTGTCTGACACCATAATATCACCTCTTCTTACCAATGTCGCCTAACTTCTCACAAACTCAATGAAAACATCGTAAAGATGTACTGGGGGTTTAATACGCATGTTTACAAATTGAAAAAAGGCAAACGGACGTTACGAGTTTGCGATAAAAATCGACTCGCGAGCAGTGCTTTATTGTAAATTTCATTTATGAAATTTCGCTTATTCTACAAAAAACGTGTGTAGCATTGTGATATTGGATCCTGAGCAACTTTGCAATGTTTTCACTAAGTTCGTGGAAAGATTAATGTCTTAGGAAAAGAGCGATGATATCCGTGGAGACCTCCCAAGGAATCATGCAAAACAGTCGAAATTTTGGCCTATATTGCAATACCGACTATTGTTTATGCGATATTAGGGTAGTAGACCCCTGAAGGATAAGTAGGAAAGGAGGGATACAGATTCCTAGAACATCAAGACATAAGGCGTCCCCTCTCAGCTCTCTCGGCGGGGATGTACGCGCATACGGGCACAAGAGTCACAACAGCGGAATAGTAGTTACGCTAGAACAGATACATTGTGATGAATGAATGAATATATATTTCGTACATTTACCACACTCATCATAATCAATAGTACTGCAATTTGGTCAACTCACATCACTTAGGGACCCGTCATACTTCGCCGAAAAAAGCCCAAAGAAGCCCGAAAAAGCCAGAAAAAGCCTAAAAAAGCCCAAAGAAGCCCGAAAAAGCCCAAAAAAGTCCAGAAAAGCCCGAAAAAGCCGGAAAGCGCCAGAAAGAGCCGAAACATAGAAACGAACTTTTGATAGAATTCCGACATTATTTTGTCGTGCAGAAGACAGAAGATGACAAAAAGACTCTATTGCGAAATTAACACACATGTCTTAACGCCAAAACGTGCGAGATGTGTTCCGGCTCTTTCTGGCGCTTTTGGGCTTTTTGGGCTTTTTCGGGCTTCTTTGGGCTTCTTTGGGCTTTTTTCGGCGAAGTATGACGGGTCCCTTAGGAAGTGATACAACCAAAGCACAACAGCAAACAAATCAAGTATATGTCATATGAAGAGTTGCTCACCCAAGTTTCACTAGAAGCTCTTGCGCTTGTTCTTGATTATTCAGACCGGGGAGCAGCGCGGCTCGTTGCTCATCCATTCGGCGACTTTGAGCGTTCAGGAGAAGGTCTATCAAGGCGTCTGGTCCTTCTGGAAATAAAGCGTATACAACGAAATGACTGCACCCACATAAAGAATCGAAGAACAGTCACAAGCAACGCCACTGTTACATTCAAGATGCGTTGATTTGCGCAATCCAAATTACTGTTGGATCCGTATGAAATCATAGAGCGCGAGAATTGCATAAACTCGCTCTACGCAATGGCAGCTATTACTCAGTCGCGTACCAGACGCTCGATGACTTGGCACTTGTGTACTCCTAATAAGATTAGGATGCGATCCAAATCTACTATGGCCACACCCATACGCTACCAGAATGGATGTATCTTTCAGAAAACACCCTGTCCCATGGGATGCGAAAAGCGAGCTGCAGCATCTTTTATCCACTAAGCAGCTCTGGTTCCGAATCTAGTTGTTTGGAGAATACAAAACACAGTTGGGCATATGGCAATGAGATACTATACAGACACTCCTAAATATGGGAGGAGGTGCATTGAAGTTTCTGGGAAAAGGCAAAGCGGATGAGAGATAAAGAACGGAAAGTACTCGCTAAAAAATGGCTATACTGCCCAAAGAAGTCAACACAGAAGGGTGGTGACATGATCAATGATCCGAATTTGTATCCCTACCATATCGGAACTCAATCCGGATTCGGTCGGGATACAGGCAGCGCTGCAAAAGCACCCGGCCGCTCTGCGCATAGTCAAACACGCGGTCGCATTCAGTCAACTCACCCTGCGAGCTCGCGCTTGCAGAGCTGCTAACTGAATCCGGGTTCGATCCAGATGCGATCCGTGTGGGCAACCACGTCACCACCATAAACTTGTTCCACCGTTTTTTTTTTTCAAACAGAATAATGGGCATTCGTGGTACAGTAGAGTAGTTTTCCGCTTAAAGGCAGTAGCTCCGCAAATCCTCAGAACATCTGTTTCTCGCTTACCTGGGGTTATCCGCTGCGCTATTTTCGAATAGCCCCTTTGAAACGAAAACTAAAACGAGCCTTTTCCAAAGCCACCTTTTTGAAACATGGACGAGTGGAGACGCAAAGCCGGCCATGGCGAAGACGCAGAGTCGTTCCGACCCTTATGCTTACAGCATTGCGGCGTGCGCGCTCTGAAACTACGTTCATACTGATCCGGAAGTTCGGGAACAGTTCCAGCACAGCCTCGGATGTGCTGGAACTGTTCTCGGACTTCGGGATCAGTGAATGGCGCTCTGACGGTAATCGCAAGGTAGGCTGGGTCAGTGACGGGAGATGTAGGGGAGATGGAAGCGCCTTACCCCTACCTTTTGCTTTGGAATTTCGGGGGTTAGAAGTGGCAATGAGAGATCGAACTTGACCTATAGGTTCCAATGTGTGGGTTTCTACTCTGTGACATTGTTCTACACGCGTCTCATTCTGCCGATTCACTGCCTTCAACATAGTGGGCTCGCACTGCATGTAAAATGCGGTAAAATTTGCCTGCGATCGAATAGCTACAGGGCTTACCAACTGCAGTGTTGGGTGCACCAGCATCTCCGCTCCCGCACGGCCGCTCGTGGACTCTGCACCTCTTTACATGCTCTGCGATCCTTTCCCAACGCGAACGTGGAATTTGCGGAGCCTTGATCGATTGGACATGATTAGAGAGCATGTTCTTGGAGGAGGTGCAGAGTCCCGCGCGGGGGTGGAGATGATGGTGACACCCGACACTGCAATTGATAAGCCCTGTACGCCAGTAATGCTGGCATTTTGCGCGCGCTATCGGCCGGCGTCACAGGCGTAGCTATTGGTTCACGCGCAAATTTTACCACATTCCACCTGCAGTCGGAGCACACTTTTTACTAAACGGAAAATCTAAGGCGATTAATAGCACGCAAAGACTGCGGACGTTTGGCGTCTCTCTGATCGAGCGCTCTTTCGTTTCTCCTACCATCTGCTGTCTCTTCCATGCACGAACTATCTCGGTCGGACGCAACGGCGCCCAGTCTTTGCGTGTCATGAATCGCGTATACTCGGCTGTATGTGGCAGTGGAGGGAAGGCCCTTCGACAATGCGAGGTTTTTTTTGCAAAGCTAAAGACTGCTGTAGGACGAACGTGCAAAAGCAGTATTAGTTGACCGGGCGCGAACTCGGCGCGCGCATATTTTTTGTGGACCCTGCGCCTCATGCGGTCAGCGGTAATAAAGCCGCGTTCACGCTCAAAGCTACTGCGCCTTCGTCATGCAGTAACCTAAATTGAATAGGTAGCATGAATAATAATTCTCAGCAAAAAAAAACCTCATTCTCAAACCAATATTCACTGTAGAGTTGCCAGCACTCCTTAAAGGCAGCGACGCGACCACGCAAGTCTGGACCTTTGGGGATTTTACGTGGAAAGTACTTTTGGGGCCCTAACTAAGCCACTGCCCAACCGGCAGCTCAGGTAGTGCCCTAACGGCTGAGATATTCCCCTCGAAACTGGACCCCGCGACCGTGTTTCGCATGGATTCATGGCGCAAAGCGTGGATCCTGGCGCGAAACTGCCATGAATCCATGCGAATACGTTCGCGGGGGCCAGTTTCGAGGGGAATATCTCAGCCATTAGAGCACTACATGAGCTGCCGCTTGGGCAGTGCCTTAGTTAGGGCCCCAAAAGTACTTTACACGTAAAAGCCCCATAGGCCCAGATCTGCCTGGACGCTGCCTTTAAAGGCAGTGGATCGGCAGAATGGACCCTTCTCGGATTTTGATGGAGTTAGGTAGTAGATTACCCAAGTACACTGCAGCTCCAATTTCACCTTCCAATTCTTGGTCTAAGTCCTGAAATCGCGCTTCAAATCACCCATGACGCCCAAGTGCAAATGTGCGGGGCTGGTGAAGTTTTGAAGCGCATTTTTCAGGACTTTGTGCACGAATTTGCAGGTGGGGTTTGGTACAGCCTAGTTTGTGGTCTACTACCTAACTCTACCAAAATCCGAGAAGAGTCCATTCTGCCGATCCGCTACCTTCAAAGGCACCGGCTCGGCAGATTCTCGACTTGAAGTTTTTTTGCTTACCTGGGGTAATTTGAGGCGCTGACTCCCAAGATCCACCTTGAAGAGCGCGAAAATAGCAAAAACCACCATTTCCCAATGCCTTCAATTTCTGCCATGGTTAGAGAGGCAGCATCGTTGGGGGACCCTCGCAGTTATGACATTGCGGCCTGCCTTTTCTGAAGGGGGGAGAATTACAAGCTCGTCCGCGCGTATTAGAATGGCTTGCGCGTAACGGGACTTTCTAGGCAACGGCAGCATGCTGTGCGCTCGGATCTGCTCTGTTCTCATGTTTGGGGTGCAAGCAAATTTCGATGTTAAAACCTCGGGATCGGTTTTGGCGAGCTGCTGCCTTTAAAGACAGCGTCCCGATAGAATTGACCTAATTCAGATGTAGACACAGTTCGAAAGAGCCCCCTCAACTAACAAAACAGCAAGTCCCCGAAAAGTATGAACTTTGTAAGCAGGTGGACGGGCTAAGCGCCACTCCCCTGACATTTGTACGGACGAGGCTTACACATTACACGCGCCACTGTCACGTTGCAAGGTATCACTGTCTGTGATACATATTTTCTCGTTGCACCGCAACAAAATGGTGCTGGAATACCGTCCACGCTTCTCAAAAACGGGCTGCGGAAACGGGGGCTTTCGGGAATTTCAAGCAATTTTCAGTTCAAATTTGGAATCAGGAAGGTAGAAAGAGCCAGAAACGCTGAAAACATGGAGTTTGAGGTTCTGCCCGGACGCTGCTTTCAATAGATGAAGGCTACTCTTGTAAGTCCGTTTCATCCGGAGTAGGCGGAACATTCTATGTGGAGCATCGCGGGCGCACCGCTGGAGACTTCGCGAGCACACAGTGTTGACATTTTGTAAGCTGAGACTGGAGAATGAAGAGACGAAGACTTAGGCTCTCAGCACAATATGTTGTACTGTAGTAGCTGCGAAACGGCGCGAATCGCTGCGACGCGGGCGCCCGCCAATCCATTTTCCACCTAAAGCGGGTCAAAGCTTGTTGTAGCTCCCTAATTAATTATTGGGTGTGGAGAACACAAGGCCTTTCCAAGCGGTTGAGCATCCTGTAGAAGCAAGCTTCAACATCTGCAATCAAAGCAAGAACCGAGAAAAGAATTGTCGAAGCTAGACAGCCGATTTTTCGACTATGGAACGTTATAAACTTTGAAAGAGCATCACATTCATGAACCCGAAAGGTACTGCGGTCATACATATTACAGCATATGAGACTGCATTGGAAACCAGTTAATTCCTTGCCTAGCGGGTTGCAAATATACAGAGTTTTACTGCGCACATGGAAAAGTTTAGCAGCAATTATATCTCTACACTTGTTAAGATCACCGTTTGAAGCTTCGCTTTAGAGAAAAGCGTCACTGCAAAAGCATATGCCATCGATGAACATCCACCAACCAGAGACGAGAGCATTCACTGTCACAAAATGATGTCAAAATGGCTTAGTAAAACTAACCATGTGCTATGGCAAAAGAGTCTTTGAGCGCGAAAGCTGCGCCTACTTAAGCCATTCATTGAAGAATCAATGTTTGTTAGTGAAGCTAGCACGACATGTGGCATTTCATTCAAAGAAAGCGAAGAGATTGGACCGAAGATGAAAGTTGCAGTGTCCATGTAATAGTCGACTGCTCATACGATGAACATCAACATGAGGAAAACAAGAAGTACTCATCAAAGATGCTGCAGTTTTCAAGCAATAACAACTCAAAGCACCAGCTCGAGCAGATAAGCCTGGGAGATGAATCTCAACGATAGCGCAATAGCTAAAGCATTTTCACGCAGATGCAAAAATACTCAATGACAGCCGTTCTAATGAAACTGCGTCTGTCTACTGCAGAAAACTAATTGGACAATTTTATCGAAACTCAGGAGCAGATAATACCATTTGCTATGGTGACATTATACCCACAACAAGCACCAACAGCATGAAAAGCTGACAATGACGGCAGTGGTAAACAAGATTATTGGCATAGGAGACAGATTGTCACCAAACTGCACATCAAAGACGAGAACGTGTCGCATAGAAAATAAGAGCTTTTCAGCAAACATGCTAGTCTCGTTAGATACGCATGAATTTTATCATATTGCAGCATATCACGTTACTTACCAGCCGTCGTCGTAATTAAGCTGTCCGTTTGGCGTCTCCCCATGCTGACTATCGGATTCAGTTTGAGAGCACTGACGTCACATCGTTGCTCATCCAGTCGTGCGGACTGCATTCGGGACAGGAAGTCCAAAAATTCTTCCTGGTGACTGTATAATCTCTGAGAGTCGCTTGTCTGAAAATCGCTCGATTTTTTGCTAAGAGAAAGAGCAAATGCATCCAGCACAAAAGCGGAAGGAGTTCTATGCACGGCTCTGCACGCCGGATATCGCTCCGAAAGGAAAAAGGCACCGCGGACACTATATATTATACTGTAAGCTGTATGTTTATTCACTGATTACCTAGCGCACTGTGGTCCGAAGTAAAATACGAGACAAAATACAGACAAAAATACGAGTCCTCCATTTTGAATTTCCAAAACAGTCGCTACATCTGCCGCCTACGTTACAATGATAGTAGAAGGAAACCCCTAGCTAGATGTGAAAACATATAGATGGTGAATAGCACTGGGTCATGTTGCCAGCAAATTAAGGCAGTCCAAAGACGAGTTATTAGTTTTGCTAAATAAAAAACCTACAACCTAATTCTTTTAACAACCCATTGGATCGGACCCACTAGGTTCGTTGGTGAACGGCGACCACTGAATGCGCTGGTCATGTATATAACGATGCATCTAGTATGTTTTGCGAACAGGTCGAAAAAAAAAAGCTGAAGTAGGGATGGGGAGAGTGTCGTTAGCGAGGCCAGTAAAGAAAGAACTGAAAAAATAAAGGCGTCTCGATTTTTCATGACATTCACTGAGGCCCGTATGCACGTACATCCCCGCGGGGAGGGGAGGGAATCTGAGAGGGAAAGCGTCATACCTCGCTAGCCTGCACATCTTTCTCCTTCTTTCCCTTGCTTATGAAGTTTCTCATACGCTGATACCTGCGCATAACGGATGCCAGGTTACTGTCATACAAGATTAGATATTCACTATTTCTTCTGATCCCCTGGGGATTGATTTTTTCGATAGTCCCTGGCTCGCAAGCAGCGGTTCATCGAAGATTTTGATATCTTGAGATTTCACTCATTTCTACCATAGACATGTTTAGAAGTGCTGTAGTATATCCTCAGTACAATTTTCGAGCATTTTCATTGGTTTTCAAGATGATACTTTGAAAATTTGAGGTGAACCCCTGGGGATCCCCAGGGGATGAGACGAAATATTGAATATCTAATCTTGTATGGCAGTAACCTGGCATCCGTTATGCGCAAGTATCAGTCTATGAGAACCTTGAAAAGCAAACGGAGAAAGAAGAGAGATATATAGACTAGGGAGATATGGCGCTCCCCTCCCCTTATACCTGCGCATAATGGACGCCAGGTTACTGGGGTGATTGATTAGAATTTCACTATTTTGTTTGATCCCTTGGGAATCCCCAGGGAATTCCCAGGGGATCACCTCTCAATTTCAGTGCCAATTTATCTCCCTGAAAACTCACTGAAACCTGTAAAATTGTAGTTTGGATATAATACGGCACTGCTAAAGATGATTATAGTAGAAATGAGTGAAATCTCAGCATATCAAAATCTTCGGTAATCCCTAGCTCGCGAGCCAGGGACCATCGAAAAATTCACATTCTTCATCCATTTCTACTGTTAAAATTATGCTTAGCAGTGCCGTAGTAGCATAAACACAGTACAATTTTTCATTGATTTTTCAGGAATATAAACCACTATGAAAATGAGAGGTGATCCCCAGGGCATCCCCAGGGTATCCCCTGGGGATCACACAAAATGGCAAAAAACCAATCTTGTATGGAAGTAACCTGGCATCCATTATGCGCAGGTATAAGTGTATGGAAAACTTCATAAGCAAGATAGAGGAAAAAGAAGAAAGATACGTAGAGTAGCGAGATATGATGCACCCCCTCTCAGATCCCCTCCCCTCCCCAGCGGGGATGTACGTGCATACGGCCTAAAGCGTCTGTTGGTTTACACGTGATATCTACGAAATGATGAAGGGTTATCCAAAATTCTACGACAAAGAAGGACAATTTTAGTGGTATATAAAATCGAAGTATCTTCAGGTAAAGAGTTCACAGTTCCAGGTATAACCTTATTTTCCTTGGAAAGCGATGTCCAGGCGAACTCTAAGCCCCTAGCACTTCGCCTGAATGGAGGCATCAAGACAAGGGCACTTGCATTGGTCCGGTCCTCCAGCGTTGTCTCTGAATGGAGAAATGGACCAGGAACCACGAAAGTGCTATCATGCCAAGCCCGCTTATCGAGCTCCGCCCACTTGAGTATTGAAAGTTGTCTGTGTGGTAGGGCCAGACTGACCGATTCCCTGCTTTAGGTAGGTGCCAGGAATATTTTGTTCAGCTGCAAAAGGCGCACAGAATCAACGTTAATTCTGCGCGACCTGCAGCTGAAGCAGGCAATAGCAGCAGCAGACATAATGCAGCAGATTAATTCTGTGCGCATTTTGCAGCTGAACAAAATATTCGCTTACTCTGGCACCTACCTTAGCAGGAGGCGGCGCAACTGTAAGCTGGTGTCATTTGGCGTCATGTTGGACAGAAATGAAGTGGCGTCTGCGATGTTCGCAACAACAGTTTTGAAGAAGTGATTAAAAAAGCCTCGCAGAATGAAAGGATGATGAAATGGCCTTACCAGTAAAAAAATTTCTATCGTAGGGGAATCACGCGCGCCGACTTTACAACGTGACATCAAACAACAGTAACTGCGCCGCGTCCTGCCGAAGCGGCAAATGGTTAGTCTGGCGCCCACTATACTTTGGACCGAATCGAATAAATATTCGAGTATTCGAATAAAGTATTCGAATAATTTTTATTCGAAATCCGATTATTCGAAAATTCAAAATCTCGAATATATTCGATATTCGCTTATTCGAAATTTGTCAATTTCGAATTTATTCGATTATTCGGTTATTCGAAAATTTTGATTTTTGAAAATATTCGAACATTCAAATATTTATTTTCAGAAGTTATTCGATTATTCGACAACTTCGTGTAATCGAATAATTACATGACAGCGTCACAATTTTGACTGCTATATCAGCAACCATCGTTTGTTGTCCAAGTTGCCTACTGCATGGAGTCCTCTATTGTGCTAATTCGTTCAAAATTTGTTTGAATATTCGACATAATCGATGCAAAATATTCGTTTATTCGGATTTTTTCTCAAATATATTCGACTCTTCGGTTTTTTTTTCATTTCGAAAATATTCGATATTCGATTATTCGACATTTCTATTTTTCGAAAGTATTCGATATTCGAATATTCGACATTTTTTGTTTTTGAAAATATTCGAAATTCGATTACTTGATATTTTTGATTTTCGAATATATTCGGTTATTCGATTATTCGATCGAATATTCCAAAGTATAGCGCCCACCATAGGGGCCCTTAGGTAGGCGCCAGACTAAACAAATATTTTGTTCAGGTGCAGAAGGCGCGCAGTATTAAAGGCAGCGTCCAGGCAGATCTGGACCTATGGGGGATTTTACGTGGAAAGTGGGGCCCTAACTAAGGCACTGCCAAAGCGGCAGCACAGGTAGTGCTCTAACGGCTGAGATATCCTCCTCGAAACTGGACCCCGCGATCGTATTCGCATGGATTCATGGCAGTTTCGCGCCAGGATCCACGCTTTGCGCCACGAATCCATGCAAAATACGGTCGCGGAGTCCAGTAGGAGAATATCTCGGCCGTTAGAGCACTACCTGAGCTGCCGCTTGGGCAGTGGCTTAGTTAGGGCCCCAAAATTACTATCCACGTAAGATCCCCATGTGTCCAAACTTGCCTGAACGCTGCCTTTAACATTAATTTTGCGCGGTCCTACAGCTGAAGCAGGCAATCCTGTGCAGATTAAACGTTAATTCTGCGCGCCTTCTGCAGCTGAACAAATTAGTCGCTTAGTGTGGCGCTTACCTTAGAAGTCGCGTTTATTTTTTTTTGGGGGGGGGGGGGGGACATTTTGAGCCTCACAATTGTAATCAGGGCCACGAAAGGTCCCAGAATGACAAAAACATGAAGAGCGAGACTTTCTTCGAGCAAAGATTGACATATTTACAAAAAAAAACGAATCCATCGTTCTTGAACTTAAACAAAGTACTAGCTCTCAAAACCCTAGAAAGTAGTTTCAAACTGCCGAGGGAAGTACTTTCAATGACCGTGGCTGTTTGATACGAGATGCATACCATCTGAAGCAGCTTCGAACGCTGATTTCAAATCTGCTTTCCGTTTCCGCGGAACGCTCTTCTGAGGAGAGTTATGGAAGCCTGAACATCCTATTTTGGGGGCGCTCCTCGAGTTTGAGGGCGCTGCTATGTGCGTTGGTGGCGCAGTAGTGTAATGGTTAATTGCTGATATTGAATGCGAGAGGTTGATGGTTTAAATCCGATGGAGAGCGAACTATTTTGCTTATTGAATGTGAGTTTGAAAGCACTCTAAATCGCCTGCAGACACTGCAATGCCTTAGCACAAACAGGAAGAACATCTTTTCGACTAATGACAGTGTGCATTTTTTGAGCTTTATATGGTGACAAACGTGCTAGACCATGTTTGGTCCTGTTTTACTAGTAAGGAAGTCAAATGAAATTTCAGGCTCTCATTACAAGCAGTTTTGCCAGAAAATTCTTTTTCTAGGTCACTTACAAAGGCATTACAGTAAGTGTCTGCAGGCGATTTAGAGTGCTTTCAAACTCACATTCAATAAGCAAAATAGTTCGCTCTCCACCTGATTCGAACCATTAACCTCTCGCCTTCAATGTCCGCAATTGACCACTACATTACTGCACCACCAAAGCACATAGCAGCGCCCCCAAACTCAAGGAGCGCCCCCAAAATAGAATGTTCAGGCTTCCATAACTCTCTTCAGAAGAGCGTTCCGCGGAAATGGAAAGCAGATTTAAAATCAGCGTTCGAAACTGCTTCAGATGATATGTCTCATATCAAAAGGCCACGACCATTGATAGTACTTCCCTTGTGAGAAATGGACTTTGAGAAGGTCGCTGCGCAGAACTCACAAGTTCTTCATACAAATAATTAATCCTTTGTTCGTAGAGTGAAAAACTTGTATATATCCTAGCACGTAACCACAATTTCTTGATGTTGTGAATGAAGCTCTTTTTGATCTGAATGATTCTAGAGATCAAATTTTGGCCTGCACCGGAAGAAGCAGTTATACTGACTGGCTTTGTTTTCCAAGCAAATTCTGGTGGCTTCCTCTTGACTTTCGGCAACAACTGCTTACTGTCCACCTAAAAGACTATTGAACACCAAAATGCCTCGCGCTCACGTGGTCTCCCACTTCAACTATAGCACTGCTTTGACTGCCATACTACTTTAGCACTTTTGCGTTTTGGGTGATTATCGTTTACGTATGAAATACCGCGGTACGCAGGCACCCATTCAAATCAGTTTCGCTTGTAGCCAAATAGCAACAAAATCATTCGTAGCAGTTCCCTTAATTAGTGTGGGAATGCGAGTTTCCTATTGCAGCTGAAAAGGTGGAATATACCAAAAACAAGTTTATCTCAATGCTGTAGTTCAGTGAGAGTACCATGTGGACTTTGTGTTGTAAGGTACTAGTTCAAGTTCAGTTCCATTTTAGTTTCGCTTCACAGCAGATTTCAGATTGTCATTTTACAGCCCTTTCTCGTGGTTTTTGATTTTGTCATGCAAGACGCATTATATTGCTGATACGACTGTCAACCTAGAAAAAAGCTTCATATCTTGAGGCTCCAGAAATCTAGAAATTACGCTTATCCACTCGTAAATATTCTACTATCCTTCACTACGAACATAATGGACAGGGGCAGAAAGTTGTAGAAGCCGCATTTTCCGCTTTTTTATGAGCGGCTAACCGGCTTTTCTTCAGTCATTACTCTTTCTTCGTAGTTGATGAAAACATCAAAAAATTGTACTGACTGTCTAACTCTACACTACCAAGCATGTTTCTGGAACAAATGATGTATCGAAGTTATGAAAATTCCAACGAACCACAAGATGAAAGTTGGGGTTTAACGAGAATTTCGATATTTCAATGACTCTTTGTTCTTATCGGAAACTTACCAGCATTGTTGAATAGACAAACAACACAACTACTGAATGTTTTCACTGACTTCGAAAAAAGAAAAATTACCTTGAAGAAAAGAACTGGCGGACGGGGATATAAGAAGATCATACAAAAAGCTGGAAAATGGGGCCTCTACAACTTCCCACTGCTGTCCAATATGTTTATAGTGAAGGATAGTAGAAAGTTTACCGACGAATAGACAGCGTGAAATCAGATATATAGAGTGTCAAGATATGAAGCTTTCTTCTAAGCTACGATCTCCTTCTCCGGCTGGGATGTTGATACATGCCGCCCTGACAGGGATGAGGATTAACTCTGGCTAACAGACATAGACAAAGAACAATGTGCGGACCGAAACCAAACAAAAAGCTTTGAGAAGAAAAAAAACTACGAGAAGAAAGAGGCTAAGAGAGGAGAACAAGAGGGCACTTTCAGCACCTGAGCCAGACGAGACAAAAAATTACCTCCACAGCGACCGACTTCATCAAAGGCTTTCGGTTACGGACAGGAGAGCCACTCCCGACAAGGCGATTACTTGTGTATGGCTGGTCCGTGAACTCAATCTTCACGGAGTCTCGTTCTTCCCTTATGCGACAATGATGAGTAAGTGGCTCCGGATCATCGATGCTGTCGACATTGAGCTGAAGTAGCGAACAGTGTTCCCAGCAAATTCATGTTAGTCAATATATGTATGTAGCGGCAACGCTGGTCAAAACATAATCAAAGATGCCTCATCTAGACTGTAACTTTGATCTAGAATTTGCACGACTGTATAGGTATCAAATTCCTAACAATGATCAGAACGGATCTTGCTTACGCTGTACAGAGGAGAAAACCCAAATTGGGAAGAACTAAAGTGATTGGTCAACTACAGATCTTTGTACTCACCTGTAAGAAACAATCTACATGCAAGTTCAAGGCAAGACAGATGGGGAATCCCAAGTGAATCTCTACATCTCCCCTTTTCCATTTTTTGTTGTATTCAGTGATAGGAAGCAAGTATACATACAGGTGTGCTAGATTCCAAATGTACTCACTGACAACCAAGTGATTATGTATTTTCTCGAGTGCATTTTGACCAGTACTGCATAAGTCTTGACAATAAGAAAGTACCCACATAGCCTCCTTCAGCAATGAGCTCTCGCCTGTTTTCCTTGACCAGTTTTTTTAATGCGTCTTCTGCATTACTAAGCATAGTGTCATCTCGCATCTGGAACATTCACATCTCGATTTTGGAAAATACTGCAAGAATGATATCCGCAACAAATTATGATTTGTATCCCGAAGAAGTTCGCATAAGTATCTACCAAAAAGGAAGTACAATCGCTCCCTTGACACTTGCTTAGAACATCAGCGAAAACGCCTTGAAAAAAAAAGCACCAGACCGTGCAACGCGAGAGACATGCGACAGTGCTATTTTATGATAAGGTTCTAAGGAACGCAGACTACAGACTGAAATTACTGGTGCTGGTAATCCATACAAAAACAGGTGTACCTGTCATGGCCCTTTCAAAGTAAAGCGTAATGTTAAAGTTGCTCGATGTCAATGGAGGAGAATCATTTGAAGGTAGGTCTCCAAATCTCAAGCAGAAAGCAGAAAGCAACTGGAGAAGGGAATTGAGTGAGCCTGCATTATCAAGCAATATTCTGTGCAGAGCACTACTAGCAGCGTAGAAGCGCAGTGTAGTACAAATAATCCTACTAATTAAGACTCAATCAAATCAATCAAGAAACGATTCACAGAGCTCACGGAAACGACATCAGCGGCCATAAGACAAAAAAGGAAGCAGTTAGACACTCGGGCACTCTCCACCAAGCTGCTCCGAAATTCAAACCAATTTAACACATTCCGCAAAAACGACAGAATCGATTAAGCCATTTCCCTGCAAGAAGGAATGAAGCAGAAGATACGGGGAATATAAAAAAAAGACTAAAGAAAAATTATGCTTTAAAAAAAGAGTGAATGCTAAATATCACATTTATAGAGAGAATAGCTCTGCCAACGATAAACACTTCCAGGGCATTTCAGAGTACTGAATAAGGTAAACAGCTCGCAAATGTCAAAGAACGTTTCTATGAGTATGACATATAGTTGTAGATGATTCACGAACTTTGGCATGAAGCACCTTGTGAGTTCTAGATTGAGACAATACAGCCCGGCATTCGCTCGCAAACAAGCATTTTTTTTCGTTCCTTCGTTTAGTTTTCATCTTAATAGCATTTAGATTGAAGTTCTATTTTACTCAAAATTTGTTAGCCTATGGTGACATCGCTTACTCATTTAGCAGGGCCACAATCGAGACACGGACAAAGGGAAAAATTCTTAAGGGAAACGTCCCAACATCCCAGTGCACTGGCGAGCTGGATTAAAATACTTCTCGCCAATGCACCATGATGAGCTGATCCCAAATTTACCTTTCGTATCCGCTCAATGATTTCCTAAAAAAGTTTGAGCAATTCGAGGTTAGAATTGAAAGCAGCTCAAGAAGACGTATACACTAGGTTGTTAGGTCCGATTTTTAGGTGCCTTGTTTTTACGCAGCTCTTTTCTTGGAGATTTGTACTTGTTGCAGAAAAATGAATATCAACTGAAAGCACTTTTTTGCTCTTTCTATTGCTCACTGATGCTACACGAAACATCTTCTTAGTGATGAAAGTCCAAGCCCCGAAGCCAAACTGCCAAAATGCAGTCATGCTCAAGACAAAGTTATGAAGAGAATTTCCGCAGTATTCGTAGAATTGAATATGTAAATTTTTTTAATGGGTCAGGATGTAATGGGCTAACATACGCACACTTTACCTCCAACAAAGCGAACGTCTTACTATTTCAATTTTTATCAAAGGTGGAAGATAAACTCAGTTATTCGAAAAGCAACAACGATCTACGTATGGCAAACGGTGCTGCACTCAACAATGCATACGATAGAGTAAAGCGAGAGCAAGCGGGAACCATCGGCCAATCAGCTCTCTTCGTTAGCGACAGCAAGAAAAAATCAAATATTTGAAAGTCGACCCATTTGCGCAAGCGGAGAAGGGCTCAAATAATGGACTTCTTGATTTGCTCGTAGAAATTTCTGTGCAGCAAAGATAGATCGAACTCTCTTTGACCATAAAAGAATCTCTGAAGTACTGGCTACTCAATGACGGCAGCTAATTATGTCTGCCTATCCTTAACCATTAGTACGTCAAACTGGATGGTTTTGGAGGGAGATCTGCAAAAGCAGGCAGTTTACAAGAGTTCTTTTTTATATTTAGAGCGATGTAAACTGGAGTTAGTTATATATGTTTTGAAGGCAAAAACTGACGCATCTATACTAATTCAGTACTGAATGCGCATAGCCCACCCATAGTTTCCAAAAGTAGCTATTATGTACGCGAGAAATTCCACGGAAGTATTGAGATTATGCTAAACAGGTAATGTATCAGCCATTGTTACAAGGAAGAATTTCAAAAATCGCAAATTGAATTTGCAGGTGAGGTTAAAAGGAATCAAAAGAAACAACAGGAAACAACAAACAACATAGCAATGTGCGACACTAGCGAAGTAAAGACTGAACCTCAAAACTCAGATCAAAAAGTGTACCTAGATACCCGAAAATGACCCTAACCATGAATTAAACCACAAATGTCAACGAAAAGCCTGGTTCGAAAAAGAGATGCCCAAACACGTGGACAAACTGATATTCTTCCTGAAGTTTCAAAACATGTGAATCTCTAGGAGTGAAACGCAGATAATAAGAGCGATTTGCACCAAACATGTATGGAAGTACATTGAATGTAGCATGTAACTGCGCAGTGATCTACAAGGCCATGCAGAAACAATGCGCTTCTGTTTCATACTACGATAGAAGAGAGCAAAGATGGCGCTTGGTTGCCTGACAAAGACGGACACCACTAAACTCACAGATTTCAAATCTCTTACAGATAATAGGAGTTCGGAAAAACTCGTGACTAAGTGAAAAAATTCTCGACGAAAAAACATTATACCTTCCTACCTTAATCTAATCGGTAGAGACAATAACGTACCTCTGCAGCAAGCGCCCTGTTGCATGCGAGGAAGTAGGCTGCTTTTGCATATTCCCTCAGATTTGCGTAGACAGTTGCGAGCGAGTTGTAGGCGCGAGCCTGTCCAGCACAGTCATTCATACGTCGAGCTAGTGACAGGTGACGAAGGTGATACGTTTTAGCTAAACTGATAGGTTTAACAGTCTAGTAGATTTTCCGCTAAACACAGTGGGCTTGTGGTGCCGATTGCGGTAAAATTTGCTATAAATACATAGCTATGCCTGTATTGCAGGCAACTTGCGCGCGCAGATCGTCGGTAGTTCAGGCGTACTATTTGTCCACGCCCCATTAAAAGGCAGCGTCCAGGCAATTCTGCACTATGGGGTTCTCATGGGTAATTTTGGGGCCCTGACTAAGTCACTGCCCAACCGGCAGCTCAGATAGTGCACCAGCGGCTGAGATATTCGCCTCGAAATTGGACCCCGGGATCGTATTTTGCGTGGTTTCATGGCGCAACCCATGGTTCCTCTCGCGAAATTGATGGGTTGCGCCATAAATCCATGCGAAATACGATCCCGGGGTCCAGTTTCGATGCGAATATCTCAGCCGTTAGTGTACTACTTGAACTGCCGGTTGGGCAGTGGCTTAGTTAGGGCCCCATAATTACTATCCACGTGGAAGCCCCATCGTCTAGAATTGCCTGGACGCTGCCTTTGAACCGCAAACTCTCGGCATGCATTCAAAATATTTGCTGGATGTACACTTCGCGCAGTGGAAGATATGATATTCTCGTGAGAACATTGCAGTCTCAATTCTACAATTCAAAAAACATTCCGACAAGTCCTCCTATATCACAACTCCAAGGGAGCTCACCAGAACTGAACTGACGCAAGAGCGATGAAGAACATGCGATGTAGAAGCAACACTGAGCTTCGCGTACCCTGTCGCCTTTCTCGACAACCAAATTCATAGCTGATCTGAAAGTTCGAGTTGAATCAATTTGAACAGATGCAAAAAGCAAGCTCTCACATGTAACATTCTATCCCTTTGTCAACCTCCGACAACAAGACATGGGCATTCCCAAGATTGATGTAAGCACGATATTTCGCATTATGGTCTCCAAATTGGGACGCTATCATCAACCTCTGCAAACAGAGCGTAAAGAAATCTAAAAAGTACAAACATTTCATCAGTAATAGCTCTAGCTCAAAAAGCAAAGCGGAAAGAATAAAGATCGCCTCCGATGCTGCAGCGTTTTAACGCCGAGATGATGAGCAAAAACGGGCATCTCTTCGAGATATAAGAATACAGATTGTTACATTGATGCAAAAAGAAAAATTGCGATTTACGCTGCGATCCTGACTCGAGACCAATGGCTGATTTTTTTGAACACACCTTACCTTCTCATGACAATCAATTGCTCCTCGGTAGTCCCTTAAAAGATGGAGCACGTTTCCCACACAACCAAAAATCCGGCCAACATTAGCGTGATCGTTTAATGCCCGTGAGTAATTTGAGCTATTCCTGAAGTACGTTCAAATATGCAACTGATTAGTAGACAAAAAGGCCTTACATGTAACATTCAAGTGCAGTACGTAAGTCTTCATTGTCAACATTCGAGTTCCCATCACCCGTGTCAGATCCGCGAGCGGCAGCCTCCTTATAAGATAGCACTAGATTCCTAATGTGAATACTGAATGTTATAATCTTACGTTCATAGTTTTCGTCACAGCTAATTTCGCCCTGGCATGGTAGATGGTTCCAAGGTTATAATACGCACGTGCGAGGCATTGCTGCAAGATCAACATGATTTTTCGTAAAAGCCCAAAGCAAGTCAACCACAACTTACACAAATCAAGCACAATCATCGATAAAAACCACGAAAACAAAACACACACAAACACATTACCTAACCTTGTCATCAAGTTCACTAGCAATAGTTAACTGCCGTCGAGTGAGATCAAGTGCATCAGCAAACTCTTCTTTCATCTTCTTCACATTACCCATGTTGCCGTACGCTTTAGCTTCTCCTAATCTATCATGCATAAGCCTAAAAATGAGCATAAGGATGGAAGTAAGCTGAAAGCGGCACCAACCTGGCAACTACTGCGTCATACGAATGATAAATAAACGCGTTGTCCATGTCATTTACGGAGTAGTAAGCATTGCCTAATTGGCAATAGATAGCCGATAACGTGGACAAGTTGGTAGTCCCCAGCCTTAACGCATCAAGAAAGCGAGGAATTGCTGAAAATTGCATGAGAATGGACGATAGGTAACGAGAAAGATCAACAGACCCTCGTGAAATTTTCCTTCTCGACAAAGGCGCTCGCCCGCTTTCGCTAACTCGAAGCAAGCTTTGGAAGCCTTATCGGCATCCTTCATATCCGAAAATTCAGGCCTAAGAACGCAAATGGTCTGAAATGAACTGAGTACAGTGACTAAACATAAGCGAAGTACACGCATAAAGGCAGCATCAATCAACTTAAGTGCGAAAAATAAACCATTTTACTTCCAAGCGTAAATCTAATGAGAGAGGTGTTTGATTGAGAATATGCTAATAAAAACAAGACAAATTTGGAAAAAAGAGCTCAAATAATGAAGGATAATGAAGGACACCAATCAAATCGAAAAGGTGCGTGAACACAAAAGCATGATCTAACTACTAAAGACAAGAAATGATGGCGCTAAAAGGGACCACAAGTACCCAGCGAAACTCACTCAAAATTCATCTAAAAAAAAGAAAACAAAAAAAACGAGTCTAGCAAAAACAACACATACAGCCGCATTAACTCGATATTCGAGCAAGCTCAAATCGGGCGTGAGTCTGCGTGCGTACCCACTCTGCTTCTCTGCCGCTCTGACGAGTTCGATGGAAGAGACTCCTTGCTTCTCCCATTTTTCTCCGTGGCTGCAGTCCCAAATATGGGTAAGGAATTGTGGCGGAGCAGAGGACCAATTTTGAAGTCACGAAGGCATTGGTTAATTTGATTTTGAGATCGGGGAAGTCCAAGGGGTAATAGCCCGTTAGTTGCCGGGGTTACTAATCTTGCACTTTCTAATGTTACCGTCATATCTCAGATGATCAAGTGGGTATTGCATGAAACAGATAATCTCTTTGGTTTTGTGATAAAGTGGGTGAGGCAGAATGCAATCACTCAAGCGCCTTGAGGTAAATCCCTGAGCGGCGATCTTCAGAGATTTCCCGCAGATTTCTAGTTGATTCAGTTGAGTCCCCATGTTAACAAATGTTTGATGTGTAAAGGAATTCTATCCTCGTTTCCCTATACAGTCGACTCTTTTGTATCTCTATCTGCAAATACACGCACCATCCAAATCATGCGTCCCATAACCGTGTCGCCGGCAATAAGGCTCCTTGGGTTACAATTTTGGCGCTATTCCAGTATCCGGGCCCCAAAATTTTTTTGTTGTGAATTCTGTCGAAACATGGCCCAGGGGGGTTATTCGGCCCGCTGATGTCGAATATCATATTGGTTTTGTACGGTAGCGTCATTTTCTCGGGCTACGGTGGGTATACGGTAGGGGGTCAAAATCACGGAATTCGCTGAAACTTGGCCTAGGGGGGTTATCTGACATGCTGATCACGAATATCATATTTAATCCGCAAGAAATCGCCTCCCTGTAAGGTTACGGTGGGTATACGGTAGGGGGCCAAAATCACGGAATTCGCTGAAACTTGGCCTAGGGGGGTTATTCGGCCAGCTGATGCCAAATATCACATTGGTTTTGAACCATAGCGTCATTTTCTCGAGTTACGGTAGCTACACTGTAACGGGTGTAAAAAATAGCTTTGCCTGAAGCGGGTGTATGGCGATTCGGACAATCGTGAAGCTTTGCACACACGACCGCCGCCGCGCGCTACACACCCTGCTGCGACTTTTGCCTAAGCAAAGCACAGGGGAAAGATACATTTGCCGATTTGTGATTTTGACCCCTACCGTAAACCTACCGTAACCATACGGGGAGACGTTTTCGTGCACAGAAAGTGTGACATTTCTAATCAGCATATCGAATAACCCCTCTGTGCGAAGTTACAGCGGATTTTGAGATTTTGACCCCCTACCGTATACCCACCGTAGCCCGAGAAAATGACGCTACGGTACAAAACCAATATGATATTCGACATCAGCGGGCCGAATAACCCCCCTGGGCCAAGTTTAGACAGAATCCACAACAAAAAAATTTTGGGGCCCGGATACTGGAATAGCGCCACAATTTTAAACGGTTTCCTGGTAATTTTTGTTCATTTCACGCACGACTGGAAGTATATTGTGAGGGTTTTCTGAACTCAAATGATGGCCAACGCATCCAAGATGCGTATTAAGCGCAATATGGACAGTGTGTGCATTGATACGAACTGAGATACGAAACATCTAGACTGTAGATGTTCTCCTTCGCGTTTCCTCGGCATCTGTCGAATTATGGAGCATAGTAGGCTCTCGTTCTCTAGCAGTTTTCGGGCTTACTGACCAGAGGGAAGCCACGGCTGGAATCCGGAATGTTGCACACTGCATAGAATTTGTGAAAATCAACACCGTGTGTGGATGAAATGATTGGTTAATGCCGTCTGCATTGAGCGTGGATTTGTGTACTGCGCGTCACTCTTCTTCGCTCATTCTCGCCGCTTCTTTGTCTGCTCTCTCGTTTAGTCATGAACTATTTTCAGTTGACACAACAGTGTTTCATTCAGCTTGAAACGTGGACGGCCTATACCAGAAACATCTGGCTATAGTACATAAATGATCTTCGAAATCACTGCAAGCAGCGATGTAACATTAGGTTGGCTAGAAAATAACCTCGTTTTATTACGCGAACCTCCATAAAATTTTTTTGTCCTCTATAATATTTTGGGGCGGAGCAATTCAAAACTTCTACCGTCATGTATCGTCCCCTCCGCAGCTCGTGCTACCCTTGATCTGCGTCTCAGCCCTGCCACGTGTGGCTAACATGTTGGCAACGTGGCGACAACATGTTTGCAACATGCCACAACGTGTTGGCGGAATATTTTGGCCACGCCAACATGTTGCTGCATGTTGCAAACATGTTGTTGCCACGTTGCCAACATGTTCGCCACACGTGGCAGGTCTGAGACGCAGACCAAGGGTAGCACGAGCTGTGGAGGGGACTATACTCTGACTTTCGTTCCGTGCCAGCGGCGTTCGATACGCGTCTGAGCGGAACACGCAAACGCCGCTGGTAGGGCAGTCGCACGCCGCTCGTACGCTGTGGAACTCCGCTGGCAGGAGAATGGTACGCCGCTGGTACGTCAAAAGGATATGATTTCGTTAAAAGACCGCATTTCCCGTTTTTGGTAACTGTTCTGACTGCAGCATTTGCTGGCTTGGAAATTACTATATCGATAAATTTTGAAGCCGAAATTAGCTCAAAAATTCCTATTATTTCGACCGACTTCATTGAATTGAGATCAAGGACGATGACCCCCACAACGCTCATTTGAGATGCTATCAGGACAACACGATAAGAACATCAACTCATTCTTATTTCTTGTCAAGTACCAAGAAGCTTGACCAGCTAGGTAAAAACTGAGACAGCTCAACCACTGCGTCTTATCCCACGCGGGTACTGCTTGCGCTTACAGCGTGGGGTAATGTGATGGGACCGCTCGCTTGCTTACGTTGTTAGGACGCCGCTCGTCGTCACAACGGTACGTCGCTGGTACGCTAAGGGCAGAACGTGGAACGCCACTGGCACGCCAAGCCATTTAGGAACGCCGCTGGTGCGCAACGAATGTCAGAGTATCAAGCACTCAGACATTCATTATCTTTAGGGTGACGATTTTCGCGCCTCTTTGCTTCTCTGGACAAACTGCCTTCGTCCAGAAGCGCCTTATGTACACTATGTGATTTGGTGCGATATAGCATTATATCGCCTGCTTGTGACGTCACGGTGACGTCACGGTGAACGAATGGGACCCTTCCACGGGACGCGCAAATCTCTGCTCCGGGGGTGCGCCACTTTTGGGAGGGCCGTTTGGCAGAGCACCAAAATGCGTGAAATGGCAGGGCTCCGGAGCGCTCCAGAGCGCGAAGTGGCAGACTCGTGCCATTTGCCCGCCGGAGGTATCCCTTCGACTGTCTGAGGAGGCGGGCGAGCGCATTAGCGATGCTCTTCCGGTGTTGAGGTGTAGTTGGAAAATTGATAATTGATCTTTGGGCCAATATGGGAGCCAATGATATAATGCTATATCGCACCAAATCACATAGTGTACATAAGGCGCTTCTGGGCGAAGGCAGTTTGTCCAGAGATGCAAAGAGGCGCGAAAATGGTCACCCTAAAAGCATGAAGCTCAGGATCATAACGATGTAAGTGACCATATGTCGGTCAGACGATCGCCTTCGTCCTGCAGTGACCGTCATGCCTCAGCAGATTACGCCAATGCAAAACAACAGAAGCTCTCTTGAATGTACTTTTTACGAGTGTGAATGTTGAGTCTGAAGGACTAGCTGACGATTGAGGAAGGGTGATCGTTCCTACATGAAAAACATTCACATGCAGAAGAATGAAGCGGTATTGCAGACACTGGAAGTGATTTATTTGAGTAGATGCTTCTTTGAGAGAACTTTTACATTATTTGATGTCGCAATATGAAATGGGCATCTTATTACGTTTCAGTTTTTCTACAAGGTTGAACCGAATCAAGCCAAGCTTTCCTGCTTCAATCCTGTCACCCGTTAACGGCATCATTGACGTATAAATGCTTAGTACAGAAACTTTCGTCCTGCAAGCGGCGGGCAGAATTTTGCACGCTACACTCAAAACTCAAAATTCATTCAGGCTACGTCGACTGAGAAATATGGGCTTTGTATGGAAATACTATCTTTCTGCGCAAAAGCAGTAAAGTCAGCAATGTCATTAGCGCACTCGCAAGTCATGATTGGCGGTTGCATCCTTCGCGAGTGCTGTTTCAGAGTTCAAGAGCTTTCAGCGTACACCTTTTCGAAAACTTAGTGATAATGTTAGGATAGCGTCTTCATCAACTTAGGCCTTTTTGACGTCTGAAAGCGGAATCGAATCGCTCGCGTTTACGTTTTAAATTCCTATTCGAAAGAACTTAAGCGTGCTCCAAAAGCCATGGTTTGGGAATTTATGTCTTGGTGTATTAATCATTCCGCAGTTTTCACGGATTACCAAAAGTTGGCGTACTTGGGCATCACGAGAGATGTAGGTCACCAAAGGCTGGCTTTTTTTTGAGGTTTTGACTAGAGGAACCGAAAATCTGCGCGTCTTCACTTGTGTCGCTTGCGTTGCATTAGCTCACTCATATACCTTACCTTACAAACCACAGAAATTTATTCATTACAAGTATAATATCAATAAATAGGTGAAACATTGATTAAACGCTAAAATGTGCAACGATTTTCACAGGTTTGCAAAAAAAAAAACGAGG